ATAATAATAATAATACTAATACTAATAATAATAATAATAATACTAATAATAATAATAAATGTGAACTTTAAAAAAAAAAAAACAAATTTTCATATTTTTAATATCACGTAAAGTAAATTTATGGTTTAAATTTAAAAAAAGAAAAAAACCTTTTGCATTTTTAACGAAAAATAATAATAATAAACGTAATAATAATAATAATAATAATAATAATGATAATAATAATAATAATAATAGTAATAGTAACAATAATAATAATAATTTTTTGCATTAACTTTTAATATTGATAACATTTAAATAAATCAAATCCAATATGTATATATTTACTTATTAAAGTCAATTTTGTCGTGAAATAAATAAATAAATAAGTTTTATTTTTATTTATTTTTTTTAATATTGTTTGGTAAACAATACAAAAAATAAAACTTTGCGGTTTTTTTTTATTAAAACAAAAGAAAAATATAAATAAAATAAAATAAAAAAAAGGGAAAACACGTCATTGGAAAAAGGAAAAAAACGATCAAACAAAAAAAGAAAATGTTTTTAATAAGGATTCTCCCTCTTTCTCTCCCTCCTCCTCTCTCTCTCTTGTTTTTTACGATGTATACATTTAAGGACATTTAAACAAAAATAATAATAATAATAAAGAAAATATTTGATTTTTCGAAGGAAAAGAATTATATTAAGCAATAAATAGAGCGAGAAATAGTTACACGATATAAACTATCCTATAAAGATTTTCAAAAAAAAATAAAAAAATAAAAATTTGAAGAAAATAAAAAAAAAAACAAAAACATAAACGGAAAATTGATATACGATAAGTTATCGATAAAAAACAAAACAAAATAAAAATAAATAAAGTGTGAGAGAAAAATAAAATAAAATAAAATATTTTAAAAAGTTAAAAGAACTAAGATGAAACAACATGACGACAACAACAACAAGACAAACTAAAACGATATTAATGTTGTAATGTATGTAAATAAGAGAAAAAAGAACATTATTATTAATCGCCCACGTTTAAAAAAAACACAAGAAACATTATTATTATTATTATTTTAAGAGAAAAATGTGCATGTAAACTTACCCAAAACGATCCACATGACAATTATGTTTCCTCCGGTTGCAACAAGTAACATAACAGCAAATACACTTGTCCATATTAATTTTTGCCACCATATTAAATCAAATGGTTTGGGTGGTAAAACGCAATTCGTAACAAAATCCGTTGCTTTTTTTTTCATTTCCGGTGTTAAATATTGATTTTTACCATCTAATACATCTTGTAAAAATTCGTAAACCTATAATTATACATATTAAACTATATTAATAATCAAAGTTTTCCCCCTGTTTTCCCCTCCCCTTCCCTCCCCTCCCCCTCACCCCACATTTCATTTTGTCCTCTTAAAGCTTTAAAATAAAATTTAAATAATAATAATAATGATAATAAATACACACTACTAACCGATGTTTTATTAAAATCAGCTGAAACATTCATAAATTCATCATATTCTAATAATTGCAAAGTGCAATTATATAATAAATCGAGTCTCATTTTTTTCCATTAATTTCCATTCCTTTCTCTCCCTTTTTTTTTTTTTTATTTTCTCCAGAGACGACACAAAAAACATAACATTATTGAAAACGACACGTTAATCACTTTTCACTAAAAAATTATTATTATTTTTTTTTTAAAACCACAACGAACGCACAAGGATTAAATTGATAATAATAATAATGGATTTCGTTATTAATTTCCATGGTATTTATAAAGGATTTAATTTAACACCTTTACAATGTAATTATGTTCGACCGTTCATTAACGACATTTTTCTTAATTAATAATTATTTTTCAAACTGAGTACGTAAGTAATTTTTCATAAAAATTTTATGGAAAACGGAAATTTTTTTTTTTGCCTCTTAATTATTATTATATTTACGCCTGTCATTTTGAAATAAAATATATTTTTTATCATTCGCGATTATTAAATTAAATCACTGAATAAAACGTTATAAATATTTGTAAAACACTTGTAAAAAAATTTCATATTAATAACGAAGAAAAAATCGATGAAGGTGAGTAAGTATGAGAAAAAACCGTTAAAAATTTGAATTTGATTCTGGAACGTTTCGAACGCGGTGTGAGTGTCACGACTCGTAGCAAAGTGACGCGCACGAAAAAAATTTTTTTTTAAACGTGATAAACGACTAAGGTTAAATTAAATTCACTATTACATTGAATTATGGGGTTAATTCGGTTAAAATTGAATTACATTTTACAATAATGATGATAATAATAATCTGTCGACCATAATAATAACCGTTTTAATAAATTGTCATGATAATATTGATAATAATTTGATTTATTTTTCGTTACGCTATATATATATATAATTGTGGACATTTTTTTTTTGATAATATCTATTCGTTATTAAAAATATATCCGAATGATATTCACAATTAATTAATTTAACGGAAACGTTTCGTAATTAAAAGAAAAAAGAATAAAACTAACGAACGAATGAAAGTTATTACCTTTTTATTACGCGGGAAATTATTTTTTCATTTTGACCGCTTTCACCAAGTTCGCGAACAAGACTGAATTCAAAAATTTTTTTTAACTAACTACTTGTTGAGTGTTATTGACTTGCGTTCAATGAATTTCACTATTATTAACGTCTCACCCAAATATATATATATATATATATATGAAGTTGTACACGATTTTTAATTAATTTTCTTTTCATTATTTTCTTTTTAAATAAAAATCATTTCCAATAAGAAATTATTTAATAAAACTTTCACAAAATAAATCTTTTCATTTTTTAATCGAATTGTCGCACAAAGTTAAAAACCGTTTTTAATGTAGCGACAAGTAGTTCTCTAAACTGCCGCTTGGCAGCGCTGTTACAACCGAGTTTTGTAGATTATTTTTTTTTATAGGTTTCCGCCATTACAATTTCTTTGTTGCTTAGCGTTAGATATATATTTAGTGTATATTATTTGTTGAAATGAGTCTTTTGAATCCCAGCTATTTACAAGCTGGTCGACTACAACAAGAAATAAATAAAGTTCAAGAAAAACTCAAAAGGGAAAATCAGGGTAAGGAAGAATAACACGCTACCGCCGTTCACGGCTATGTATATATATTATTGATTTTTATTTTCATAATTACTGCATTATTTACTTAATATTGATATTTTCTAGTATGTTTTCCTGTTGAAAAAAATTACCATTAATCGGAAAACGTGTATATTTTTTATTTATCGCGATCGAATGTATTAAAGTTATGTCGAAAATCACCACATTAATCATTCACATTTGCAAGGTCTTAATTAGACACTAACTTATGCAATCCATTGTTTTAAAAAATTATTAAATGTTATGACAATCATCGATAATAAAGTATTTAGTATTAAATGATTCTTATCATAAATTTTAAAATTTTAAACTCTCAACTTTGTTTTATTGCATGTAAAAGACCGGGATGAAAAACATGGTGGGAAAAGAAGAAAATCCAGATGGGGAGCTCCTGATGCTGACAAGACATTCATACCAGGAATGCCTACTGTCTTGCCCACAAATTTAACCAAAGAACAAGAGGAAGGTTATCTTTGTAAGTATATTCAATAATAATCAATAACTATTTATTATTAAGGATATAATAATAATAATTATTAGCCATATTATAAATAAATTAAAACTAAATTTACCGAGATTCTATCTTTTACAGTTGATTAAAAAAAAAAAAAAAATACGATTCTTCTATTTTATAAGTTTTAATATTTTTATTATTTTTTTTTTTTTTTTTTAATTATAATAATGATAAAAATAATTTTTTCTCGCTATTAATGGGTTAATTTTTTATAACAGAAGGATGATAATCGATAATGCATAGGTTCGATTAAACATAAATACTACCACGACATTTTATATATACGATTCTAGGATTTATTAAAAACAAATTTATTTTTATTTATTTTTTTTTTTAACTTACTCGATTTTAGCAAGTAAACCTCCAGAATAAAATATATATATATATATATTCACACACACACATATATATATAATTTTTAGAAGAAATCCTACTGACGATAACCTTTTTCAACTCCTTGGAGGTTTTTTTTTTTTTTTTCTTTCCTCTCCTCGAATTTATTAATGAAATAATTGAAATAATTATTTATCTGTAAAGTTTTTGTTTTTCAAAAATCTAATTTTGGGTTTTCTGCCCATGTCTAACCCATTTTTTTTCAGTACAACTGCAGATTGAAGAAGTGAGCAGGAAATTAAGGAGTGGAGACCTTGGAATACCTCCTAATCCAGAAGACAGGTTGGACCAATGTGTTTTTAAAAGTTTTTTTAAAATTCTTCATTCATTCTTCATCTTAGCACACACACACACAAATATTAAAAAAAAAAAAAAAAAAAATATTTGAATAATAATAATAATAAATTATAGAGAAAATATATATATATATATGAGAGAAGCATTTCTTCGATGTGAAAATGTGGATTATCATGAGTTTCCATCATCATCCGGAGTTTAATATAATTATTGGTTTGATGACAATGATAATGATAATAAGAGTATACAAAATTTAATATCATTCATTCATTTTTAATAAAGGAATTTTAGAGTAGATACAAAAAAAAAAAAAGAAAAACCATCATTTCGAGAAAGTGAGAGAGAGAGAGAGAGAGATGATAACAAAACAAATTTAATTTATATAAACTTATAACCCTGTAGTATTAGAATCACGGGGTTAAAGTCATGTACTTAATTTATTAATGATAATAATAATAATAATAATAATAATAATAATTAATGTAAATTTGAATAACGAGAGAAAAATATTTATGTATATATATAATTTAGCAAAATGTACATATTTTTTTTTTTTAATTTTTTAGACAGATGTGCACTTATTGCTTTTTTTTACGAATTTTTTTTGCTGTTTAAAATTAATTATCACTCTCCATTTTTTTTTTTTTTTTTTTTTTTTCAAGTGACATTTTTATTAAACTTTTTGTAATATAAGGAAACAAAAGAGAGAGAGAGAGAGAGAGAGAGAGACTGAACAAGACTTGATTGACCCTAATGACGTAATTATTCGACCGACAATGACTATTTATTTATTTTCAAAATTAAAAGCACCCTTTAATCATGTATTTTATTTATTTAGTGGGGTCGAAAGGGGGAGGGGGCGGGCAGGGGTCTGAATTAAGTAATAATAATAATAATAATAATAATAATAACATTGTATTCGTTTAAACACAAACAAAAATCGATTGAATTTTTGTTTTTTTTTTTTTTTTTTTTGGTTTTTTTTCCAGAGAAAATTAAAAAGTAACGACGAAAAAAAATTTTATTAAATAATAATAATAATAATAATAATATAAAAACAACAACAAACATTCGCGTTTGTTTGTTTGTTTGTTTGTTTTTTTACTAATGATTATTACTAATCAATTCAAAATTTTAGGAAAAAGTCAATGGATACCAAAAAAATTTTTATAATTTATTTATTTATTTATTTATATATTTTTTTTTCATTTTGGCAACACTGCCATGTGTGTGTTTTCAGGTTCATTATTATTATTATTATTATTATTATTATTTTTTGTTTTGGATAGGTTTTAATTGGACGAACATTTAATTTTTAGTATATAAATAATTTTTTTTTTTTTGCAACCTTATTAATAATCATTTATTAGTGCGTTTTTTTTTAATTATCATTATTATTATTATTATTATTATTATTATTATTATTAGCATAATTAGTTTTCAACGTGACGTTTGTATTCTCCCCCCATAATAATTACTAATTATTAATTATTATTATTATTATTTATTTATTTATTTATTTTAATGTGATGTTGAAATTTAGTTTTACAGTTTTTTCTTTTTTTTTTTTGACTTACATGCTTACATTAATTTTGTTTCCCTCCCTCCCCCAACCCCTCTTAAATTATTTCTTCTTTACGTTTATAGCATACTTAGCAATAATAATAATAATAATATTAATATTAATTATGATGATGGTGATGATGATTAAATTTTTGCAGGTTTCTCATATGAAATAAATTTATTTTGCGTGGCCTTTTGCCACCTTAGCTTTGGGCCCTTCCAGTTTTCCAGTTTTTTTTTCTCCTCATTTACCCCTCTGGTAGGGGGGAGAAACACCCGCACACGCACACACGCATCATGTTTGATTTCCTGTTGCAGGTCGTGATGAAACGTTTTTCATAAATGAAAAATCAATAATTTTTTTATTAATTAATTACAACAATTGCAATTTTTTCGGAAGGGATGGGGTGGGTTGGGGAGGGAAGGAGGAGGTGGTGGCGGGGAGTTTCGATTGCGATCAAAACAATTGCAATTTTGTTTTCTTTTTTCCCTCCCTCGGACTTTTAGATTTTTCCAGAACGATTCGATATGGATCGAAGTTTAAAAGAAAAAGAGAGAGACAGACCGGGAAATTAGGGAGGGGGTAGGGGGCAGGGTAAATCTTTTTTTCCCCTTCAAAAAAATTTCATCACCAGTTTCATTTTTCCAGTGGGAAGATAATTATTATTATTATTATTATTATTATTATTATTATTATTATTATTATTATTATTATTATTATTATTATTATTATTTCATCATCTTAACATTTTATTGTTTTATTAAAAATTTATTTTCCACCGTGAAACAGCCAAAAAAAAAATTATTTCTTGCAGGATACATGCGTCAAATTAATTAATTAATTAGTTAATAAATAATAATAATATTAATCATTATAATAATAGTAATAATAATAATAATAATAATAATAATAATAATAATAATGATGATAGTAATAATAATAATAATAATAATGTTAATAATCAACAACAACAGCAACTTGCCTTAAAAATTAATTATTTTTAAAAAAAAAACTTATTAATGGAATGCATTATTTATTTATTTATTTATTATTATTAAATTTTTATTTTTTTGTAAAGGGCACTATTATTGATTGATTGATTGATTGATTGATTAATAATTTTTATAGTTTTTTTTTCTTACCAATTTTTTTTTCTTTATAAATTTTTACAATTTTTTTATTATCATTATTATCACGCGTTTATTATTATTATTATTATTATTATTATTATTATTATTATCAATTATTATTATCAATTATTATTATTATTATTATTATTATTATTATTATTATTATTAGTGTTAAGTATGGTAAAACGTGGCGTTTGTTTTTTTTTTTTTTTTTTTTTTTTTCCCGTTTTGTTTCCTTTTTTAGGTCTCCGTCCCCTGAACCGATATACAGTCACGATGGTAAAAGATTGAACACGAGAGAATACAGGACGAGGAAAGCACTGGAAGAAGAAAGACATTCATTGATAATAAGGATGCAATCGATAAATCCTGATTTCAAACCGCCGGCGGATTACAAGTGAGTTAAATAGTACCGGAAATGAATCCGGAAAATTCGGAAACGTTAAAATAAAATTTTCCCTTTTCCTTTCAGACCGCCTTTGGTGAGAGTGAGCGATAAAGTCATGATACCCCAAGAAGATCATCCGGATATAAATTTCGTAGGTTTGCTCATTGGACCGAGGGGAAACACGTTAAAAAGTGAGTCGAAAAAGAAAGAAAGAAAGAATTTCCATTTTGACGTTGAGGAAAACACGTAGCGGAAATGAATAAATGAAAATTTTTTTTTTTTTCGTAGCCATGGAAAAAGACACGGGTGCTAAAATAATAATAAGAGGAAAAGGTTCCGTGAAAGAGGGTAAAGTCGGTAGGAAAGACGGTCAACCCCTTCCGGGAGAAGACGAACCCCTTCACGCTTACGTCACGGCCAACAATCCCGAAGCCGTGAAAAAAGCCGTTGAAAAAATAAAAGAAGTCATCAGGCAGGGAGTCGAAGTTCCCGAGGGACAAAACGATCTTAGGAGAAATCAATTGAGAGAATTGGCACTGCTCAATGGAACTCTGAGAGAAGTCGATGGACCCAGGTGTAGTAATTGCGGTGCGACGGATCACAAGCAATGGATGGTAAGGGTTGTCTCGTCTGTACAAATTTTCCTTTTTCCTTTTCCGAGTCAAAATATGACGGCTGGGTTTGATTTGGTTTTCAGTGTCCCGATAAACCGAACGTAACGAAATCGATCGTTTGTTCGACTTGCGGCGGTTCCGGACACATAGCAAGAGATTGTAGGAATAAGAGACCGGGTGGAGTTGCTCAAACGACAGGAACGGAAAGTAGGAAAATCGATCAAGAAGTAAGAATGGAAAATTTTTGTTTGTTGTTGTTGTTGTTGTGGCTGTTGCTTATCTTGTTGTTAATAATATCCTTGATTTTTTTTTGTTTGTTTGTCTAGTACATGTCTCTCATGGCCGAATTGGGTGAAGTTCCACCGCAAGGTAGAGATGGAGACAATAATAAAAATAATAATAATAATAACAATAGGTGAGTTAAGTTTTGTTTTTCCATGGCGGAAAATCAATTTTTTTTTTTTTTTTTTTTTTGTTTAAATAATAAATGAGAACGAGAAATTTTTCTAGAACGGACAATCGTTTTAACAGGGGTAGCGGTGGTGGTGGTGGTGGTGGCGGCGGCGGTGGTAGTGCTGCTGCTGCTGCTGCGAATACGTTGTTCGACCGTCAACAAGGACCGATCAAAGCTTTGATGGCACCCGAAAATTCAATACCAGCACCGCCTTCGCTCATACAAAATGCCATGCCTCCGCCGCCGCCGTGGGCTAGCGCCGCCGGAGCTCATCCTGGTCAAACGAACATGGCCGCACCACCTCCGGGTTCGTATATCTTCTCAGCATGAAGAGATTTGATGATGGAAAAGAAAATTTTCATTTAAGTTTTTTTGTTGTTGGTATTTTCACAGGAATGGCAAGCATGGCTCCTCCACCGATGTGGCCTCCGAACGCTCCCGTCACTCAACCTCCTCCACCTCCACCACCGTTAGTTCCTTGGATCTCTAATCCCGCTCTACAGCAACAACCTCCGCCTCCGGGCGGTTCTATTCCAAATCCTCCGCCGACCGGAGCACCACCTTTACCGCCGTGGCAACAACCGCCTCCAGTACCTCCGCCACAAGTCCAGGTAACGTCTCGATTCGGATCCTGCGGTTTCTCACGTTTCATTTTTCAAAAAAATAAGATTTTTATTTTTTCTTGCAGATGTATCCTCCGTGGCAGCAAGCGTACAATCCTCAACCAGTTCAACCTCCGCCTCAACCTGGAAACATGTTAGCCAACAGTCAAGCAGCTTGTTTACACACTTTAATAACTGCTCCGCCACCTCCGCCACCAAGTTAAAAAATATTCATCATCGAAAGAATCATTCATTCATTCATTCATTCATTGATGTATAAAAAAAAAAAAAAAAAAATCTGTGTAAAATAAAAATTTTTGCAAAAAATAAAAAAAATAAAAATTATATTCGTCGGCTTTGTCGTATATACATATATGTATATCATATATGTACATATGTATATATGTATATCCTTTTATATTTTTTCCATGAATTTTAATTATTCCAAAATCATAGAGTAAAAAAATTTTCTTCGATAAAAAAACCCATCATCGTAAGAAAAAGAAAAAATTAAAAATTTAAATTGACAACCCTTCAAATTAATCATATAAATAAATAATTGGATAAAATTAAATTAAAAAAAAAATGTTTAAAAAAATCCCTGACTTTAAATTTAAACCTCCTTGGATATTATGTTTTACGGATACATCGGAAAAAAATTTTCGATGTTAAAAATGACATTGAGCGCGAAAATCCAACGTTTACGATTTATTCAAAAGTAGGTCGACCTTGAATCCAAGGCCATTGGTTTTAAAATTCAATTTTGTAAAAATTTTCATGGTCATGATTTTTCAACCAAGGTCGACCTTGAATTCAAGGCCATTAGTTTTACATTTCGATTTTGTGAAATTTTTCATGGTCACGTTTTTGCATTCAAGGTCGACCTTGTATATTTTACCTGACACACATTTTATTTTAAGCGGGAATCCATTGTTTGAATTTTATTTTTTTCTATACCTCCTTGGGTATTATGTTTTACGGATAAATCAGAGTAAATTTTTTAACTATTTCTAATGTAAATTTTAATTAAGATAATTAAAAAAATTTTAAACATTTTTTTCGACGTCATAGGTTATGATAGGATGGAAATAAAATGGAAATAATAATATTAATTAAATGATTCGTTAAAATTATGTATTAAGAAAAAAAATATATATTTATTTATTTATTTTTTTATAACGGAAAAAAAAAAAACGAAAAGTTGCGTAAACGTCATTCATTAAACATATACAAATATATATATATATATATATATATATATATATATATATATATATATATATATATATATACGCCATTCTTATTATTACGTAATAATAATAATAATAATTTATGTACAATATTCACACGCATACACAAATCAATCACATATTATTATTATTATTATTTATATGTATACAAACGTTGTACTTTTTTATCTTTTTTAATTTAAAAAAATTTAATCATTATTTTACATAACAACCATTGACAAACTCACACACACACACACACACTCACAATTATGATTATCTTGGCAATTTATTATTATCATCATCATCATCATTTTTCAAAAATTATTTTCTTCAAGTTCCCCCCCCCTTGTCCCCTCTCCCCCCATACCCCGAATTTAGAAAACCGGAAATGGATTAGCGATGTCGATTCTCACGTCGTGTGACTTTTCCTTTCCTCCCTCCTTCTTCCTTTTAATCCTCTAATTTTTATTTTTATTTTTTCTTAATCTTAAATTTAATAATAATAATAGTAATAATTATAATTATAATAAAACGTTTTATCATAAAATTTTATTTATTTATTTATTTATTTAATGACCACACATTTTATTTATTTATTTATTTACCACTATTTTTATTTTATTTTTTTTTTTTAATTATTATTTAATTTTTCCCCTTTCCCTACCCTCCCCCCACCCCCCCCTTTGAAAAGAAGAACATCATCATCATCGTCGTCGGCAATAAAAGAAAATTAAAAAAAAAAATTTGTACAAAAATAGATAGATAATAATAATAATAATAATAATAATTAATAAAAATTAGAATCGACGGTTGGATCTTCAATTCTAAAATCGACATTTACTTTCGATAACTTTTCCGTATAAAAACTAGATATTATATTTGCCTGATAATAATTATATTCGTTGAGAAACTTTGGCCTCACGTGAAATGTTTTAAATTCTGCAAATTAAAAAAATTAAAATTAAACCTCCGCCATTTTGTTTAAGAGGTAGAAAGAGATGAAGCTATTAACTTACGATTTTGTGTATTGTTTTGAATTTCGCATATTTTTTTTATCGTATTTATATTTCTAATAACTCCATTAAATTGTATAAATGATAAATTTTGACATTTTTCTATTAATTCGATAAGTAAATCATCTAATAATTCACGATTGTTTTTTATATTCAAATGAATTTTTTCTAGAAACGAAAAATCAAAAATTAAATCCCCACATTGGTGGATAGAATGCATGATGATGATGATAATAATAATAATGATAATACCAATAGTGTTTGAATAATATGAAAGTAATATTGTTAAAATCCCACGAAAATCTCTACTCCTGCTTTGATCCCAAGTACATCCGGTGGCAAATGTAAAACTATATAAGGGAATACTGGGTAATAGAAAAACGCATGCATCTTCGTAATGTGCTATGTACACTGAAAAAAAACAATAAAATCATCATCATCATTATCATCGTTTGGTTTTACAATTAATAGAAAGACATAAATAATTTTGGATTTTAACTTATTATAAATGAAACTTTTATCTTAGGACAATCTTTTGATAATTTTTTCCATGCGTTATCGGATAGGGGTGGAAGTGTAAAATCGCTACCACTTGCTTCGACCGTTAAATTTTCTAATTTTCCTTTTGCATTTTCCGCAAGTATGAAAAGTACACCGTCGGAAAGTGCCGGATAATCTAATTGCAGTTCTGTTAAATTAGATAAACGTGATAGTGCTTCCTGTAAATAGAAACAAACAACAAACGTAAAATTTCCTTTTTTTTTTTTTTTTTTTGGATCCGACGTGAAAGGAAAAATTACCAAATATCTTGGTGTTATCAATATGGCTTCGCATTCGTTAAAACTTGATCTCAAATTAAGTTTTTGTAATTGATTACTTTTTGAATGAGCAACGGCGCATAATATTCTAACAACTTCATTTACTCTAAATGATGCTTTTTGTAAACTCAACCTTTGTAGTTTGTTTTGTGACCTGTTTTTAACAAACAAACAAACAAACAATACAAATTATACATCATTTGCATACTATTAAATGTTACAAGGTGTTGTTGTTGTTAATGTTGTTATTGTTGTTGTTGTTGTTACTGTTGTTGCTGTTGTTGTTGTTGTTAATGTTGTTGTTGTTGTTAATGTTGTTATTGTTGTTGCTGTTGTTGTTGTTAATGTTGTTGTTGTTGTTAATGTTGTTACTGTTGTTGCTGTTGTTGTTGTTAATGTGGTTGTTGTTGTTAATGTTGTTGTTGTTGTTAATGTTGTTGCTGTTGTTGTTGTTGTTGTTGTTAATGTTGTTACTGTTGTTGCTGTTGTTGTTGTTGTTGTTATTGTTGTTGTTGCTGTTGTTGTTGTTGTTGTTGTTGTTATTGTTGTTGTTGCTGTTATTGTTGTTAATGTTGTTATTGTTGTTATTGTTGCAGTTGTTGTTGTAGTAGTTATTGTTGTTGCTGCTGTTGTTATTGTTCTTGTTGTTATTGTTATTATTGTTGTTTTTGTTGCTGTTGTTGTTTACCTTATAAAATCAGTTAAAGCAAGTATTAATCTTATTCTATTCCCTTTATATTTATAACTTCTAAACCAATCAACCAAACATAATTCTTTTATTTGTATGTTAAGTGATAGTAAAAGTGTTAAAAATTCTGTACCGGCTTCTATGTGACATTTCAAACCAGTTTGTCTTGTTAATGGATCTCTTTGCGACCACGTGAGTATTAACCTAAAACAAAAAAAGACATTTATTATGTGCCTTATACCACTCTCTCACAATCTCTTACCTTTTCATGTGATGGCCATATTTGATTGTGGTTTCTTTAGCTAATGATGTATTATGTAGTGCAATGTCTTTTTCTAAATTAACGTTCACATTATGCCATATGCTAGGACAATTCAATGCTCGATTCCATGATGTACAAACCTGAATCAATTATCCACATTAGTATCTATATTTAAACAATTAGTACATTGTTAGATATTAATAACAAACATCATAACTATTCATGTAAAACATGATTGTGTGTGTGTGTGTGTTTGGGAACATGTAACACAAAACAATACAAACATTATAAAATAATTATAAATTTTTTTTTTTTTTTTTATATGTATGTTATTACCCTTCCTGCTGAAATTCTATCGTGACGGTTTAAATAATTAAAAATTTGGGAAAGTATGAGATCTGGAAGTAAATCCCATCGCGTGGTCATTATTTATCAAAGTATTATATATATATATATATATAATTAAATCAATAATAATATAGCAGAAAAAATTAGAAAACGTTACAAGAATTTAAGAATTCGAGAAAAAAAATAAATAAATACTTGCTTCTTTTTTTTTTAAAAGCAAAAAATTAATTTTTTTTTTCCCCCTTTTTTGCTTTCGTTCAGTGAGGGGGGGAAACACAATTTAAAGCTTAGAATAAAGAAGAAAAACCATTTTGTATTTTTTTTTTTTGTAGAATCAATTTATAATTATTTTACTATTTATCATATTTAAAAGAACTCATCTTAAATTAAAACAAAATGATTCCGTAGCTTTTACTACACTTTTTAGACAAATTCAATCGTTTTAAAATTTCTCATTTAAAAATTATTTAAACCGTTTATTAAAAACTTGTTAGTACAAGTTTCCTTTTACAATAAAGTGAATAATTAATTAAATTACAATTAATAACGATCAAATCTTACTTTTTTTTAATATTATTAATCTAAAACTTACCTTAAATCAAATTTAAACAACGAATAATAATTATTAAATGTAATACTAGCATTATTCATTTTAAAAAAACCGTTACGAATAACTTTCCGAATTAATACTCGATTCTGATTGGTCGAAAATTTTGTCGCCAAATTGCAAAAATTCTGCCCGACAACTTTAATATAGGTTATTTAATGCTGCTGGGTTTTATATTTTTTCTTATATACAATGTTTTAGTCCAACGTAAAAATTAATTTTTTTTTTTTTTTAATGGACGGTTTTACTTGATTTTATTTATTTTCGTATCAATCATGTCATTTTTAAATTATTGACATTGAAATGTATTAAAAACTAACCATAACTGTGATAAAATATTAGATATATGACAAGGTAAACTTCAATTTACAAGAAAAAAAAATTTTTCTTTTTTTGTGTTTTAAAATGTCAGTTATTATTAATTATATATATTTTTCTCAAACTACGTTATTTCAAATCTTTAAAATTGTTTTTAACTAATGTAATACACGTTATTTCAGAGAGATGAATAGAAATCAATCGAATCCACTAATTAACGACAGTGATCGCCCTCGTACGAATCTTCCCTACGCTCGTTCTAGTTTGATTCAACACATAAAAACAAAATGGCTTTCGACAGCCATAGGTTTAATAGGTTTGATAAGTTCATTGGTGTTGATCATAGGAAATGAAGCAAAAGCAGTTAAAATAAGTAAAGTATTAGAAAATACAATTTCATCAGTTGTGACAGTCTCACCAGAATCAGACATTGATAAATCGCACATTGGAAAACTCATTTACATCACTGGATTCATGTCGATTCATGAACCATTGACAGAAGTCGATTATGGTATATCAGTAATGGCTGTTAAATTATTGAGACAAGTACAAATGTATCAGTGGGTCGAAAGCGAACATGACACAATAGATGGAGATGGTAATACAATCAGTTCTTCCTATAATTATTATAAAGAATGGCAAAATTATTTAATCGATTCATCTAGATTTCACTATTCGTCAAGTCATAGAAATCCAAAAGAATTTCCAATCAAACGTTTGACACAAATCAATGACAATGTTAAAATAGGTAAATACAATTTGGGTTTGGAATTGAAGAAAAAATTTAAAGATTTCGTGGCGATAACGAGCGACGAGAGACCAGAGAGAAAAGATATAAAATTACATTCGGGAATGTATTATCATTGCGACAACATATGGGAACCTCAGATAGGTGATGTTAGAATACAATTTTTCTATGCTGGTCACCACGATCAAATCGTCACCATCGTCGCGCGACTCGATGACACTCTCACGCTCTTACCCTACATCTACGACAATAAAGAAATATTATTTTTAAAAATCGGTTCGTATAGCCTGGAAGAAATGTTTGCCATTGCTCATTCTCATAATAAATTTCAAACTTGGATGTTTAGAGTTGCCGGATGGTTTCTATTGTATCTCTCCTGCATGAGTTTGGGAACTTTTCTTCAAATAATATTAACTTATTCTGAATTTTTACAAGAAATCCTTCCTCTGACTCATTCATCCATGAAAATGACTGTTTCAATGTGCCTGTCATTACTTTTCACAGCACTCTCTTGGGTTTGGTACAGACCCATTTTAGGTGTTGGTATGATATTCGTAACAATACCATTATTGTTCTTAATTAAATTTTTTTCTAATCCTGGAACAGTTCAACATTATAACAGGTTGTAACACTTTTACTTATTATTATTATTATTATTATTATTATTTATATGTAAATATAATTGTTTTTAATATAATGAGTGATGAAAACCTTTTTTTCCTTTTCCTTAAACTATTGATTTTTTCTAGATTGTTCTCTACATCTTAGTGTAGCTGCTTCAATGGCTCCTATCAATGCTGCTCTGAAATTATTTTTCTCTAAGAAATGTAATCCGGTCGCCGTGGAACCTGAAAGGATGATGTAAAAACAATAAAAACGTGGTAAAAGGTTCTTTCGTTCGAGAAGGCGGTGTGGTTTTATTTACCTGCGGGTGACGTCACTTCATCTTTTAATTGTCCAGGATGAATTTTCGTAGTTAAAACCATTTCTCCAGCACCGACAACGGTTTGGGCTGCTAATTTATATGCTAAATCTCTCGGTAGTCCCATTTTAACTCCTCCATCAGCTAATGCTTCTATCATTATGTATACCTGATTTTTAAAAAATTTAATTTATGAGAAAATTCCGTTAATTTATTATTATTATTATTATTATTGGTGATAATTACGTAAGCAGGTCCTGAACCACTCAATGCAGTTACGGGATCTAAATAACTTTCAATGGCTTCTTCGCAAGTACCAACGGCTTCCATGAGTTTTTTTGTCATTAGGCCATCTTCTTTTGTTGCCGACGTACCTGGAACGTATACGGATGCACCTTTTTGTACCATGGCAGGAGTGTTTGGCATGACTCTCACGACTCTTGTTTTGGGTGGTAAATTCTAAGGTTGAAATTAATTTGATCAGGTCGGATTCTATATTAAATAATTTTCCGTTAATTTTTATACCTTTTCTAAATCTTCGAGCGTGACACCCATGGCAACGGATAAAATCAAATGTTTCGGAGTGACGACGGATTTGACTTCCGAGAGGGCTGTGGGTACTATGTGTGGTTTAACGGCCACGAGTACAACGTCTGATTTTTCAACGACTATCTTATTGTCGAAATATGCACTCGCACCCATTGCTTGAAATGCTTCTATGCATGGTTTATCCTGCGGTGCGCTGCTTGCTATTATATTTTCACCTTTTGTCAAACCTGAAAACTTCATGTTTCGATTATGAGAAAACTTTCCCCCCCCACCTCCCCCACAAAAATCAATTAATATCAACTCACCTGCTGATATGAATCCTTTTGCAAGAGCCTGAGCTATTTTACCAGCTCCGATAAATCCAACTTTGAGCATTTTATTAATAATAATTATTATTATTATTATTCCAAGTGCACTATCACGCGCAAGAGAGAGAGAGAGATAGATAGATAGAGAGAGAGAGAAAAAGAAAAAAAAAAATTTTAAAAAAATTTGTTTAATTAACGAGACATCATATAATAAACGCGACTTCACAAATTGTAACACATTCGACCGAAAAAAAAAGAAATAAATAATAATAATAATAATAATAATAATAATAATAATAATAATAATAATAATAATAATTAAATATTTATATATATATAAATTATAACGAAATGAGTAAAGGTCGTAAAAACACAAATGATAACAAATCCATTTGTCAATTTACGATAATGAAAACGTTTATAAGAAAATAATAATAATAATATCAATAATAATAATAATAATAATAATAATAATAATAATAATAATGATAATAATAATGATGATGATGATAATAATAATAAGTTTTTTTTTTTTTTTTTTTCCTAATCAAAAAATTTGTTGTTTTGTTTGTTTGCCGTTTAAACGATTTGATAACAGCGTATAAGAAGTCGTCGTCGAATCTAAATTTTTTTTTTTTTTTTAATTTGAAAAAAAATGGCGGGAAAAATTTTAAAAAAAATATTAATAAAAAATGGCGCGAAAATTTAAAAATAAAAAATAAAAATAAAAATAATTTTTTTTAACCTATCCATACGTTCGTTATACGTACGTTCAAATTTTTTTTTTTTTTTTTAATTTTCAAGATTATTATTATTATTATTATTATTTACACAAAAAAATAGAAAATAATAATAATAATGATGATAATGACTAAGTGACGTCATCGTTTTCAATTTTTTTATTTTCCCACAAATTAGTGGATTTGTCATTCTTTTTTTCTTTAGATATTTGTGACCGTCGCTACAATAATAATAATAACCGTAATAAATAAAAAATAATAATAATAATTAATAATAACAATAACAATAACAATAATTAATAATTAATAATAATAATAATCGAAACGAGCGAGAAAATTTAATTGATGACGATTACAAAAGGACCTCCTCCATCCTCCTTATCATTATTTTGTTTTAATTAATATAAAAATTATCAAAAAAAAAAAAAAAAAAAAATGTCGGCGACGACGACGACGACAACGAGGAGAATAAATTCAATCTCTCGAATAAATAAATAAATAAATAGAATTAAAATAGAGTAAATAAACAAAATCCGCCGTTTTTTTTTTTTTTCCTTTCAAATTTACCACCGCACTAAAAACAAATCAAAAGAACCTTGTTTAAATCACGTTAACTCTTTCTCACTCACTCGATAGGTAGACTGAAACGACTCAAAGTAATTTTCCCCTCCCCCCCTCCTCCCTCCCCTTCCCCTCCCTTTTCAAGTTTTCCCATTTGTTGCCACAAAAATAATTAATTAATTAATTATTCGTGCTTTTGGTAAAAAAAAAAAAAAAATTTCCTTTTTTTTTTTTTTTTTTTTTTTTAAACGAATTTTGATAATTAAACAAATGTGTTTATCAAACGATTCGAAAACGGAGAAAAAAAAAAAAAAAACGTTACAACCGATAAAAAAAAAAAAAAAGGAAATTTTAAACGAGTGTTCTCGAATTCGATTTTCCTCCGACTCCCACCCCGCAATCGATCAATCGATCGATAAATCGATAATTTGCTCTAAATAAAACTGCGAAAACGTTGTTTATCATTAAAAAAAAAAAAAAGAAATTTCACTCAACTGATACGGTAGAATTTTCATTTTTCAAAGAGTTTAATGAATTTATTTTCGACGACGACGACGACGATTCCGTACCAGAATGTCTTTTGCTTATCGTTAAATATAATGGCGAGGATTCGTCAATGACGACAAGTTGCTGCTGCTGCTGTTGTTGGTGTCCTTCTTCTGGGGCTAAATTTCCATCATCCCGTTGTACTTCGACGGTTACCAATTGAAATTGAGATTCTGGAAAATTTCATTTAAAAAAATGAGAGAGAAAGAGAGAGAGAGAGAGAGAGAGAGAGGGGTGATATAATAAATACCCTCGTTATTTGTCGTCGAATGATGTTTTTTCTTATGGGAAATCATTGTGGATTTCGAAACGAACGTTTTCCTACATACGTCACACTCGTACGGACGTTCTCCCGTGTGTAGTCTTTTGTGTATGGCCATAGGACTAAACTGCGTGAAACTTTGACCGCAAAATTCGCATTTGTACGGCCTTTCTCCCGTGTGAGATCTTTTTACGAAAACATAAATATACTTTTAATAAGACCAACGACTTTTTTTTTTTTTTTCGGTTAGGAAAATTACGCACCGTCTATGACATCTCAACGCATCTCTCCTCGCAAATGCTTTACCACACATTTCGCAAACGAAACTTTTCTCTCCCGTGTGCATCGTCGAATGTATTCTAAGATCGACTCTTGTTAAAAAACCTTTTCCACACACCTGACGAAATAACGTATTCAATTCAATTTACATTTTTTCAACGCGGGAAAAACAAAAATAATAATAATAATAATAATGATTACCTCACACATGAAAGGTTTCTCTCCCGTGTGTATTCTAAAATGAGTATTTAAATATGATTTGCTAACAAATAATTTTCTACAAACGTTACATGGATACTGCCTATTATCCGTTCCGGAATGAACCTTCTGATGAGATTTACATAATCCTTTCGTTAAAAAACCTCTTCCGCATATATCGCATAGAAAAGGTTTAACTCCTAAATGCCTGTTCATGTGATCCAACAAACTCTGTTTCGTTTTAAACCTTTGAGAACACTGTTTGCAAACGTAGGGTTTTAAATCACTGTGAACTCTTTGATGAACTACCAAATACGATTTACACTGAAATCCTTTACCGCATGTACCGCATGAAAATTCATATTGACCCGAATGATTTGCTTCATGTTGTGCCAAACCGATTTTCGATCTAAAACAAATTACAATTCGTACTAAACACAAAGCGTTGTTAAATTTTTTTTTTTTTATCGAGTTTACCAACCTGAATGCCTTTTTGCAATCCTGATAAGAACATGAATAAGGTTTTTCACCAGTGTGTTTTCTCATGTGTTCTTGTAATTTATAATTCGTCTGATATTGTCTACCACATTCCATACAAACTTTACTTTCGTTTTTTTTTCCACCCGTTTTTAATCTGACATTTTTTTTCGATGAAACAGTCTGAGGATTTTTGACAGTTTCCACATTAGGAGGATCGCTAACAACATCCTTTTTACCATCCACATCACCGACATCATCATCATCATTCATCTTACTGTCACTTAATATCAAATCTGAATTTGATTTCATTTCAGGTACAAGATCTGTCGACGATTCCAAAACTATGTTACTCTCATGTACATTATTTTCACATTCAGTTGAACAAACTTGTGATGATAACAAATCGTTTTTGAACTTTGGAGAATGCTGGATAATAAAAAAAAATCATCATTATCGTTTATCGACTTTCCTTTTCATAAACTTTCGAATAAACAACTACTCACAATTTTAAAATCATCATCATTATCTTGATTATAATTAGATTCCATGACAACAGGTTGTTGTTGTTGTTCTTCTTCTTCTTGTAATGAAATTGTCTGTTCGATTATGTTATCATTATTAACAGTTATCATATTGGTAAAAAGATGTGCTGTTAATATGCTTCTCTCTCTAAAATCAAATAGTAGATCAAGTTTGCAGGCACATTCAACGCAAACCATTTTGGGAAAACTGTCATCAATTGAAATCTAAAATTTTTTAAATTTTGTTTACATACAAGTTATCGAGTGTGTCACAATAAATACCTAAATTTATATATACCTGTATTGGAAGGCACACGGTTATTTTTTTAAATATTTGCCTATGATCCGAATCGAATATATTGATTCCCATGAGAACATCTATTTTTCCAGCACATAGACGGCATAGATCTTCTAACGAATTAACCGTTTCGACCATTTTTCCTTTTTTTTTAAAATTTTAATTATGATATTTTAAATATTATTTCATGATGTAAAAAAATTGACTTTTTCATTATATTTATGTTAAAATATTTATCGAACGTTTAAAAAAATATAAATGTAAATACAACGTTACGACGCCATTTTGATTCATCGTGTTATAAATGTTTACTTAGCAGACGATCATTGAGTTTTTGCGGATTCTAAAATCGTTTTCTTATTTATAATAATAATAATAATAATTTCTTTTTTCCATTTTCATTATTCGACGAATTGCTATAAAAATTAATAAGAGGTTTCCTTTTCATCTTTTTTAAATGGTCGGTTATGAGAATTATCAGGTGTGCATTCGTTCGAAATTGTTACCGTCTCATTAATGAATTATTTTCAGAAAACGAAAGAGGTATTGAATTTCGTATCATTTCAATCTCATTTTCCGTTTAATAAAACATTCCATGCATCGAGCGTATGATAAATTTTTTTTCAAAATGGCGTGGTCCTCCACGACCAACAATAATAAGTTGATAAGGAAAATTTTTTTTTTTTCGTGAAACGTTTCCATTTCCATCAGTCTTAAAGAATGTAATCTGTAATGAAAAAACGATTACATTTTTAATTTTTTTTTACATTTAAATGGTACAAAACGAATTAATCTTCGGTTATTATATGTGACAAAGTAAATGTCTTAATCGAAAATATACATTTTGTTTATAATAAAAAAAAATTATATCAAGGTACTTTTTGATTGGTCGTTTGACAATTTCTTTTTAACCAATCACAATCAAGACATACGGAAGGATTTCCTGCGGGGAAAAATTATTTTTTTTTTCAAAGTCAAAAAACGAGATTTGCACGTTTTGAAAAACTGAAAATTTTCATTAAAAACACGTCGAAAATAATAAACGATTTATTTTCATCGAGTTTTCTTTTATTCGACGAGAAAAATTTATCAAAATTATTTATTTAAAATAAAAGGGCGTCGAATGGGATTAGTTACAATATTATCCACTTGTTAAAAAATAGCGCTGATGACGGTGATCGGCGGTCATTTTGTACAAAGTCAGATAGGAAAAAAGGAAGCGTTCGTTGTGTTAAAAAAAAATTTTTTTTTTTTTTTTTTTTTTTTCTCGATAGGAATTATCTGCACCGATGTACGGGATAAGGGATAAATTATGTCTGCGTTAAATTATATGGAATTGTGTAGATTGTGTTTAGTTAAAGATAGAGTACAAATACCTATATTCGAAGGAGAAGGAGATATAAGGCAAATATTTCTCAAAATAGCTGCTTGTCTTCCAGTCAAGGTGGGTGCCTATCTTTACGGCGTCATGACGCGCTCATTGTCTAGGCCAAAAATCCGGTCTCAACTCCCTTCTCATTATTATTCTTTTTCATTTATCCTTCGTTTTCATTATGTTTTTTCTTCAAAGAGATCTTTGGTTTTGCATCTTCATCATTTTTATTTTTTCAATGTTCTCAGGGCGTGGTCTTTTCCTTTTTCCCCTCCTGACTGTATCTCGCCCCCTTCTCGTGATCCATAAAGTCAGTAGTCACACACACACACACCGGAAACCGTAAATTTCATATTCTAATTATTATTTTCAGGTTAAAAAAGATGACAAGCTTCCAAAAAAAATATGTGATGATTGCATGTACAAAGTCGAAATGTTATATCAATTTTGGAACACGACTGCTAACGCGGAAAAACAATTATTGGAATGGCTTGGAGAAGCCGCGGAAAAAAAGACGACGACGACTCCACCTCCTCCACCTTCCGAACCAGTTAGTTTTAACAAACGTATTTTCCATCTTTTTTTAATAACCTTCACAAGCAACAATTTTAAACATTTTTACATATTCATTTCAGAACGTGAAACAAGAAAGTTTAGAGCAAGATCCTTGCTCAGAATTGGCTAAAAGTCTTAGTAGAGTAGAAGCTGTTTTGGCTGAAGCAAGAGAAGCAGAGTCTGACAATGAGCCATTTCCTAGTGGCAAACCGGAGACTGATTCGGATGATGAGCCTCTCAGCTCTTTGGAACCCACAACTTTTGTCAATGTCGAATTAGATGGATCTGGTACTGGTACTGGTACGACAGAGTCACCCCATGCAACTCAGGGAGAGTTCCTAGCGCCTGGTGCGCCCTCAACAAGTAAAACAATTAATTCGACTAATTCGCAAACTGCCACCAGTGGGTAAGTTACAACATTACTACTACTACTACTACTACTACAATGCATCACAACAAAGTTTTTTCAACTCGACACAACAATCCATGTTAACAACAGTAACATCATGAAAACTTGTTGAATAAAATTTACCCGAGTTGAAAAAACTTTGTTTGAATCATATCTCGATTGATGATTTATTATTTAATTAATGTCATCATGTCTCGATGTAAATTTAAACTGGTTTCGAATGACATTTTTTTTTAAAATAAATCATCAATCGATATGAATTTTCATTTGTGAATTAAATTTATATACATAAAAAACTATTATTATTATTATCATGTTATTTTAAACAAAAACTTCTTGTTCAGTTGTGACAATCAAAAGTGTTTGTAAGGTAAGTACAGTCGTCACACTAGCATGAAGTCAGTTACTCGTGCGCGATTTAACCGCCGTTCGCGTTTTGTCCGTTTAAAAAAAAACCGTTAAAATTTACCGTTCGTAATTTTAAAATTTTTTTTGAAAATGCCGCGTTTTTTTTTTTTTTTTTTACATTTGCGTGAATTTTTTTTTTTTTTTTTTTTTTCGGTAAGGTAAACTGTAAAACGATTAAAAGGTATGATAGATTTCCGGTAAGTACTCTTATAAGGTAAAGTAAGGTTTGTAATTTATTTTTAATTTAATTTTGTCAGTTTTTTCATTTCCGTTTCCGTTTTTATTTTTTTATCGAGTAATATGTAGTTGAAATTTCTTTTAATGCAGGTAAGTTTGCAATTTAATTTTTTTTTTTTTTGTTTAAATAATGACCGTTATGGAACGTTATTGTCGTTATAAAAAAAAAAAAAAAAAAAACGATTCGCGAAAAAAAAAAAAATTTAAATTTAAATTTTACCGCGAATTTTCCGCCGTCGTAATTATTATTATTATTATTTTTAAATGTGAAATTAATTAAACGTTTAAACTCGCGTAATTGATAATAATAATAATAATAATAATAATTGAAAAAAAAAAAAAAAAAAAAATTTTTCCTTACCTTACCCCGCATGTGCGTGTGAACTCGACGAGTTGTTTGCGACAACTGATCTGGTGGCCGTTTTGAGAACTAATTTTTTTTTCAAGATGGCGGACGGACAAGTTGGTAGCGCTAGTGACGTGTTTTGTGTCGTCTGTTTGTTTGTTTGTTTACTATTCGGGTGGTGTTTTCGAATCGCGTTTCGAATATTTTCATTTTGATTTTAGATGAAATTACGTGGGCGTAATTCGAATTTTTTTTTTTTTTTTTTTTGTTAAATAATTTGTAAAAAGTCAATGGATTTATACATCATAACAATATTATCATGATTATTATTAAATTTGAGTATTTTAAAGTGGTTAAAATGAAAGTTTTACTTACTTTGCGGTTAAAGTGATTTTAACGTTCAAAAGTGTTTGAAGTGTAAAATTTTAAATTTATTATTATTATTATTACCTGTTAAAATTCCGAAGGTTTAACCCTTGTCGTTATTAAGTTGAAAATGCCACAGCATCTGTGAAAGGAAAAAACAGTAATTAAGGTTTTTTTTTTTTTTTTTTTTGTTATAAATTAAATAGATTTCAATATAGTAATAATAATAATTGTTTTTTTTTTTTTTTTAGGTTTCGTTAAGAAAAGTTGTATTTAGAAAACCTTTTTTTAATATAATATTCTTTGCTAGTCATTTATGCGTTTTAAATTTTTTTTTCTTTTTTTTTTTTTTTGTTGTTGTCTAGAGAACAGAAAGTTGTTGTTCGATCGGAAAACGTCGAGGAGGTTTGTTCGCAAAAGAAAAAATACGTTAGAAAGAAAAAATTGATTGACAGAGGAGGACCGAGAAAGTGTTCGGTTTGCGATTACGTCGCAGTGTTGCACAGAATGGTCATTCACGAGAGGAGACACACGGGAGAACGTCCCTTCAAGTGTAAGGTTTGTGGAAAATCGTTCATGGCGAACGGAACTCTCACGAAACACTATTTAACGCACGTCGGAGGCACACCCTACGAGTGCGACGTGTGTCACAAACGTTTCAAATTGAAAAACGCTTTGTACATACACAAACGCATGCACACGATAGGTAAGTGCTTCACGTGCGAAGTGTGCGGGTATGCGGCCTACCAAAAGTCGAATTTAGATTTGCACAAGAGGAGGCATTTTGCGGATTATAAATTTACATGTTCGGAGTGTAAAAAAGGTTTCTACCTCAAACACGAGTACGAGAATCATTTGAACGTTCACACGGGCGAGAAACCGTTCAAGTGCGAAGTGTGCGGAAAATGTTACCCGTTTCAATCGAGTCTTCACTATCACATGAATTCGCATAATTCGACGAGTCGCGTCGAAACGAAAAACTATCACTGCGACAAGTGTTCGATGTCGTTCGCGGCACCGAGCAGGTTAAACAAACACATGAGAACTCACACGGGCGAAAGACCGTTCGCGTGCAACACGTGCGGTAAAAGAGTGTCGACGAAAGAATCGCTCGCGGATCACGTTCGGATACACACGGGAGAAAAACCTCACAAGTGCAGTTACTGCAGCAAAGCGTTCATAAAGAAAACTCTACTCAAAGCACACGAAAGGACTCACACGGGAGAGAAACCCTACGCGTGTTTGATTTGCGGTAAAGATTTCACGCAGCAATCGTCGCTGTCGATACACTCGAAAAGTCATCAAAAGTCGACGATGGGTAAAAATGACGACAAATGCGACGTGACGTTCGTCGAATCGAAGGATTTGGAAAAGGGAGAAGAAGACGAGACTCAAATCCTTCTCCCCCGGGACAACAACAACCCCATTCACGGACAAATGGAAAATCCGACGAGTCAACACGAATCACTAACACGAATATCATCGTATCACGTTCAAGTTCCCATGGCTGCCGCCTACGTTTTAAATCCGACGGAAATACAATTCCAGGCTCAAGAATCGTGTTTGACAAACAGTTTGCTTAATTTAAATTAAGATGAGATGAATATTTATTTATTAAAATTATTTTAATTGTAAATTGTGAAATAAATTGAGAATTTATTATTAATAAATTATTTGTTAATTTAAATTTAAATTTAATTTTTTTGTTTTTGGAAGTTTACGCGGTTTTTTTTTTAAAGAAAAATTAATTTATGGAATGATGTCTTTTCTAGGTCTATGATGGTGGGTGAAAAAATATTAAAATGTGAATTTTACATTGAGAGAAAAAAAAGACATTGTAAAATGTTGGCAAAATCGGGAACGAAATATTGCGTTGAACACGGAGTTGGGAAAAATGGCGGCGACGGTGGCGACGGAAACGGAAACGACGGAGTAAAGGGTGATAGAACTCCTTGTCCGTACGATCCTAAACACAGTTGTTATTTAAGCAAATTGAAAAAACATATGAAAAAATGCAATTCGAGACCGGGGGATCCCCTAGAGTATATAAAACCGGGTACGAATCTATTCGACGACGAGAATGAAAGAGAAGAAGAAGAAGAAGACGTCAAATATTCCATATCGTCCGTGTCGGACGATTTACTCATGAGTCTAATAGAGAAAATCAATTTCGTTTACGATAGCGAAGGGTTGGAGGATTGCGATGTGAAGGTGTTGTCGCACGACGTCGTGGCACCAGCACTCAACGACGGGGAAATGGGAACGAACGCGAAAAAACATTTGATGCAAAATTCATCGATATTGAAAAACATGGAGGAAAATAATTTTTTACGATCGAGCGTGACGTACGTGGAATTCGGAGCGGGTCGGGGACAATTGGGTTACTGGATATCGCAAGCCGTGAAAAACGAGGAAAATTGTTGTCTCATTTTAATCGACAAAGCGAGTCACAGACACAAATCCGACAATAAGCTCAAAGGGAATTTACCCATACGAACGTTGAGAATACGAGCGGATATCGCGGACGTGGATCTTTGGAAAATATCTACGCTCGCGTCGGGAAACGACGTGGTAGGAGTGTGTAAACACTTGTGCGGAGCCGCGACGGATTTGGCACTCAGGTGTTTGGTCAGAGGACGAGAGAACGGATTGAAAATAACGGGGATGTGCATGGCGTTCTGTTGTCATCACAGGTGTTCGTGGTCGAGTTACGTCGGAAAGAAATTTCTCACCGACGTCGGATTCGTTCCGCGACAATTTTCCGCTCTCTGCAGCATAACGAGTTGGGCGACGTGCGGATCTGGGAAACCGAGGAGGAGGGAAAAAAAAAAAAAAAAAAAAAAAGAATCGTCGGAATGTGAGAGGGAGACGTCGAACGCGAACGTTGATCCGGATCGTTATGGGAAATTCGGTCTGACGCAAGAAGTGAGAGAAAAAATCGGTCGAAAGTGTAAAATGATAATTAATCGGGGAAGGTTGAAATATTTGGAAGATCACGGATTTTCCGGTAAATTGATTTTCTACGTCGACGAAAATGTTTCGCCGGAAAATGTTTGCGTCATGGCGACGACAAAATGATGATGATGATGATGATGATGATTGAATAAGGCACCGCACCGCACCGCGCCGACACATTTTCTATCTATGTTTTTGTTATGTTATTTTTTCATATGATTATTATTATTATTATTATTAAATTGAATTAAATGGGAAATTATTATTATTATTATTATGTTAATTGATATTTAAATTTTAAATAATTATATATTTCCTGATAAGGTTCCTTGATTGATTGAAAATGAGATTTGGAAGAGAAAAAAGAAGAAGAATATAAGGAAATTGTGAAAAAGCAACATTTGGATAAAATAAACAAGAGAGAGAGAGAGAGAGAGAGAAAGAGATAGAAGGAGAGGGAGAAAAGGAAGGGGTAGGGGGATAGGGCAAAAAAAATTTTTTTTTTTTTTTTTTAAACCCTTAACATTGGAAAATTATTTTTCTTGCAGATGTGCTAAAAAAAATGGAAATCGCGTTGGAAAAACGATGATCGATGAAAGGAGTGAGAAGAAAACCGTCGCGAAACGTCCTTATCGTAAAAAATTATTATTATCGTCGTCGTCGTCGTCGTCGTCATGTCCGAAAGGAAAATCATTACGGAAAAACGTGATTAAAAAAAAAAAGAAAAATGGTCGTTCTTTTCCTTTACGTTGCGATAAGTGTGAAATTGATTTTAACGAAACGATGGAAATGAGTCAACATTTAAAAGAGGAGCATTCGGATGACGTGAAATATTCTTGTGACACGTGCGGTGCTTGTTTTGCGGATAAAAAACAATGCAGGGAACACATAATGAAACATTTGGAAAAAATGAATGGAGAGAAAGAAAGTGCGGAAAATTCGTCAAAGGAAGGAGGAGGAGGAGGAGGAGAAGAGGAGGGGAAAACTAAAAAGGGAGGGAAACAACACGTTTGTTTGGTTTGCAACATAAAATTTTTCTCGTTGGATTTGTACAATCAACATCAGAACATACACACGGGTGAGAAACCCTACAAGTGCGACATGTGCGACAAATCGTACCCTTTGAAACTCTCTCTCGGCAAACACAAAGTCATCAAACACAATCCGAATTACGAGCCTAAAAAACCGTCGAAACGTTTGCAGTGCGAGGAATGTGGGAAACAATTCGCATATTCTCACTCTTTGAAAACTCACATGATGACGCACACGGGTCAAAAACCCTACGTGTGCAGTCACTGTGGAAAATCGCTCACGAGTCGTCAAACGTTGTACGAACACGTCAACGCGATACACACGGGTAACAAACCGTATTCGTGCGACGAATGCGACAAATCATTCGTCACGTCGAAAATACTCAGGCTCCATAAGAAAATACATTTGAAAGTCAAACCGTTCGTTTGTAAAATGTGCGGCAAGGGATTCACTCAAAGCACTCCCCTCCTCTTTCACATGCGCTATCACCTGGGTCAGAAACCGTTCGCTTGTTCTCACTGCAACAAGGGATTCGTGTCCGTGTCGCTCATGAAACGTCACGTTCGATTGAGTCACGACGAGTGCAACAGGGAAAGTCTCGAGTGTTCGCAGTGTTCGGAAACGTTCAATTCGAAACTCTCGCTTAGAAAGCATAAAAAAGTTCACTGGCCGAGCGTGTATTCGTGCGAACCGTGTCAGAAAACGTTCGACCTTCGGAGCAAGTACAACAGGCACATGAGGAGTCACAACAAGTCGGATTTGTGTTGCGCGCACTGTCGGAAAACTCTCTCGTCGAAATCCTCGTTGAAAAGACATTTGAAAACTCACGCGGATGAAAATCACAAGGCCACGAATCAAATGATGATGTACTGATTCATTCGCAAAAGCTTTAACCACGTGACTTATTCTCTCTCTCTCTTCGGGGAGGGGAAAGAAGTGGTGGGGGCGTGAGGGATGGGATGGGAGGGGAGGGGTAGGGGTAAACGTCACCACCGAGCTCAATTCCTATTTAATAATAATAATAATAATAAACTTTTGTGTAAAATTTATTTATTTTTTTTTTTTTTTTTACTCTGTTGTTGTTGTTGTTGTTATTGTTTTATTTTTATATATTTTTTTTTTTTACTAATAGAAATTTTTTATTTTTTGAATTGAAAATTTTTTGCTGTTGTTGTTGTTGTTTATTATTATTATTATCGATTGTATCGGTTTTGTGTCATTGATTAGGATTGATTTGAAATTGTTTTTGGTGATGAATTGTGGTGATTGATTGTGGTCACGCATCACAATTAGAATTAGTATGAAACACGTTTGTTTGATATAACATTTTTTTTTTTTTTAAATTTTTTTTGATTTCAGGAAGGGAGAAGATGAAAATGTCGTAAATATCAACACGAAATGTGTTAATAATAATTACAAATGCATTATCTGCGGGAAAAGTTTTTGTACGGAAATGATATTGTATTTGCACATCACGAAACGTCATCATTCGAACGAAATAACCATAATCGGGGATACGTCGAGTGGGACGGGACTCTTAAACTGTTGCTATCGAGTCGTTTCCGAATCGAAAAAAGAATTCTCAGATCAACAACAGAACAAGAGGAAGTATTTGGGAAAAGCAAATCCGAACAAGGAAAATCGGAGTCCCGGAGCCCTCGTCGAAGGAAGCGCAAAAAAAAAATCAAAAATGAAAACGTCACCGAGAACTTTTCATCATTTGAAACAAACGGAAGTGAACAACGAATCGGATGTTTCCGGTGAAACATTCAAACGGGAAGAATTTGAGAACGATTTGTGTTGGGAAAAATTCAAAGGAAAACAGGGTTTGAAGTGTCACGTGAAATTGACTCGCGATGATGCGGACGTGGAAATCGAATGCGAATCCAAAACGTGTGATAAATTATTCGACACGTGCAATCAATTCCGAGAAAACCGCGAAGAAATCCACGTGGAAAAAGACGACATGAAAATTCCCAAAGCGTCGAGAAAAGGTTCAAGTGCGATCCGTGTAAAATAAGTTTCGATAGGAGCGAAGATTTGAAAAGTCACGCCAGAGAACGACACGGGGAAGGGAAAACATTTTGCGAATGCGACGTGTGTAAAAAATGTTTCGGATCGAAGAAAAGAATTTTACAACATTTGGTGAAGGCACACCTGGGGGAGGATTTGACAAAAGTCGACGACGACGACGACGACTCGAACGTTCCGGACATTTTTGACGACAGCGGGAAAAAACGTTGCAAGAGAAAACGTTTGAAGTTGGATAAACCTTTCAAGTGCGATTACGAAAACTGTCAGTATTCCGCGTCTCAGTTTGCCTTTTTGAAAAATCACAAAAACAAACACAATCCATTTTACGAGTGCGTGACGTGTTTTGAAAAATTTCCCGGACGATCCGAACTCAAAGCTCACATGTCGACGCACGGTGAGAGGCCGTACAAGTGCGATCAGTGCAATAAATGTTACAAAGACAAACACGGTTTGGGGTGGCATAAAAAAGTGCAACACGATCCGTCCCGTTTGAAATTCACATGCGAACTCTGTGGCAAAACCTATCCCTTCGACAGCCTCCTCACGCAACACATAAATCTCACGCACGCGACGGAAAAGCAAAGCGTTTGCGACATTTGCGGTAAAAACGTGAGCAAAACGTACCTTCCCATGCACCGGAGAACTCACGGTGAAAAACAACACGAGTGCGACGTGTGTCGGAAAACGTTTCTGGAAAAGGCTTATTTGAAAAGGCACAAAATGATACACACGGGTGAAAAGCCCTACGTGTGCAACGTTTGCGGGAATTTGTTTCGTCAGCACAGCACGCTCACGATACACATGAGAACGCACACGGGTGACAGGCCGTACAAGTGCGTGACGTGCGAAAACGCGTACAAAACTCATCACAATTTGAAAAAACATTACAAGAGAAGCGGTCACAAAATGGTTTGAATCGAAAACGCACAAACGCATAAATTCGATTTAATCGATCCGATCGATCGATCGATCGATCGATGGATCGATTGATCGATTTTTTTTTTTTTTTGTTTTTTAATTTAAATGTTTGATTTGTAATAAAAAAAAAAAATTATTATTATTATTATTGTTTATTTGTTGTATGTATGTTTTATCGATATCCTCGAAAAAAAAAAAATTTTTTTATTACGGAACACGAAAAAGTTTAATTTTTTTTTTTTACTTTTTTACGTTTTTATTTTTTTTAATTTTAGATTAATTGAAACGTCTAAAAGTGTTTGTGTTGAAGAGGGAAAATGGTGTTTAAAGGAAAAACGGGACGAAAGAGAAAAAAGAAAGAAAAGCGATTTCGGACAACAAACTGAACCGGAAAGGAAAAGGAGAAAAAACAAGTGGGAAAAAAAAAAATCCGCGGGGGTTCAACGTAGGAAAGAAATAGAAAATTTATTGGTTGAAATAATTGAAAAAAAAATGGCGGATAAACAACGTAACAAACAAAGCGATGAGTCGACGACAAGGGGTGAAGCGGCTGAAGAAAATTGTCGTCGAGACGGAAACGAGAAAGTGACGTCGGAAAACGTCGGAACCGGAAATGATAAAACGGAAAAAATAAATAACGGCGAAGCGGGGAAAGCGGCGAGCGAGACAAACGTTAGTGGTAAGGGTGGTAAAAAAAAAAAAAGGGGGAAAACGAAAAAAATAATAACGTGCGAATTTTGCGGGAAAAATTTCGAAAGAAACGGTAATTACGTGGAACACAGGAGAACTCACACGGGAGAAAAACCTTACGAATGTGGAATTTGCCTCATGAGATTCGGATCTCACGCGGGTTTGAGCAGGCATAAATTCGTGCATCAAGATTCTAGAACTTTCGTTTGCGAAATATGCAATAAAATATTCAAACATCAAATACAATTGAAATATCATAAGGAAACGCACACGAACACGACGCCGTTGAATTGCGACATGTGTTCATACGTCACGCTGTCGAAACACTATTTGAACCTTCACAGAGCGACGCACTTGAACCGGGACAGGTTCGTGTGCGGAGTTTGCAACAAGGGTTTCAATTCTCGAACGTATTTGCTCGAGCACATGAACAAACACTCGGGCGACAAACCTTTCCTGTGCGACATTTGCGGAAAATCATATCCGGCGCGCTACAGTCTCGCCATACACAAACAAATGAAACACGATCCGAATTACAAGCCGAGGGGACGAGTTCCGTGTCAGTTTTGCGGTAAAATGATACTCAATCGTAAGCAAGACCTCGTGAGACACAAGGGAATGCACACGGGCGAAAAACCCTACGTGTGTCACTTTTGCGGAAAAGCCGTCACGAACAGGGAATCGTTGAAAACTCACGTACGATTGCACACCGGTGAAAAACCCTTTTCCTGCGACACGTGCGGAACGAATTTCGTGAGCAAAAACCTTCTCAGGGTTCACAACAGGACTCACACGGGAGAGAAACCCTACTCGTGCAACGTTTGCGATAAATCTTTCACGCAACGGTCAAGTCTAGTCGTACACCAAAGAACTCACGTGTCGGTACAACCGTTGGAATGCGAGAGTTGCGGAAAAGTTTTTCTAAGCTTTAACAATTTACAAGAACACGTGAAAACTCACAACAGCGACAGCAACAGCAGTATTTACACGTACAGAGTGATTACGTAATCAATTGTTACGTCATAATAATAATAATAATAATAATTTGAACAATATTGTTTGTTATTTTTAAAATGTACACAAAATTAAATTTATATTTTTTTGTTTTTTTTTTGTTTTTTATATAGTAATAAATTAAAAAATTTTTTTTTATGGGTCAAATCATTAAAAAAATTCTCCTTCATCGATATAGAACCAAATGAAATTTAAAAATATAAAAGTGGGGGAGGGGAGGGGTAAAAAAAAAAAAAACGATTTCTAATTAAATTTTAATTTCAGGTCAATTTCAAAGAAATACAATAATAATGATAATTCGACCGTACACGAAAAAGATGATGACGAGAAAATCAGGCACAAAAGGAAATTAGAAAAGGAAAATTTAAGTGAAAAGACGAGGATGACGACGCCACCGCCGCAGCAGCAGCAGCAGCCGACTCCCGTTTTAAACATTCAAATACTCAACGACTCGTCGAAACTACGGGAATCCCTAGAGGAAAGATGCAATTCGAAAAGTTATTCCGTTGCAGAATTTATACTATCGAACGACAAAGCGATCGTTAAGAAAAAAAAAACGAAGCAGAAGATACAAGAGGGTGGGAAAAAAGAGGGGAATAAAAAAAAGAAGAAGAAACACGTTTGCGAATATTGTTCGAAAACGTTCATGTGGAAAAGCGTTTTGGACGAACACCGGAGAACGCACACGAAAGAAAAACCTCACAAGTGTAAAATTTGCGGTGTCGGATTCGGATCCTATGCCGGATTGTGGAAGCATAAAATCGTACACGTCACGGCGAAACCGTTCGAATGTCAGATATGTGGTAAAAGTTTCAAAAGATCCGTTCAATTGAAATATCACATGGAAATACACACGGGTACGGAAACTCTAAAATGTGACTCGTGCGAGTACTCGACGGTTTCGAAAAGGTGCCTACAACTCCACAGAGACACGCACAAGAGCAAATTGAAATTCGTTTGCCAAATATGCCACAAGGGATTCAATGCGAAATCGTATTTGATGGAACATTCGAACGTTCACTCGGGTTTGAGACCGTTTTTGTGCGACGTGTGCGGAAAATCGTATCCGGCGAAAACGAGTTTGTCGTTTCATTTTCAAAAGAAACACGGTTTCGGAAAACCCGTCGAGAAAAACCAATGCGACGTGTGCGGTAAAATGATCGTGAACAGAGCTCAGGACATTGCGAGACACGCGAAAACTCACGAAAAATCGAAAAAATTCATTTGTCACGTGTGCGGTTTGAGTTTGACGACGGAAGACGTTTTAAAATCTCATTTGCTCCTGCACGTGGATGAGAAAATTTTTTCGTGCCATTTTTGCGGGGAGAAATTCGCGACGAATGACTCGTACGCGACGCATTTAAAATTTCACGGAAATGATAAGCAAAGTGGTATTGAGACACCGATCGATGGTGATGACGTCGACGACGATGATGATGGTGACGGTGACGATTATGAAGATGGCGACGGTGGAATTTACCAAATCGATACCGGAGGGAATTTAATCAGTCAATTACTCATAGCCGACGCGGGAGGAGGAGGAGGAGGGATCGGAATAAAAAAATCCTCGCAAGAAATAATTTGTTTTAAAATTGAAAATAATTTTTTTTCGAGCGTCTTAAAATGAAAGTGGTTGTAGATATGGCAGTTTTTTCGGGGAAGAAGACAAAAAAGAAGAAGATGAAACGAAGGAGGAATTACTATATATTTTTCAGATAAATGTTATTATCAATTATTATTATAGAAATTTTTTTTTTTTTTTTTGTTTTCATTTTATTTCCACGTCATTTTTATTGCTGTTGTTGTTGTTGTCAGTATTGTTATTATTATTATTATTTTTATTTCAGGAATGATGAAAGCGTCGGCACGATAAAATCCGAAATTCGAAATTTGAAATTCGTCTGTGACGTTTGCAACAAAATATTTACGACGGCGTATAAATTAAATCGTCATTCGGTGTCGCACAGGAGTGAAAGGCCGTACAAGTGTGCGACGTGTCAGAAGAGTTTCAAAAGATCGCAAGAATTGAAAAGTCACGGAAAACTACACACGGACGAGCGGCAATACAAATGCGATTTGTGTCCGGCAATATTTTTTCTACCGTCACGTTTAAAAGTTCACGTTAATCGTCACACGTCCGCGTATCGGTTTCACTGTCAAAAATGCGACAAGGGTTTTCACACGACGACGGAGCTCAAGTGTCACGATAATCTACACCACGGCACGGGATCACACGCGTGCGGGATTTGCGGGAAAACTTTTCCGAATAATTCGTCGTTGGAAAAGCACAAACACATCCACGATCCCGATTACATACCGGAAAAGCACAAGTGCAGCATGTGCGACAAAACTTTCGCGCATAAATCGTCGCTAAACATTCATTTCAAATCTCAGCACACGCGGGAAAATAATTACATTTGCGACGTGTGCGGGAAAAAGCTCAAAAGCAAAACGACTTTGACGTGGCACTTGATGACTCACACGGGTGAAAAGCCGAACGGATGTGACGTTTGCGGAAAGAGATTTGCGAAAAAAGCAAATTTACTAGTTCACAAACTCACTCACACGGGTCAAAAATTATACGTTTGCGATAAATGCGGAAGGAGTTTTTCTCAAAGGTCATCTTTGACGATACATCAAAGGTATCACACGGGCGTTCGACCCTACACGTGTTCCACGTGCGGAAAAGGTTTCGTATCGAGATCTCAAATGAACGCACACGTCAAAAATCAACATCACAATCGATAAAAGAAACGTAAATATTTTTTATACGAAAAAAAAATGGATATTAATTAATAAAAACTAAGTAATTGATATACAATCGTTTTTTTGTGGGGGGTGTGAAGAAGGGGAGGGGGTTGTAATCGTCCTTTTTGTAAAAACGTCTTTTTTAATTTAATTTAATTAATTTAAATTTTTTTTGTCATTTCAGATCGAGCGAATTCACAAACGAAAAAATTTCGATGGAATCAAATGATGATGATGATGATAAAACGATACTCGATCGTAAATCGACGTCATCATCATCATCGACGTGTAAGAAGAATTCAAACGAGGATGAAAGCGAAACTTTATATTGTAAAATTTGTCGTAAAAATTTCACGTCGAAAATAAATTACGGGAGACACGTGAAAAACGTGCATAAAAAAAACGACGGCGACGTCCTCCTACCTCGCGTCACGTGCAACGTGTGTCATAAAACTCTCAAGAATAAATATTATTTGAAAACTCATTTGAAAATTCACGCACCGGAAACGGATTACAAATGTCCCCTTTGCGAGTACAAAAACAATAATTTATTTTACATGAAGATACACGTGAGCAAGCACAAAAATCAACCGACGTACCAGTGCGAGATATGCGGTGATAATTTCTACGAAAAATCCACTCTTCAAACTCACATTCAAGTCAAACACGGGCGTGGGTTCGAGTGTAAAACCTGCGGGAAAACCTACAGAACGAAACAGAGACTTCGGGAACACGAGAAAACTCACGATCCGAATTTCGCCGCGACATCGAACGACAGCAAACACCAGTGCGAGGAATGCGGGAAAACGTACAAGCACAGAGCGCAGTTGAAAACTCACGTGCTCAGGCACAAGGGTTTGGACGTGAAATACACGTGTAACGTTTGCGGTAAAACAGTAACGACGAAAAAATCGTACACGAATCACGTGAAAATACACACGGGAGAAAAATCGAGCATTTGCGACATTTGCGGCAAAGCATTCACGGTCGAAAAGTATTTGATCGTGCACAGGAGAACGCACACGGGTGAAAAACCCTATTCTTGTTCCACGTGCGGGAAAAATTTCACACAGAGAGCATCTTTGGTCATACACAATCGTTATCACACCGGTGAAAGGCCCTACGTTTGCAGGATATGCAATAAAGGATTCGTGACGAACACTTTGCTGTCGGCACATAAAAAAACTCATAACGCATGAATTTTTTAAAAGGGGAAGAGCAAGGGGGGTGGTAAAAAAAGTTTTGAATAAAAAAATATTTAAAAAAAATGGATTCCTAATTTGTGGTTTTTTTTGTTTAAAATGCATCCGTTACAACAAAAAAAAAATAATAATAATAATAATGATGATGATGATGATTTTTTAATGTAATCGTTTTCGTTTCAGGATAAAAAAGAAGAAAAGGACAAACGTAAAGTCGTCGTCGTCGTCGTCGTCGATATTTAGAAAGAAATTAATCGGAATTAATCGAATGAATCGACTTAAGAGAATGAGAAAGATTAAAAAAAGGGTAATAAACGACGAGGAAAATGTAACGGCAAAGGGAAAAAAATTAGAGAAGAGCGAAGGAGGAGGAGGAGGAGGAGATGTCGTGGAAACGGATAATTTATCGTTTTCCTATTTCGAACCGGAAATCAAAATCGAATCGGGTAACATAGCGAACGCGTCGAGTAACAATAACAACAACAACATCAACAATCAGTCGTCTCAACAACAGGATTATTTATCAAATCCTCCCATTCCGACCGTCAGATGCACTCTATGCGGAGAAATGGTTCCCGCTAACACGTTCGAAAAGCATAAATTCGTCGAAGAATTGTATCTCTCCGCCATGAAATGTAGGATATGCAACGTGACTTTTAAAAAAAAATCCGCTTTTAGAATACACATATACGACCAGCATAAAATCCACCATTGCAAATTGTGTCCGGAAGTTTTTTCCAAACGTCAACACTACCGAATGCACAAAGAACTCGTACACGATTTGAAAAAAAAACCTAGAGTACCTTGCGATTTGTGCAATCGTACATTTGCGAGCAAGCAAATATTGAAAAGGCACAGGAACGAAGTGCACTTCGGTCAGAGAGAACCGGAAACGAAATGTCCGCAGTGCGATTATAAATCATACAATCGATCGAACATGAAGGTTCACATCGACAAACACAACAACACACCCGCGTTCGTTTGCGACCTCTGCGGCAAGGGTTGTTTCACGAAAACGTCTCTCAACGATCACACGGCGAACGCTCACGGTCACGGATTCAAATGCGGAGTCTGCGGTAAATTTTACAAGAACGAAAGCAGTTTGAAAACTCATTCGAAAATTCACGAACCCGGTTTCGATCCGGCAGCGCTCAAACAACAGTGCGAAGAATGCGGGGAAATATTCAATCACAAGAGTTCCCTGAACAAACACTTGTTGAAACACAGGGGACTCGATAAAACGTTCGATTGCGACGTTTGCGGTAAAAAGTTGAGTTCGAAAGGATCGTACAGGTCGCACATGGCCATACACTCGGGATACAAACCCTACGCTTGCGAATACTGCGACAAAAGGTTCGGCGACAAACAATATTTGACGCAACACAGGAGAGTACACACCGGTGAGAAACCTTTCAAGTGCGACGAATGCGGACAGTGTTTCAGTCAAAGATCGAGTCTGAACAGGCACAAAAGGTATCACATGGGTTTGAGAAGGTAGAATGCAAAAAAAAAAAAAAAAATTGAAAAATTTCCTCCTCCCCCCCCCACTCCCCCGTCAGGTACGTTTGACGTTCGTCGTATGATATTTTAACGTGATTTTAATTTTGATACCGTGAAAATTTTTTCTTTTCTGTTTTTAGCTTGCGAAATAAAAAAAATGGCGGAATGAAGGAAAAATGATTAGTCAGGCACACCTGAATTACAGTTAAACCTAATTTTTGGTCAAAAATGAACAACAGAAAAAGAAAAGGAAGATTAAATATAAAATGTACATAATACCTTAATTATTGTGACGAAAAAAAAAAAACCTGACACTAAATGAAAATAAATAAATTGTTATTATTATTATTATTATTATTATTATTATTATTATTTACGCGAAGATTTTTTTTTTTATAAAAATTATTTTGAAAGGTAATGAATGAAACGATTTCCTACCGGAAGTAACGAAAAGAAAGAAGAAAAACATTTTTCACACATCACGTGACTCGTTAATTAAAAAATTTTTTTTTTTTTTTTTACGTATTTTCAGGGAGATTTCATCTCGGGAAAAACTCATGGAAGATGATAATAATAGTTTGCTAGATATATTGAAGCAAAAAAATATTTCATCCACGTGGGAAAGTATTAATAAAGAGGATGATGATGATGATGACGTAATAAAAAAAATGGATGATGGCGTTCAAACGACGGAAATGGAGAGTTTTAAGAATAGATTTTCCGAGAGGGATCGTTCGAACGACGTCGACGATTCGTCGATTATTATCGAAAACGATGGATTCGATTGCGATTCGTGCGAGAAACGATTCGAGACGAGGGAAAGTCTTAAAAATCACAAAATAAATTTCCACGAGAAAAATTTGTCGTGCGAATTTTGTAAGAAATCATACGCGTCGAGGTATCATTTGAAACAACATTTAAACAAAGTACATCCGTCGAACGCGATGGATTTGAAATGTCACATTTGCGACTATCGCACGCACAATCGTTTCAATTTAAAGGGTCACATAGACAGGCACAACAAAGCCGCGTCGTTCATATGCGACGAATGCGGTAAAGGTTTTTACTCGAAGGGAACTTTGGAAGAGCACAAAAAGGGAAAACACGGGTCCGGGTTTCCGTGCGACGTTTGCGGAGCCACGTTGACGAGCATGTCGAATTTGAGACAGCATAAGAAAACTCACGAACCCAAATCCGCGGACGTTACGTATCAGTGCGATATTTGCGGTCAGGGTTACAGAGCGAGATCGAAATGCGCGTTTAGATTGCACGTGTTGAAACACCAGGGAATAGTCAAACAGTTCAAGTGTTCGGATTGCGACAAAATACTCACGTCGGACAACAGTTATCGTCAGCACATGAGAAAACATTCCGGGGAAAAACCGTTCATTTGCGAATTTTGTAGCAAAGCGTTTTCGGAAAAGAAATATTTGCAAGTTCACCGTAGGATACACACGGGTGAGAAACCCTACGAATGCGACATTTGCGGGATTTGTTTCAATCAAAGGTCGACGATGACGTCACACAGGAGATCACACGATAAGACGTGATGGAGAAAATGGAACTCGTTTCACTCATTGGACGAATATTTTGATGACGTTTGTTTCCGCCTCTCTCTCTCTCTCTCTCTCTCTCTCTCTTTGCCTTTATTTATTTAAAATCGTCGGTCGAGAGTCATTGGAAAAGTGAAATTTGTAAAAAAATTAATTTTATTTAATTTTATTTTTTATAAGGGCGATTGAGTAAAGTTATAGAAAAATATAAAATTAAGTTTAAAGTTTTTTAATTTTTTGAAAAACAAACAAACAAACAAACAAACAACAACAAACAAACAAACAAAATAGTTTTTCCTATCATTTTATCATAAACAAAGACAAAAAGGTTTGAGATTTTTTTTTGTTATTTTTTTTTTTTAAACGAATCCGAAATTAATAATTGTAATAATTTTAATTACAGGAATTTAATCAAATCATCATCATCATCATCAGAGGGAGATATGAAAATAGAACATTGGATATTTTCTGAAATAGTAACGGATACTTTATCGGAATCGAACGTCATCGAAGGGAATAAATCGAAAACGATGGAAGAGGAGGAGGGAGGAGAGAAAAAAAATTCAGATTCGAAAGAAACATCATCGCTGTTGGAAAAAAATAAAAAAAAAAGAGGAAAGACATCGAGATCGGGACCTTTGTCGGAATTGTTTTCAAATCCTATAATGAAATGCGAATTTTGCGGTGTCATTTATCACGAGTCGGAAATGATACATCATAGGAAAACTCATCCGGAAATGAGGAGGGCATTGGAATGCGGACCGTGTAAAAAATCATTTTCGAATCAAACGCAATTCGACAGTCACAGCAATCGTCATAAGATATTCTTTTGCGAAGCTTGCAACAAGGATTTCAATCCGAGGGAAAAATACACGAAACACATGAAGAGGAAACACGGGAATTTGCCCAAAACACACGTATGCGAAATATGCAACAAAACGTTTTTGGAAAAATTCGAATTGAACATGCATAAGAAAAATCATTCGGGAGTGAAAGACAAACAGTGTCCTTTGTGCTCGTACGCGACCAACAGCACGACTTACATGAACCTGCACATAAAAAAACACAACAACGAATATGTTTTCCAATGTCCCACGTGCAACAAAGGATTTCTAGCCAACAATCAACTTCAAGCTCACATAAATTCGAGGCACGGCGACGGCGGTCAATTATTCCCTTGCGACGTCTGCAACAAAACGTATTCGAGCAAGGGAAATTTAAACGAGCACAAAAAACAACACGAACCCGGGTACAAACCGGATAAAAGTCACCAGTGCGAAGAATGCGGGAAAGCTTTCCCGAGAAAGCACAAACTTCTCAAACACGTGTTGCAACACCGGGGAGTGTTCAGTTTCAAATGCGTGCCCTGCAGAAAAGGTTTTTCTTGCAAGGTCTCACTGGACAACCACATGAAAATACACACGGGAGAGAAAAGTTGCGTTTGCGACGTTTGCGGAAAATCGTTCACGGTCAAGAGGTACTTGGAAGTGCACAGGCGGTCACACACGGGTGAAAAACCCTACAAATGCGATCAGTGCGAAAAAGCATTCACGCAACAATCCTCGTTGGTCGTACACAAGAGGTACCACACGGGTGATCGTCCGTATTCTTGCAACGTTTGCAACAAAGGATTCGTGACGGGGACGCTCCTTAAATCTCATCAGAAAAATCATTTTCGCTGATTTGGAATTGTGGAAAGGAGTGAAGGGGTAACGGGGGGGGGGGCGGGGGTTGGAGGAAACACAAATTTGATAAAAATTAAGGGGGAGGGGAGTGTGTTCGATCGTACAAATGTTTATAAAAACCGGAAGTGGAAATGAAAATGTTATGTTTTATATTGAAATGAAGTTAGTGAAAAGTTTGCCTTTAAAAAAAATTATTTAATATAATATTCGGTTGTTATTATTATCATTATTATTTTTATGTATAATATAAAAAAAATCGTAACTAATTTTTTTTATTCATTATAAAATTAAATATTATTATTATTATTACTATTTTTTTTAACGTGTTGTTTGTTGTTTGTTTGTTTGTCGTTTTTTTGAATTTATTATTATTATTATCAACAATCGATTGTGTTTGTTTATTGTTTATGTTTCGAAGCTTCTGAGCATGATAAAAATATTTATAAGGTTATTCTTATGTACATTTATATATAATTTTTTTTTTTTTCAGAAATGATGACGAAAAATTAATTACGTTTAAATTTAAGAAAAAATCAAAAATGAAATTGGAAAAAGAAAATGGGGATGACGACGACGATGATGATGGTGGTGGTGAAAATGATGAGGAGGGTTGTAATGATGACGGGAATAAAGAATTCTGGTGTCACTTTTGTAATTTGGATTTGAAAACGTCAAAGAATTTGATCGAACACAACGACGAATGTCACGTCGAATGCGATTTATGTCGGGAAGTTTTCAAAAGGAAATTTCATTTAAAAAATCACATGAAATCAAATCATTCGAACAGCGATCGTGGGAAAATCAATTGCGATCATTGTTCGAAAACTTTTCCCACGCACATGTCGCGGTGGGTTCACACGAAAACCGTGCACAAAAACAATTGGAAATACAAATGTCGCGAATGCGATTACGGGACGACTCATTCGACACTTTTTCAAAACCACGTCAAAAAACATTCGGAATCCCTCGATTTGAAATGCGAACAATGCGACAAAGAATTCAAAAGTCGATACCGATACGACGTACACGTTAAAATCCACGAAAAAGAACTTAGTTGTTCCGTGTGTCATAAAAAATTCGACAAGAGGAAAAACATGCTCAGACACGTGAGCAGGAATCACAGGTCTGAGAAAAAAATACGTGACGTTCCATGCACGGTGTGTAGTAAAATGTTTTACGATAAGTGGACGTTGAGAGTTCACATGGAAATTCATAGTAACGTGAAAGAGAAATGCACTTATTGCGAATACGAAACGTGTCACCCGAAAAATTTAAAAGCTCACGTTAAAAATCACGTAAAAGAATTTGATTTCGTTTGCGAGTCATGCGGCCGGGGTTTCCTATACAATTTCATGCTGAGAGATCACGTGACGAAAGAACACGGTGACGGTTTGCCTCGTTTGCCGTGCGAGACGTGCGGTAAAACGTTTGCCACTCAACAGTATTTGAACGTTCACAAACAATCGCACGAACCGGGTTACGAAAAAAGGAATCACCAGTGCGAAATATGCGGGAAAAAATTTCTCACGAGGAGCATGTTACTAAGACACATAAGGGGCCATAATCAAATCGTTCGCTACGTTTGCAAATACTGCAATAAATATTTATCGTGTTTGGCGACGTTGAAAGACCACGAGAAAATTCACACGGGAGAAAAACCCTTCATATGCGAAGTCTGCGGAAAATGTTTCGGCGCGAAAAAATACCTCGTCACGCATTCGAGAACTCACACGAATGAAAAACCCTACGGTTGTCGCGAATGCGGCGCGTCTTTCGGACAAAGAGGAACGTTGACGGCACATTTGAAATCTCAACATTTGAAAAAAGATGATGGCGGGAAAGAGAATGGGATCCGATGCCGTGACGTCACTTCCGTTAGCGGTAATTTTTTTTATTTATTTTCAAACGTTAATTCTAAGTTTTATTTGTTTTTTTTTTTTTCTTTTAGAGTTTCAAAACAATAAATTAAAATCGGAAAAATTTGAAATAAATGTTTGAAAAACAACCGGAAATCGCGATTTGGTTGAAAAACCTGAAACTCTCATTTTTTTCTTTTTGTAATTATTTTATTATCATTATTAAAAATGAAGATTAAAATTTTTTTTTTATTCTTTAACTTATGCCGAAAATACATGCCTGATCATAAGTTTTAAAAAAAAATTCGTTTTAGAATTAATTTTTTTAAAATAAAAATTTCAGGTTAAGAAAAAACGACGGAAATTCAAAAACGGGAGTTGAAGATTTGCCGAAAGAAAAACGTCACGAAGATTGCGAGACGAGTCAAAATGATGACGTCACGTTATCGGAGAAGGATGTGGAAGAGTTAAAAGAGAAATGTCGAAAAGGGAAAAATTATTGCATCGTTTGCAACGTACAATATTCGGATAAGATCGAATTCGAAAGTCACGCAAAAACGCATAATAAAAAAATCGTCTGTCAGATTTGTAAGAAAATATGTCCGAATCAATTGAGATTGTTGAGTCACGTGAGAAACGTTCACTCGAATGAAAATGGAAAGAAAAAAATTCCCTGCGACGTTTGTCGTAAACTTTTCGCGTCGAGAAATTCGTTGTGGGTGCATAAAAAAAATCGTCACGTGGAAAATTGGGATTTGATTTGTTCCACATGCGGATTCGGTACCAACAGTAAAGAAAAGTACGACGAACACGTGCGAAAAGGCGGGAATGAAAATCATTCGTCTTTCGAATGCGATTTTTGCGACAAAAAATTGGCGACGCAAAATAATTTGGATAAACACGTTCGACTCTATCACACGATTCACCGTTGCGACACTTGCCGTAAAGAATACGGGAGTAGATATAATTTATTGAGACACGTACAAAGATCCCACGGGAACGGGAGGAAAATTCGTGACGTACCGTGCGAAAAATGCGGTAAAAAATTTTTCACGAAATGGGAATTGAAAGTTCACGCGATGAATATTCACGGGAAGGAAAAATTAGGTTGTTCGTATTGCGATTACGTCACGGCGTATCCTCAAATCCTGAGGGAACACGTGACAAAACACACGAAAGAATATCCTTACGTGTGCGAATGGTGCGGTAAAGGTTTCGTTAATAAAACGCGATTGAAAAATCATTCGGGAAAAGAACACTTGAACGCTGTCGTCGTGACTTGTACAGTTTGCGGGAAAAAATTTCACAGTCGGAAAAATTTATCGTTTCACATGGAATGTCACGAACCGGGTTACGAATTGAAAAATCACGGGTGCGATATTTGCGGGAAAAAATTTCATCGCAAATCAGGTTTGAGAAAACACGTACGACGTCATCACGAAGGTCACGTTAAAACCTACGAATGTTTAACTTGCGGTAAAGTTTTAACGTCTTCCCGTTCACTCAAATACCACGAAAACATTCACACGGGAGAAAGACCGTTTTCTTGCGATATTTGTCACAGGGGATTCGCCAGGAAAAATTATCTCGTGTCACACGTGAGAACTCACACGAGGGAAAAACCATATTCGTGTCAACAATGCGATTCGTCATTTTCCCAAAGGGGAACATTAACGATACACTTGAGAAAACACAAAAAGACAGAACGACTTGATTAATGTAACGTTTTTTTTTTTTTTCTGCGACAAAACATTTGTAAAATAATGATTCGTTTTTTTTTTTTCCTAATAAAATTATTTATAAAAAATTAATTAATTGATTAATAATGATTACGAAATTATTTAAATGATTAATGATCGATTATTATTATTATTATTATTATTGTTTTTTTTTTGTTTTGCAGAATTTTGCCGACGTGGGACGATAATAAAATACACGATTCCGTCGTGTGGTCGAGTTTGAACGAATTGGTCAAAGAGAAAATACCAATGGACATGCTCGGTCAACTTGACAACGATGTCGATAATAATATTAACGGAAATGACGTTTTAATAAAAAGTGAAAACGATAAGCCGGAAAAGGAGGACAGGAATGATAAATCCGGGAAGAAAAAAAAAAACAAATCCGGGAAAAGGATAAATCGTCCGACCGAATACAATTATCCACAGAAATGTGAATTTTGCGGTCAGATTTTTCTAGAAAAGGAAATGGTTCGACATAAAAAAGTACATCCGGAATCTTTCACGTTTGATTGCGCTCCCTGCGGGAAATTTTTCAACAGCAAAGCGGCATACGACCTTCACTACAACATACATAAAATTTATCACTGCGTGACGTGTAAGAAAGATTTCAAAGCGCGTAAACACTATCGGAGTCACATGGAACGAATACATAAATCGGAAGGTGAAAGGCCGAGAATACACGAGTGCGACATTTGTCGTAAAACGTTCAAAGATAAATTCGTTTTGAACACTCATAAGAAAACGCATTTTAACATAAAAGCTCACAAGTGTCCGATGTGCGATTACGCGTGCAATAATTTAACGTACATGAGACAACACGTGATGAATCACACGAATCAACTTCAGTTCAAATGTCACATTTGTTACCGCGGATTCATGACGGATCGAGAACTTCAGTGTCACGTGGATAAATTACATTCGAACGAGCCGCAAGTGTACAGTTGCGACGTTTGCGGTAAGATCTCGACGAGCAAGGGTAATTTGAGGCAACATCAAAAAATTCACAATCCCGAACACAATCAAAAAAAGGATCATCAGTGTTTCGAGTGCGGGAAAACGTTCTCGCACAAGTGTAGGTTGAAAAAGCACGTGCTGTCGCACAAGGGACAAAACAAGTGTCACTGCAGCGTTTGCGGAAAATTACTGTCGAAAGATTCTTATAAGAAACATTTGAAAGGACACAGCGGTGAAAAACCATTTCTCTGCGATTATTGCGGCGAATGTTTCACGACGAAAAGTTGCCTCATGACTCACAGGAGGATTCACACGTGCGAAAAATCTCCAAGGCCCTACTGTTGCGATCAATGCGGTAAAAGTTTCGCTCAACGATCTATTTTCATAGCGCACAAAAAATCACATTCGAACGTTTCCCTACCTTTCTACTGCGAAGAATGCGATAAATATTTTTCGCAACCCTCACAACTCGTTTCTCATAAGAAAAATAATCACGCGTTCGATCCGGCCCGTTCCCTGTCGTGCGATACGTGCGGAAAAGAATTTACGAACGAAACGTTTTTAGTGTCACATCGCGATTCGTGTCACATAACGGACAAATCCGTCAATTTTCTCAATTTCGCAATTCAAAACGATATGGAAAATAATTCCAAGGACGCGAAAGTGATAAATCAATGGTAAATAATCAAATGGTTTACGTTAAGGTACGAAAAATTATTATTATTATTATTTACATTTTAAAAAAATACGATTTAATTGCCTATGAAAATATTTTCTAATTCTTTCGTATTGTTACTTTTCAGGTTGAAAATTGTTTTGAAAAAAAGAAAAAAAAAAAAAAGGCTGTGAAAAAATTAAAGGATTCGTATACGTGTTCGTCGTGTCGTAGAAATTTCGAGAGGAAAACAAATTACGACAAACATTTGAAAAGAATTCACGGGGAACGCGTTCACGAATGTTCGAAATGTACAAAATCGTTTTTCTACGCTTATCAACTCAAACTTCATTTGTTGACGCACGACGAGTCCGTTCAGAAACGTTATTCTTGTTCTCATTGCGATTTTCAAACTCACTACAAATACTATTTTAAAAAACATTGTGCGAAACACGGTTCGACGTACAAATACGTTTGTCGTAAATGTTCCGAGGGATGTTTTCACAGCGAAAACGATTACGAGAAACACATGATAGAGTCGCACGGTTCGAACATGTACGTTTGCACGATATGTAAAAAATTTTACTACAGTTCCCTTCGTTTGAAATCACATTTGACGAGACAGCATTCGTTCGACGAGGGGGAAAGGGAAAAAAATAGGAAAAATAATAATAAATTACACTGCGAGGATTGTGATAAAACGTTTGGAAGAAAATACGATTTGAACGTTCATAGGAAAAGGCACGGAGGCGAACGGCGTTCGTTTGTTTGTACCGTTTGTCACAAATCATTGGCTTCTAAATACAGGCTTAAAATTCATTTGAAATCGCATAGGGGAGACAAAGATTTCGTTTGCGACAAATGCGGGAAAACGTTCGTTTCAAATGAATATTTGAAATCTCATTATAAAATTCACCGATAACGATTGAATGATTGATTGAATGAATGAATGGGGAGAAAGAATTTTTTTTTTCTATGCGAAATGTGTAAAAATTATTATTATTATTATTTTTTTTTTTACGGAAATGTAAAATTTATATAAAAATATATGTGAAAAACTTTTAGTAAAAATTTTTTTTTTTTTTTTTTCAAAATCCTTTTCAAAATGGCGATAAAAGTCGTAAGTAATTAAATTTTATGTATTTTCATAATAATAATAATAATAATTTTTATTGGTTTTAATAAAACAAATTATTAATAAATGATTTTCCTTTTTAGATTTCGAAAAACAAAAGCGAGTCAAAAATCAACAGTAAAACCGAAAAGGGGGAAAAGTTTAAGAATAAGAAGTAGGAAAAAAATTCAAGGAAATGATTCGGATGTGGTTGAAAACGATCCTGAAAATTTAAATGTGACAAACGAGAGCGACGGAAAAGGAGAAACGGTTAAAAAACGTTTGTTGAATTCAAAAGTTGAAGATACAATTTGTCACGTTTGCGGAAAAACGGAAAAAAGTAAAAAATTATTGAGGCGACACATGATCAAACATTCCGACGAACGTCCATTTTCCTGCAGTCAATGTTCGAAAAGGTTTAAAAGGTCGTACGAGGTTAAAGCACACATGAAAGTCATGCACGAAACTCAGAGAAAAGATTACAAGTGTGAAATTTGCGGTCATCAATACGCGATACGTTCAAAACTTGAAATTCACATGAAAAGGCATAGGAAAGAGTATAAGTGCGTTTGTTTGGAATGTGGAAAAGGTTTTTATTCCGATTTCAAACTCAAAGAACATTCGTACATTCATACCGGGGAAAAACCGTATCAGTGCGAAGTTTGCGGTCGTTCCTACGCTTACAAAACGGATTTGGTATCTCACAAGGTGGCACAACACCCGGAAACGTGCGATCCGTCACGTGTTCACAAGTGCGAAAAATGTGGGAAAACGTTCTCGACCGCGAAAGCTCTTCAGGTTCACGAAAACACTCACACCGGAGAAAATTTATTCCCCTGCACGTTTTGCAGTAAAGTTTGCACGACGAAAAAACTACTCAAAAGTCATTTGGTTCGTCATTCATCCGTTCGACCTTACCCCTGCGACGTTTGCAACAAAACATTCAAACGTCCTTTCGAAGTTGCCATACATAAAAAATCACACGAAGCGGACAAGAAACACATTTGCGAATTATGCGGTTATTCTGCGTTAAGGAAAACCTCGTTGGACCTTCACATAAGACGACACAAAAAAGATTTCAAAGTGACGTGCGAAACCTGCGGAAAAGGTTTCTATTCGGAATTCAAATTAAGAGAACACGTGAACATTCACACGGGTGCAAAACCTTTTCAGTGTGACGTTTGCGGGAAAAGTTATCCATACAAGTGGACTTTAACATCGCACAAGAGAATTTTTCATTCCGAAACATCCGACTCGAATAAAATTCACAAATGCGATCACTGTTCCAAAATATTCATAACCAAAAAAACTCTTCGGAGTCACGTGAAAACTCATTTGGAATCGGACAACGTTCGTACGACGGACGAATTTTCAAATAAAATGAATAATCAGAGGGAAGATGACGTCAAATTGGACGTGGAAACGTTCGAAGTGACCAATAACGAATCTCAAGAACTTGTCGAAACTTTACAAATTTATTATTATTAAAAAAAAAAAAAATTTGTATTATAATAATAAAAAAATAACAACACGAACGGAAAAAAATTGTTCTTACGTTTCTAACGGTTCCCTTTTCTAACGGAGAGTCAAAAAACGGGGGGGGGAGGGGAGGGAAAACAAATAGTATTCATATTAATTATTTATTTTAGGATTGAAAAATCAGAACGAGAAACGACGAGGACGACGACTGATAAAAATGAAAAAGAGAATCCACTCGTGTGCGATTATTGTTTAAAAACGTTTAAAACGAAAAAACAATTGGGAAGACATTTGGTAAAACATTCCGACGTTCGTCCTTACTCTTGTCAAATATGTCAGAAACGATTTAAAAGGAGTTTCGAAGTTAACACGCACATGAAAACGCATAGTAACGATCAAGAAAAACAACTCATATGCGACATATGCGGTCAGGGATTCGTTTTCAAAACGAATTTGGATTTACATTTGATGAGACATCGTCAAGAATTCAAAGTTAAATGTAGTTTTTGCGGTAAGGGATTTTATTGCGAATCCACGTTGAGAGAACACGTGAACGTTCACACGGGTGAAAAACCAAATCAGTGCGAATTGTGCGGAATGACATTTGGTTACAAAAGCGTTTTGGAAGCTCATAAATTATCATCACATCCGGAATCGTTGGATCCGTCGAAAGTTCACAAGTGCGAGACCTGTCCGAAAGTTTTCCCGACGAAAAAATCCCTCGAAATCCACGAGAATTCTCACACGGGAAAAAACAAATTCGTTTGTACGACGTGCGATAAAACTTATGCGAGTAAGAAATTATTAAATCGACACATGGTGAGTCATTCGCAAATCAAACCTTTTTCCTGCGACATATGCGGAAAATCGTTCAAGAGATCATTCGAAGTTAAAACTCATAAGAAAATACACAGTTCGGAGAAAAAACACGTTTGCGAAATATGCGGATATGCCGCGTCGCAAAAATCATACCTGAACCTTCACATAAAACGTCACAAGCAAGATTTCAAAGTGACTTGCGAACATTGCGGAAAAGGTTTTTTCTCAAGTTTTAAACTCAAGGAACACATGTACACTCACACGGGTCAGAAACCCTTTCAATGCGAACTATGCGATAAAGCATATCCGTACAAGACGAATTTAACCACTCACAAGCGAATACGTCACCCGGAAATAAATTCCAGCAATTCTGGAAAAGGTCATCAGTGTCAGTTTTGTACGAAAACTTTCCTCCATAAGAAATCGATGTTGTTGCACTTGAATCTTCACACGGGTCAAAAAGCGTATCTCTGCGATATTTGCGGAAAAGTTTTGACGAACAAAGAACAATTGAAACTACACAGGAGGAGTCATTCGGGGGAAAAACCGAACGTGTGCGCCGTTTGTGGTAAAACGTTTAACACGAGGGATAATTTAAAAGTTCACGAGAGAACACACACGGGAGAAAGGCCGTTCGTTTGCGAATTTTGCGGGAAATCTTTCACTCAGAGAACTTCTCTTGTTGTTCACATGAGGTGTCACACGGGTCAAAAGCCATACGCTTGCGAAACGTGCGATAAAACGTTCGTTACGAAAACCCTTTTGAAAAGTCACGAAAAAATTCACGATGACGTTAAAACCCTGACAAATTGAACGCTTTGAAAAAAATTATTATTATTATTATTTTCCGATTAATATATGTATATTTTTTATAGAAATATTCAAGTACTATTATTATTATTATTACTAATTCCTCGATTATTTAAATAACTAGGAAAAGAAAAAAAAAGTTTCGAACGCGGATTTTTTAGGAAGTGATTGTTTTTTTCAAAAATGTTTTAAAAATAAAAAAAAAAGCTAAGTAAAAGTTTGTTAAATTGTTAAACAAACGAAAAAAGAAAATCCGTTAATAAAAAGTCGTGTTGTCAATGTCGATAATTTTTTTTTTTTTTTGTTTGTTTTTCAGGGAACCAATAATAAAACTTGAAGTTATGGAAGAAGAATACATTCCACTACAGCAAAGAAGATTTTTAAAGAAAAAAAAACCGAAGAGTGCGACAAAAAAATGTAAAAAAAAATGTGAAAATTGTAAGAAAAAAATTCCGGTTGGGGAAATAAGAAAAGTTAGGATCAAAAACGATGAGGGGGAAAATTTTAAAATGTTGTGCACTGGATGCGTTTTGGAAATGGACGAAAAAGAAAGTGACGTTCAAGTGGAAATATTATACATTCCTGATAAAAAAAACAATAAAAAAAAGAGAGAGAATAAAATCGATAAAAATCAATTGTTGGAAGGTATGACCGAGTTCAAATGTGATATATGCACGAAAACATTTACCGTAGCTGCTCATTTGGAAAAACACGTGACCATACATTCCGTCGCAAAACCGTACACGTGCGATTTATGCAAGAGTACTTTTAAAAGATTGATGTCTATGTTGCTTCATAGGAGAAAACATTTCGGGAGTTTGGAATACAAATGCAATTCATGCAATTATAGTTCGGCATACAAATCCTCTCTCGAACTCCACATGAAACGTCACGCAAAAGATTACAAAGTCAAATGCGAAACTTGCGACAAGGGTTTTTTTTCCGTCAACGAACTCATCGATCATTATAATATGCACACGGGAGCTCGACCGTATAAATGCGAACAATGTGACAAATCCTATCCGTACAAGCACAATTTAACGGCGCATAAAAAATCACAACATCCTTCGGGACCCGTGGAGAAAAAACTTCACCAGTGCGACACGTGCGGAAAAGTTTTCTCGTTTAAAAAATCTCTCACGCTTCACATGAAATCACACACGGGTGAAAACGTTTTCATTTGCGACATATGCGGTAAATCGTTAACCAACAAAGAGCATTTGATGTTTCACCGGAGAATTCACACGGGTGAAAAACCGTCCGTGTGTGACGTTTGCGGAAAAGGATTTGCCAAACCTGGAAATCTGATATCGCATAAAAGAGTGCATTCCGGGGAAAAACCGTACGCGTGCGAAATGTGCGGAAAATGTTTTTCTCAAAGATCGACTCTAGTCATTCACCGTCGTTACCACACGGGTCAAAGACCATACGCGTGCGGACTTTGTAAAAAGACGTTCGTGTGTCAGGCTTTACTCACCACGCATTCCAAAACTCATAAGATAGCACCGTACGATGATAAAAAATACGAACTTGAATTATTATGAGAAGAAAAAAAAACGGGAAATAATAATAATAATAATAATAATAATAATAATAATAATGAAATTCTTTTACAAAAGTATCGTGCCATTATGAGTATTATCATCATTGTTATCGAAAAACATTCCCCGAAAGGGGGGGGAGTGGGGGAAATTATTTTAATTAAATTTTTAAATTTATTATTATTATTATTATTTTTACTGTTAGATTTTAAACTGTTATTATTATTATTAAACGTTTAAAGACCTAATGAAATTAATTTTTTACATTCTCCTTTTATATTAAATATTTAAATAATAATAATAATAATAAAGGTGGGTCACCTAATATTTCGAACGTTTTTTTATTAAACTATAACATTATTATTAATAATCTTAACTTTTGTGTTTTTTTTTTTTTTTTCAGGATTTTCGAAACGTCAAACCTAACATTCGAAGATAACATTGTAAAAAACGTTTTTTCCAATTCGGAAATCGAAGATGAAAACTTACTGTCGGTGTTCAGTCCTGGAAATTACGTCACGTCAAATATAGCGTGCCAATACACGCGAGACTCTGATTCGTTTAGAAACGATCTCGAATTGGATTATTCGGGTCCTCACACGGACGACAGCACGGATCATCATCCGAATTTGGAAGAACTTTTACCCTCGCCAAATTTAGGAGAATCGAATGTCGATGGTAATTTAGAAGAGCGTGGGAAATCGGGAAAAGAAACGAAATTGTTTTGGTGCAACATATGTGGGAAATCGTGCGTATCGAATAAAAGATTGAAACAGCATAAGGAAAGTCACAGCATGGAAAGACCTCACGCGTGTTCGGTGTGCGACATGAGATTTAAACGTCCGTCGGAAGTCACGAAACACATGAAAATCCACAACGAAAATAAAAAATACACGTGTCAATTTTGCCCGTTTAAAACGGTGCATAAATTCGCACTAGACATGCATTTGAAAAGACACTTCGGCGACTACAAATACAAATGCGATATATGCGACAAGGGTTTTTACACGAAATTCGATCTCACCAATCACACTATACTACATTCCGGAGATAGACCCTATCAGTGTCACGTGTGCAAATTAACATTTCTCTACAAGAACAATTTGCTTTACCACAAGAAAACGATACATCCCGATCCGGATCAAGTGCCCGAGTCGTTTCATTGTAATAATTGTGATAAAACTTACCAGAGCAAGCGTTCCCTTTTGGTGCACGTGCACAAAAGACATTCCGCAGGACCAGTGTCTCATTTGTGCGAGATTTGTGGACAATCTGTAATGAGTGTGAATGCGTTAAAAATTCATAAGAAAAAAATGCATTCGTAAAAACAAAAAAAAAAAAAAATTTTCAAATATATATATATATAAAAAAGATTATTTAGGTATGATTATTATTATTTAATTTCGTGCTAGTCATTAAATTTAAATTTAAATTTAAAAAATAAATTCAAGGTAAATTATTATGATCAGTTATGTAAATTGACACACTAAAAACTGTAAACATTATTATTATTATTATTATTATTATTATTAATTGTTTAATGAGAATAAAATTATTGTTAATTGATAGTAGTGAATGTTTAAATTCCCTCGAAAAATGTTTTTAATTGTTTTTTTAAAATTTGGTGTCGCAGTTTATGTAATGATAAAAAAGTTAATTTTTTTTTTTTTTTTAAACACGGTAATATCTTTTTTTTTTCTGCATTTTACGATTTGTTGTGCTAATTAGAAAAATTTTCATTTTAGGATGAACAAAGAAAACGAGCCTAAAACGATAATTTGCAAAACATGCGGGGAAAATATTTCAGAGGATAGATTCGAAGAACATAATTATCTCGCTCATCCGGAAGCATCTCTGCAATTGTGCACGGTGTGTAGCAAAGTATTTTACAATAGGGACGATCTTTTGATTCACATGAGATCTCATCCGAAACCGCCGAAATTGAAAAAGGGACAAAAATCATCCGGAGAATCTTGTCAAAAGGAATGGTCTTGCTCTCAGTGCGATAAAGTTTATCCGAGTAATCAACAACTCAAATCACACATGAAAGTTCATAAACACGAACCTTATTCCCTGGATTGTAAAATTTGTCATAAAGTGTTTAAAACAACTCACTACGCTCGCGAACACATGAAAGTTCATACGGGCGAAAGACCATTTAAATGTCATTTGTGCAATAGAAGTTTTATGCAAAAGCAACATTTGATAAGTCATAAAAAACGTCAGCATTTTAAAGAGCACGCTTTTAAATGTGAACAGTGCGACAAAGGTTTTCATTCGAAAACTGAGTTACAGGTCCACATGAATTGGCATAACGGTGAACGACCTCATATGTGCGACGTGTGCGGGAAATCGTATCCGTCGAAATCGAATATGATGGGTCACAAGCGAACGCATCATCCGAGGCCGGATGGAACGTTAAAAAGGTATCCGTGTACAACATGTCTCAGGCAATTCATGACCAAAAGATCTCTTTTGAATCATATTCGTCAGCATACGGGAGAAGCCGGTCACTACGTGTGCGATATATGCGGAAAAGCATTATCTAGTAGACAATCGTTAAAAGCTCACAGAATGATTCATACGGGTGAAAAACCAATTTCTTGTAATTTGTGTTTTAAAGCCTTTAGTACGACAAAGTATTTAAGGACGCACATGAAAGCTCACGGGAATGAAAAACCATTCAAATGCGGTGATTGTGGTCAGAGTTTTTCGCAGAGATCGAGTTTGGTGACACATCAACGAGAACACATCGGAGGGGTGAAATGCAATGAGTGCGGATTAAGTTTCGCATCTCTCAATTTGTTGAGAACACACGCTCAAAGTGAACATAATCAAATGGTGCAACAAATCAGACCATTGCAACCTCACCAGCAAACATCTCAGGAATCTCCAACGCACGCACAACAATCCGAACAAATCATATTGACGACGGATCAGAGAATTGAAAATTCTATAACTCCGCAACAAATCGTAGTTCATCAAAGAACTCAAACGGATCCTACCACCATGATAGTAACGCATCAGCGAATAGTACCTCAAACCGATCAACCGATGATTGTCACTCATCACAGAATCCCTCAGGAACAAATTCAGTCTTCCATGATAATCACACAGCAAAGAGCCGATTCCGAAACATCATCACCCATGTTAATTTCCCAGCAAAGAATACAAACTGAACAACCTTCTTCTATCATGACCATCACGCAAAGGCCACAAAGTGATCAACCTCCATATCAGTGCGATTTGTGCCGGATGGAATTTCTCACGAAAGCCATTTTGAAAGCACATCAAGCCACACACAATTACACATATCCAATGTTTACCATATAAAAACGACAATACTCTATATAATTTTATTGGGGAAATTTCCCCTCCCCTTCCCCCCTTCTGTGAAAAACATTTTCAAAAGGGAATCAATCCCCCCAAAATGCTTTAATTATCGTTTTAATAATTTTATTATTATTTTTTTTTAAATACTCAAACCCTGTTGATTTTATTTGTTTACGCGGTTGTTGTTATCTCCTCCTCCCCCCCCCCGTTTTCGGATAATGTTCATTTGTCCCGGAAAAAATATTAAAACCCGTTTTTTTTGTATTTGAATTTATTTTTTGAAAAATTTTTATGTGAAAAATTGTAAATAAATTTTTTTTAGTTAATCGAAAAAAAAAAAAAAAAAAAACATGATAATAATGATGATGATGATGATGATGATGATAATAAAGCTTTATTTAAATTTTTTTTTTATGTGAGTAATATAAGTCAAGTTTTAAAAATCCTAATTGTCCGGTTTTAATGGGGAGCAACATCGTTTTTTTTTTTTTTTTTGAAATTGTAAGTAAATATTTTTTTTAATCGAAAACATGTCACTCAAATCATTTTTTTTTTTTTTTTAACGAAAAAAATTTCATTTCAGATTTTGTTCGTTTCGCTCCAGAGAAAATTTGTACGCGCAAGTTTTAAAAGATTCGAAATTAAAATTTAATTTATCCGACAATAGCGAGAAAAAAAGTTGGGCACGTCAAAAAATCGATTGCGGAACTTCAAAAATCAAATTGGGAAAAATTTGTAAAATCTGTGATAAAATATTCAATTCGAGAATCCTGTACGAATCCCATTGCAAATCCGAACATGGCATAGACAGACCGTATTTTTGCGAAACGTGTAACGGACAATTTAAAACTCCACACATTCTCGCGGGTCACATGAAACTTCATTCGAACAAAAAAGATTACGTTTGCGACACGTGCGATTTTTCCTGTCATTCTAAAAACAATATGGATTTACACAAGAGAAGAAATCATTCGAAGGAATATCTCGTCAATTGTGAAACGTGCGGAAAAGGTTTTTTCAGAAAAGCCGAATTGAACGCTCATAAAAATTCACACACCGGAAACAGGCCGTATCAATGCGAATTGTGCGGGAAAAATTACATGTCGAAATCGCATTTAGGCTCTCATAAAAAATGGGTTCATCCGGAATTGTTTAGCAGCGATCGATACCACAAGTGTTCGATATGTTCGAAAACGTTTCCCTTCGCAAAACTCCTTTCGAAACATTTGGAGGGTCACGCGGGAACTCGAAAATATTTATGCGATTATTGTGGAAAATCCGTGACGAGTCAAGAATCGTTAAAAGTTCACAGGAGGACACACACGGGAGAAAAACCCGTCGTTTGTGACATTTGCGGTAAAGCGTTCGGGGGAAGGTATTACATGAGAGTTCACAGGAGACTTCACACGGGTGAAAAACCTTATGCTTGCAACGATTGTGGAAAATCTTTCACACAACGTTCGACCCTTTCCTTACATTTACGCTCTCATTCTCTGAATGAAAATTACACGTGCGACATATGTTCCGATACTTTCATCACTAAAACTGTATTGAAAGAACATAAAAAGAAAACTCATTGTAAATAAAACGTTAAATAGTAAATAATTATTATTATTATTAGTGAAGTTTTTAACAAAAGAAAAAATATATAAATTAATAGGTGAGATTTTTTTTTTTTAATATTGCCTGAAATCGAATCACCTCCCCAACGTGGCAGAAGAATTTTATTTTTCCTTAACAGAAATTTTTTTTATTGATGATGTTTCGTTTGGAAATATTAAAATTAATACATTGTTTTTATTTTTAGAAAAGGCGGAAATAGTTTAAACAATTGTACCGTCGTCGAGAACGTCGACGTTCCCGTAGAAAAAATTAAAAAGAAAAAAAAAGGGAAGAAGTTAACGAAGAAAACTATGAAAGGGAAATACGTACCGGGAACGAGAAGGAATAAAAAAAGGCCGGATATTTGCGATGTATGCAGGTTGACAATGACTCATAAAGATGAACTCATTCATCATTTGAAAAAAATTCACAAAGTCGAGTATAGGTGTAAGACGTGTAATAAATTATACAAGAGTGCAAAAAATTTAACGAATCATGAAAAAATTCACACGGCTCCGAAAGAATTCGTTTGCGAAATATGCGGTTACGCGTCGTACAATCGGGGCACCGTTGCCACGCACAGAAAACGTCATACCAAAGCGTACACCGATTACTGTGATGTTTGCAATAAGGGTTTCTACACCAGGTACCAATTGGAAGAACATAGAAATTTACACACGGGGGAAAGACCTTTCAAATGTGAATTTTGCGAAAAGGGTTTTATATGTAAGGGAACATTGGAAAAGCACAAGATAGCAAATCATTCGAAATTTTTAGAAAACGTTAAAAATTTCCCATGCAACGTTTGTTCGAAAACTTTTTTATTTAAAAAAAATCTCGTTCGACATACTAGGACTCACACGGGTGAAAAACCTTTCGTTTGTAATTATTGCGGTAAAGGTTTGGCCAGTTCTCATTCGCTAACCGTTCATAAGCGAACTCACACGGGAGAAAAACCTTTCGTTTGTGATTTGTGTGGCAAAGGTTACGGTCACGTGAAATATTTAAAAGATCACATAAAAACTCACGATAATAAATCGGAAAAAAATAAAAGAAACAAACAACAACAGAAGATTCAATCAACACAAACGATACTTCCAACACCGTCCCAACAGCAACAACAACAACAGCATCACTTAGAAACAATACACATGAATCAAGTCACAACTGTTTTAACGGTAACTAATAATCAATGTGTTAATGAAACTCTTAATCACATACCGATAATCGGACCCACTGTGGTATCCATGTGCCAACAAATACCTAGAAATCAACATCATCACAACATGACGATAGACATGAACATAACGAATGATTCTAACTTGGATTGGACTCGAAGGACAACAATCGACGTTTTAGAGGACAGGACCATGTCGGGAATAGTCACGGATTGGACAAAACGAACTAATCCATCTAATCCGATTGCTAGCATAGGATTTTGGCAAGAATCCGAAAACCGTTAATTTTTTATTATCGTTATCTGTCCGATACTTAAAAAAATTTCAATTTACCTCCTTTACAAAAAAAAAAATTAACAAAACGTGGAAGGAGAAAAACGTGTAAATATTTAATTTTTGTTAAATATCAATATATATTTTAATAAGAAAATAATTTATTTATAATTTTCTCGAACCGAAAAGTTTTAAATTTAATTTTTTTCTCGTTTGTTTTGTTTGAATTAAAGGTAAGATTAAAACTTTAAAAAAAACTTAACAATGTAAACCGTACTAATTATTAAATTTTGTTTCAGAAAACTTATCTCTTTTGAAAATATCGTACCTGAAATTAAAAGGACGAAAATAACGGAAGAAAAAATGATAAATGACGACGACGACGAAAGGGTTGTTGATAAAAAGGATCCGTCGATTTATTATTATTGTAAAATTTGTAACGAAAGGTTCGATAGTTTTTACGATAAAACCGTACATTTGTTTCACATTCACGGCGAAGAACTCAAATGCGAATTTTGCAAAAAGAAAAAATTCGAAACCGTTAAAAAATTAAACGTTCATTTCCGTTGGGTTCACAGCGAAAAATCATACAAATGTTTCAAATGCGAATTTTCCACATCGATTAGGGGAAAATTAAATCGTCACGTGAAAATAATGCACGACAAAGAGTACGCGTACAATTGTAAAATTTGTTCGAAGGGTTTCATCGATAAATTCGATTTGGAAGAGCATAAAAATCTACATTCGGGTAATATGCCGCACCAGTGCGAAATATGCGGTAAAAGTTTTAGACTTAAAACAACTCTCAGAGCTCACAGGTATAAATTTCACGTTGAAGATTTGTCGCACGTTTGCAAATTGTGTAAAAAAGGTTTCGCAACTAAATCCGGATTGGATTCTCATTTTTCCCTGCATGAGGAAAAGAAAAAATTCATTTGTCATTTTTGCGGGAAAAATTTATCGACTTTCACGACACTAACCGAACACATACGGATTCACACGGGTGAAAAACCTTATGTTTGTGATGTGTGCCAAAAAGGTTTTGCGGCTAAAAAACATTTGTTCAGACACGTTAAACAACACTACGAAAATAATATTAATAAAAAAAATCACGAATGTTTATACTGTTGGAAAAAATTTTCAAATTATGTCACGTGTTTGTCACACATAAAAAAATGCTCTCAACGAAAAATGTAAAAAATTCTTTTTGTTCGGAAATATATTTATATAAAATTTTTTGTTGTTAGTTAGTCAAAAGTATGTTTTTGTGTTAAATTTACAAATACAAAAAAAAAAAAAACAAAACAAAAAAAACAAAAAAAAAAGGTATAATTTACTCAAGTCCTTCGATTAAAATGATTTCTGTGATTGACTTAAAAAATATTTCACCCCCACCGCCCCCGCCACTAATTAAAGAAATGTTTCAAAAATTTTTATAATAAAAAAAAAAAAAAATTTTGATTTCAGGTTAAATAAAACGCCAAAGAAAATTATATCCAAAATTCGATTGTGTGAAACAAATAAAAACAAAACCAAGAAAAGAAGAAAAAAGGAAAATTTAGAAATGTATAGGTCACGTGATAAATGTTCGAACGTTGTTAAAAATTCAAAAAAAAATAAAAATGAAGAAATGGAAAAAGAAAAAAAAGAAATTTATGAAGATGATGACGATGACGATGATGATGATTATGATGAAGATGAAGACGATGAAGACGATGATGACGATGATGATGATTATGAGGGTGGAGGAGACGAAGAAAGAATGGATTCCGTTTTGGAAGTTCGAGTGAAAGAAGAACCATTTTCATCAGACGATGATTTACCATTGTCGCAAAGAGTAAAAACCGTCGAAGAAGATTTTTTCGAATCATCGTCATTGATAAAATTTGAAAAAAATTCGAAATCGGATGAAAATGTGAAAAAAGGCGTTGAAAAGATGAAAAGGAAAAAAGGAGTGAATTGTGATACGTTGAAAAAACAAATAAAAAAATTTGGCGAAGACATGGAAAAAAAATTATTGGAAATCGTCGTTGAAGCGGAAAAAAATATAAATGTTAAGTTACCGAAATTCCCGAGGGAAAAAACCGAGTGTCCGTTGTGCGGTGAAAAATATTTTGAAATTTTAGCTCATTTAGAAAGGCACGCCAATAGAACTCCACACAGTTGTAATAAATGCAACAAGTCATTTACATTCAAGGGAAAGCTCATGGATCATAAGAAATTCGCACACGGAATCAACTACGCTTGCGAAATATGTCACAAAAGATTCAATCACAAGGATAACATAAGGATACACATGGCGACACACGAAACGGAAGAAAAATACGTTTGCTACATTTGCGGGTATTCGACGAAAAGAAAACAGTGCCTTGAAGTTCATATCATGCGGCACGAGGACAAATGGGTTTGCCAATGCACGATATGCAACCGTGGTTTTTTTTCATATGCCACATTGGCTCAACACATGAACAGTCACACGGGTGAAAAACCATTCACGTGCGATCAGTGCGGTGCCAATTATTCCAATTACAACACCCTTTGGAAACATTCTAGAAAATTTCATCCGGAATTATACAACAATTTATACTCTTGTAAAATATGCGGTAAAGTTTTCATGAAAGAAAAATCATATCATTTGCACATGGCGAATTTACATTCGAAGGGAAATCATTTCGAGTGCGATTCGTGTACGAAAACGTTCAAAAAAGAATTGTCTCTCATAATACACAAGAGAACTCACACGAACGAAAGGCCGTACGTTTGTAAAATATGCGGAGGAGCGTTCACGGCAAGAAAATATTTAACCAAACACATGGGCGTTCACAAAGCTAAAAATTACAAATGTCGGTTTTGCTATAAGAAATTCATGCTGGAACAAGCGTTGATGAACCACGAAAGAAAACACGAAGAAGTTAGATGAACTTTACTACTTATTAGTTTTTAACCATACACAAACACACACACACAAATTTCATTGCCTTAAAAAAACATTATTATTATTATTATTATTATTAATAAAATTTTATCGGTCAATTATTATCGAACGATTGTATAAATCGATAATCGAAAAATTTATCGATAATCGATCTATATACATATATATTTTTTTTTATATTTAATTATAATCGAAAAAAACCTAATTCATCTTATTGGAACTGCGTTTATTATAAGAAAACGGTTCGCACGATGTTTACCTTATGTTATTTTTTTAAATCTTAAAAAATTTTTATACTATGTTAATCTATATATATGTGGATAAACAAAAGTTGCCTTAAACAATGCCATAGTTAAAATTCGTTTAGTATGCTTAAATATAAAAATATATTTTAGTAGCTTTAAAAAAAAAAAAAAAAAAAAAAAAAAAAAAAAAAACTAGTCTACATTTTAAATATTATAAAGAAAAAAATTCGAGCTGCAAAATTATTATTATTATTAAAAAAATTATATTTTTTTGTAAGAATTTTATAAGGTGAACGTACCTCGTTCGTATATATATATATATATATATATATATATATATAAAATATAATAAATAATTTAATATTTTGTATATGAAAATTTTATTAAAAATATTTAAAATCACTTTTATCATCACCAAAAAATATATGTTATATAAATTTAAAATTTTATTAATAATTGTTTAAATAATTTTACTATTATTATTATTAAGCTAAGTTATTTTACTTATTCCAAATCTATTATTATTATTATTATTGTTTTTTTAAGAACAAAATTATTGGGTTACCATAAATATATTATGTTTGATAATTAATAAAATAAAATTTTGGGTAAAATTTTTATTTTATTTAAATTTTTTGTTTATCCAAATATTTTTTGTTTATAATAAAAATGATTGATTAATGTCGTGAATGTGACGATCTATAAGTTATAAATTAAATAAAATTTTTTTTCCCACGTCATCAACTCAAAATATCATTATTGACATTATTTATTGATATTATTTTAGGTTACCGAATGGAAATATCAACGGAGTGGAAGAAAAACACGAGATGACGTATGAAAAACATAAAAAATCCGAACATATCATGTTGACCGATAAAAATAATTTTACCTGTAGTATATGTCAAGAAAAATTTAATAGAAAATCTAAATTGATAATACATTCTTACAATTTTCACAACGTTGGAATAAAATGCAAAATGTGTTCGAAAACAACATCGACCTTAACGGCATATCTTTCTCATTTTTCGATAAAACATTCCGAACATGGATATCCATGTTGGAAATGTAATTATAAAACGGATAAAAAATCAAAATTTAAAAATCATTTTATGGAAAATCATAAAAAAAACACCGGAATGGAAAATAAATCGAGTGAAAACAATGTGGGAAAATCGCACGTGAAAAAAACAAACAAGGTAGAAAAAAAAGGTTTCGATTGCGACATGTGCGATACGAAATTCACGTTGAAAAATCAACTTCTCAAACATAAAAATGAAAAACATGGAGTCGACATAACGTGCGAAATATGCAGACAAGTTTTCAACAACATGGTATCTCTTAGAAGTCACAAATTCACTAAACACACGGGAAAGGATAAAATATGCGAAATATGCGGGTATTCGACAAAGAAAACATACGATTTTAAAAGGCATCAAGTTAAACACAGCAACGAATATTCCGTTATGTGTTTGGTTTGCAACAAGGGATTCTATTCCTTATACGAATTCAACGAACATAAAAACGTTCACACGGCCGAACGTCCGTATCAGTGCGAAGTGTGCGGTATCAATTACAGTCGTAGGAGTTCTCTCATTTTACACAGGAATCGAAAACATCCGGAAATATATGACGCGACGAAAAAATGTCAAATATGCAATCAAGTGTGTCTCACAAAGGAAACCATGGATGCTCACGTCAAGACTCACGTCGAAGGAAGGAAGAGATACTATTGCGATATATGCGGAAAAGGTTTGCTCACCAAAGTCATTTTGAAAATTCACAGGAGGAGTCACACTGGAGAAAAACCTTTCGATTGTAGTTATTGTGGGAGAGCTTTCAGTTGTAAAAAAAATTTATCGGTTCATATTCGTCTTCACACGGGGGACCGTCCCTATTCTTGTAAAGTGTGTTGGAAAGCATATACTAAAAGTTCAGCATTGAAAGCTCATGAAAAAATACATGCTAATCGTTTTGTTCCTTCTCCAAATTAATTTGTTAATTTTTTTTTAAAAAAAATAAATTCAGTTGATTATAAAAAAAAAAATTTTTTATAATTTATTCGACATGTATTTTTCCATGTTTGTCATGTACTGAGTAAAAGATAAAAAAAAGATGGCGTGGGGGGAGGGGGGAATAAGAAGAAATTTTATTTGACAACTCCTAATAGTAATCCCAAATTTAATTTTTTTTTTCCCCACAGGATAAAAGAAGACAAATTATTTACGGATGGCGATTCGGAAGAATCAATACAAGAAAATAAAAATAAAATTAAAATTCCTCCTACTCGTTACATTAATTGCGATTTATGTGGGAGTAAATTTAATAAGAAAGCGTTGGAAAAACATAGGAAAACTCATTTTTTTGATAATCACAAGCATAAATGCGACATGTGTAAATGTTCATTTAGCATGATGACAAAATTACTTCGTCACAAGAAAAAATGTCACCATGTGGATTTGAAATGTGATGAATGTAACAAAACATTTGAAAAAATTCATTATTTTGTTATACACTTGAAAAATCACAAAAAGGAAAAATCATTCGTGTGTGACGTTTGCGGATTTGCCACAATTGGAAAATCGATAATGACAAATCACAAATTGTCAAAGCATAAAATAGGAAAATTTCCATACACTTGTGAAACGTGTAAGAAAAATTTTCTAAACAGGTACATGTTAAATGAACATTTGAATATACACGCTGGCGCGACTCCCTATCAGTGTCACAAATGCGGTACTGCATATGCTTCGTCTAAAGCCCTATCGAGACATGGTAAAACGAAACATCCTGAAGAGTACAAAATCAAACTCATCCATTGCACATACTGCAATAAAAGTTTTAAGTGTAAAAAAAATTTAGATTCTCACGAGAAAATCAAACATCCTAATGGTCGTCGTAACGTTTGTGATGTTTGCAATAAAAATTTTTCATTTCACGGATCTTTGATACGTCACAAAAGAATACACACAGGAGAAAAACCTAAAGAATGTCACATATGTAAAAAACGATTTTCGTGTGCTTCCTATCTTCAATGCCATTTGAGAACACACACGGGGGAAAAACCATATCAGTGTAAATTTTGTTGGAAAACATTTTCACAGCGTACGAGTTTAGTCATACATGAAAAAACGCATTTGAAAACTTTTAAGCTTTTGGGCATTGATGTAGCCATGACAGAAAAACCGTTAATATGATTGAAATCGTTCAAATATGAAAAAGAAAGAAAACCCCACATGCCTATTTCGAAAATGTAATTCTATATAGATTAAATAATAAACCTTTTGTTTCGCATAAAAGTTTTCGACCCTATTTTTTCATACACCTTCATTATTGCATCATCTTTTTTTTTTTCCTAACAAACGCAATGGCAAAATGGCACACACACAGACGGGGAAAAATTATTTTACAAATTTTAGTTAGTACTTACCCGAAAAGTATCATTATTCTCGTTGTTTCACATCACTTGATAAAAACACTAAAACTTATCACACGTTTAAACAATCAAAAGACATTTTTTTCACCAAAAAAAAATAAAATAAAACAGACAAATGATCAAACGGTTTCACTGTCACAAAGAAAAAAAACGTAGAATTAGAAAAAAATGGCGGTAAAATGGCGGTTTTTTTTTCATTTTTCTAAAATTGGCAATACCGAATCCACAATACAATTTTGTATTCAATTAGAAATTAAAATACCTTTTTTGGTGTTGAAAAAATTTTTTAATCGATCATAGTTTGGGTAATTTTAAACCTTACGCTCCGATTTTATTAAAATTTTTGCCTCGTAAAATTAAAAATACTAATTATCAAAACTAATTATTTAAATCGTGTTAATAAATAACTTATTCAAATAAATTAATTTTCGTCTTTTACCTTATTTTATTAATTACTTAAAATTCAAGTAATGGCCTATGCATGAAACCCACACTTAAATTAAATTAATTCCTATTTGCAATAACAAACAATTTCTTTTCTCTCAAACTTTCTCGTTTTACTTAAAGTGTTCTACTTTTGTATTTACATTTCACCTAATTGTAATTTACTAAATTTAAAAAAAAAAAAAAGAAACCAATTTCGAATCACCACCCAAAAAAAAAATAAAATTAATAATTTATTCCTTTTTTTTTTTTTTTTAATTTTTAGATATCGAATCAAAAATATTTTTCTCCTGAATTTTACTGCATAAATGCCAGGGTAAGTCAATAATTAAATTATTTTTTGATAAATCACAGAAATGTGTTATAATTAATTAATGTGACCACAATTTCCTAATCGACAAAAAAAAAAATTAGTTAAATCAGCAATTTTTAATAATTAAACCTAATTTATTTCACAAATGCCTATTGGGTGTGGTTTTCCTTTAAAAAAACAGTTTTTAGTAAATTTTATTTTAATTTAAATGAATAAAATTACATTTAATGACAAGTAAGTAAAAAAAAAAAAGAAATTTATAATTTTTAATAATAATCTATCGATAATTGAAATTAAATTTTCTTTTTTTTTTTTTTTTGGATAAATTAAATAAAAGATAAGATAACCTGCATGATTATATTTAAAAAAAAAAGGTGTTGGTTCGAATGTAATTTATGTCATTTTATCATTAAATAATTTAAAATTATTTTTAATATCGGAATTGAATTTTTCTTATTATTTTTTTCGTGCAATTACGAAGAACACAAAAGAATAAATTTCAATTTAATTATTTCAACGATTGTAATCAGTTATTAAATTATCATAAATGATTTCTGTAATTGTAAAAACAAAATCGAAAAAAAAAGAAAATTAATTTTAAAGTACAATTATCAAAATATTCTTACAAATATGCTTTTGTTTGTTTTCATTTAATCACTCGATAAGTTCTTATTTATAAAAAAAAACTCTCCTTTTACATGAAAAAATTTCCTTAAATGACTTTTTTTTTTTTAAATGCAAACAAACAATTTTTTCTGATAACAAATCGAGTGCGAATCTAAAAAAGTTTCAAATTCAGTTTATTCAGTTTGAATTTCGACACGAAATGAACGAAGAATTACTCGCCATTAACGAAGGGAATTGGAAAAATTCAAGTCCGATCGTTTTACCGTTAAAAAATATAATAAATAGTGATCTTTATAAACGTAGAAAAAATTCAAAAGATGTTTTATTAAACGCGAATGAAAATTTAAATAATAATAATGATAATAATATAAATAATAATAATGAAAAGAAAAAAAAAAAAAGTGTCGTCGTAGACGATGATAATTCATTATACGATTTCGATTATGATATGATTAATAATAACGAAAATTTTGAATATAATGATTACGAGAGGTATTTTTTTTTTTAAAAATGGTGGCCCCCCACAAAAAGCGAAATTTTTTTTTAAATTTGGATTTTTTTTTTTTTTGTTATAGTGTCACGATGCCGACGAGCAACATGGCTTGCTCTCGTTGCGGAGATGGATTTGAACCCCATGAAAAAATTGTCAATTCAAAAGGTGAACTTTGGCATCTTCAATGTTTCGTGTAAGGTTTCGAACAGATAAAAAAGGTATTCCTCACGAACGAACCTTTTCATCATAATAACATTAACGCGTTTTCCGTAGGTGCGCACAATGTTTCAGACCGTTTCCAGATGGTACGTTTTACGAATTCGAAGGAAGAAAATATTGCGAACACGATTTTCAGGTATTGTTTGCTCCCTGCTGTGGCAAATGTGGCGAATTCGTCGTCGGAAGAGTCATCAAAGCCATGAATTCGAATTGGCATCCGAAATGTTTTCGTTGCGGCACTTGCGATAAAGAATTGGCAGATCTTGGTTTTTTCAAAAATGCCAATCGTGCTCTTTGTCACGAATGTAATTCGAAAGCCAAAGCCATGGGCTCTGGAAAATACATTTGTCACAAATGCCAGTGAGTTTTGTCACGCACTTATTATTATTATTATTACATCACTTAATTCTCACTCATCACTTTGATAAACTGTACAAAAAATTTTTTTATTTATAAAAATATGTTTCATTCTGATTATTGCACAAACTATGAGAGAGAGAGAGAGAGAGAAACGTTTCCTATCATAACAAACTTATCTACAAAAAAAAAAAAAAATTTACCAACTTCCTAATTTAATTTGTAAAAATAATTTATAATAATAATAATAATAATAATAATAATAATAATAATAATTTTTCAGCGGGATAATTGATGACAAACCTTTGAAATTCAGAGGAGAAGTTTATCATCCGTATCATTTCAATTGTGCTGCTTGTGGCATGGAATTAAATTCAGATGCGAGAGAAGTTAAACATCGACCCGGTTATACCAATAACGATATGGTCGGTACTCGGTAGTAGTCGTCCTTTAAATTATAAACGTTCGGTTTATCGTAATGATAATGATAATGATTTTAGAACGAACTTTACTGTCTTCGCTGTCACGATAAAATGGGCATACCCATTTGCGGAGCTTGTAGAAGGCCCATTGAAGAACGTGTCGTCACGGCATTGGGAAAACATTGGCACGTCGAACATTTCGTATGTGCTAAATGCGAAAAACCATTTTGGGGTCATCGACACTACGAAAAGAAAAATCTTGCTTATTGCGAAACTCACTATCATCAACTTTTTGGAAATCTTTGTTTTATATGTAATCAAGTTATATCGGGCGATGGTGAGTTTTTTTTCCTATCAACAGAAATCGTTATTATTATTATTATTAAAGCAATTAATTTTTTTTTTTATTATTAGTTTTTACAGCTTTGAATAAAGCCTGGTGCGTTCATCATTTTGCATGTTCAGTATGCGATCAGAAAATGACGCAGAAAACGAAATTTTACGAATTCGATTTAAAACCCGTTTGTAAAAAATGTTATGAAAAATTTCCAACGGAATTAAGAAAACGATTACGTAAAGCACATCAACAACAAAGCAAAGAAAATAATTAATAATTTTCATAACAACAAAAAAAAAAAAAACAAAATCTCCTCCTCCTCTTCATTATTATTATTATTATTAATAAAATCATGTTATTAACACTACTAGTCAAGTAATTTTTAATTTAAAACCGAAATTAACGTTTTGTTTTTTAAATATAAAACTAATTAATATTCATTTATATTATTTAATTAATTATATTTATGTATTTTTTTTTTTTTTCGTTTTATCTAAAAAAAATTAATTGCCTTAATTTTAATGTAGAAATAAAATAATTATTTAACAATAATAATAATTTTAATTTCGAGCCTTTATTAATTCAATTAAATTTAATGTATTTTACAATTATTATATTTATTATGATATATAATAAAATTTAATTTAATGGTAATGATTTCAATTGTTTTTTTTCATCCCTCCCCCTCCCTCTTCCCCCCTCAACCCTTAAATTAATCAGATATTCGTTATGAAGGTATTTTTAAAGATTGAAAATAGACACACACAAACTACATCAAATGTGATTGTTTATGATTGGAAAATTGTTTGTAATGTGAAAAATTTTCATTGCATCTATTACAAGTGAAAATTTTTTCTTTCGAATGATTATTTTCATGTTCTATTAAATATTTCTTATCGGAAAATGTTTTTTCGCATTGACTGCAGTTATATGGTTTTCGACCCGAGTGCATTCTCAAATGAGTTTTAAATGATGATTTTGATGTTATGTTTTTGTCACATATATTACAATTGTAAAATTTTCCCTCATTTTTATGCTTAGATAAATGTTTTTTAAATCCGAGTTGATTTAAAAAACCTTTACCGCATTCTTCGCAAGTGAAATTTATTTCGTTCGGATCGTAATTAGGTTTGTGAATGATTAAATGTTTTTTAAGATATTCGGGACTTCGAAATGTTTTTTTACAAATTGTGCATACATACCCACCACAATGATTAGCTTGTATGTGTTTGTTAAGTTCTGTTTTTGTATAATGTCCACTCCCACATTGATCACACACGAAAGAAGGAGCTTTGTTATGTCTTGATATGTGTATCTCGAATTGAAATTTATCAGGAGCTTTGTATTTGCAAATTTGACATTCGAATCTTTCATCTCTCAAACCGAGATGTATTTTTTTTTCATGTGCTAACAAACTCAATTTTGTTGCAAATGTTTTATGACAAACTTTACATTTTGGTTTTGTTCTGTGCATCGAATTCATGTGATACTCATAGGCTCCTTTTAAAAATTTAAGATTACAAATTTTACATGTATATAATTTATGATACCTGTATGTATGCCTCCTGTACAGTTGAACAGTTTCAAAATATTTATCACAGTATTGACATTTTAAATTTTTCTCTTCTTCAGCCTTATGTTTTAAATATATTTTGTGTGGAAAACTTTTTCCACAGTATATACAATCTTCGATTTTTTCATTTACACTTTTTTTACTATCTTTATTGTTGAATGACAAATTTCCACACCTAGATTTTTGGTTGTGTATCAACTCAAATTGGTTCGATCCTGAAATTAATATCTCGTACCTGAAAACAATAATTTACAAATACAATTTAATTGAAAAAATATTAATGAGTTTAAAAGACAGGAATTCTATATGAATAAACACCATCGCACAAAGAAATTAATTGTTTTTTTTTATTCTTCAAAATACATTATTTATTTTAAAGATTTAATTTATAAATGAAAGTAAGGTAGTTGTAAAATTTAAAAAAAATTCTTAGAATTAAAAATAAACCCTTTTAAGATAATAATAATCAAAGAAATGAACAATATATTAAGTCATCCCTTGAAGCCGTTGATGAAGTATACAGTTTATGTATCATAATTAATATATTATATGAAATTAATAATTTAAATCTGAATTGTTTTTTTTTTAGAAAATAAATTTAATAAAATTAGCGACGGTAATTTATATTCCCGTAAAGTTTTATGTGAATATAAAAATACTACCTTCATTTTAAAAAGTTTAAACGAAGGGCCCCATTCCTTTAAAACTGATCTCTCCTTTGACCTTTAAGTTGGCAGCACTTTACAAGACAAAATTTTGCGGAATTTGGGCGTCATTTTAACGGTTACGGTTGAAATAAATGTAGGATATTTAAGTTGTAATAATTGTGTTTTGTTTAGGTTTTTTTTTTTAATGTAATAAATAAATAAACTTAATTTAACTCCCTTTTTAAATTTTTGTAAGTATATATACATTTCAAAAACAAAAAAACTAATAAAAAAACACGCTTCATATTAATACTCATCGTTAACCGTTTATTTTCAACACACAACTAAAATATGTATTAATTTGATACTTATGATTAATTTTTAACAAAATGTTTTTAATTAATTGTATTTTTCAATTTAAAATAACTTCCCTCCTTTTTTTTATTTGTTTCGTGTAACTATAACTTATTAATATTGTATATTATTATTATTATTATTATTTAGTAATTTTATATTTGTGTGTTTAAAATGAAAATTTGAAATTAATATAAACGTGGGAATGTGTTCCTATTTTAAAAACCTAATTTTAAGTTAGCTTATTAAGTTATTCTTTTACCTATAATTTTTTTTTTGTTTTTAGATTTTTTTTTTTAGTTTTTTTTTTTTTTAAAAATAATAAAACATGAATGACCAACAGTTTTTAAAAGTGTTACCTTTTTTGGATAACAAATGCTGCCAAATTGGAACTGAAACTGATGTTTTTATGGTAATAAAAAGAGAAAAATTTTCATATTTAATTTTTTTTAAATGAGTTTTGCATTTTGTTATTTTTCTAAAATTTTTTTAAAAAAAATTTACAGAAAAATATATATAAATGGGCTGATGAATTAAAAGACATAATTGAAAAAGAAGTTTTGGAAGAAAAACAGCATTCTACATTTTTGCTCCCTAAAACTCCTAGCCAAAAAAGAACAAGACAAAACAAAAGAACTAAAAATCTATCGACAGCTTTTAATTCAAAACAATCAATTGCTAATTCTACAATGTGTTTAGATAATTCTAATCTAAACTCGACAATATCAACTCGAACAAGAGCTGCTAGACGAGTAAGAAAATTTGACAAAGTAAAGTTAAAGTTAGCGTAAAACTAATTAATAAATATTGTAAAATGAAAATTTTAGGGACTTACATCTAAGATATCATCACAATTAAATGTTACTTGTGAAAAACAAGTATTAGGAGTTGAAGAAATAAAAAAAGAAGTTATTATCGAAAGCACTGTAAATAAAACTATTACAGTTAATGAAACGTTTGTCGTACAAAATACTTCGACTTGCACCAAAACAATAATTAAAAAGAAGAAAAATAAGAAAAAGGCATCAGGTAATTGTATAATTGTCAAAAATGTCTCATCATGATAATATTTCGATTAATTACAAAAAAAAAAATTTTATTTTAATTAGAATCGCTTACCCCTACTGATCATGATGCTTCGGAACAAATCTTCCAAGTTCTTGATGAGACATTACAGGAACAACCTAAAAGAAAAAATACAGAAGGATCGTTAGAAAACGACAAGAGTCCATTTGAAAGTCAAAAATTGAAAAGATCTAAAACAATGAGCGAAACAACTCCTTTGAGAAAAAGTAAAAGTATATTTTCAAGAACCCTGAGTGAAGGTCCCATTGAACAAAATACATTTCAAGTAATGGTCACAAGTCCGAAAGAGCAAAATAATTCAAACGTAGCAGTAGTAGAAGTCAAAAGGAAAAGTTCTAGAACACTAAGTGAAAGTCCTAATCTGAGGCCACGAAAAATGTCGAAAACGTCGAACGAAGAAAATGGATTTGGTAAAGCCAATTCGTCAGAAATTATAGATCAGAAATCTAATGGGACACATTACGAAATCAAAACTCCCAGTTTAAGCCCGATAGAAAACAGTAAAATTTTGCCTTTCGAAACTCCATATAGAAGCCCTACTTTAAGATCTAGCAGTCGTAAATGTAATAGAAGTTTAAGCGAGAGTCCAATGGAATTAAAAAAAGAACGTCAAAGTTTAAGAAATAGAAAACAAACAAATGTCGATGAGAACAATACAATAAATAATGTTAATATAATGACCGTCACGAAACATTATGATGGCGATGATGGCGACGACGACGACGTGACAAATTCTACGAGGAAAAATGAAATAAATCTATCAGAGGATAAAAAAATGAAGGAAAATTTTAAATATAACCAAACCATTACGCTACCATTGAAGGGAAAAAAAACAAGATCGTTTGGAAATAGTAAATTGAATGATGATTTGAGCGAAATAGGTCACACGAAATTGGTAGAAACTAGTTTGGATGATAATGATGGTGATTCGTTCGAAAAAAGTCTCGATGAAGTTTTGATACTACCGAAGAAGAAAAAAATGAAAAGAAAAATTAAAAAAAGTCATTCGAAGAATGGGAGCCTTAAAGAAAATGAAGAAAGCGTGAGAATAACAAGAACAAAATCCAAAGCAATGAAAGAAAGTTTAAATAATAATTCATCTTATGAAAATAAACAAAACGTAGGTTTTCCGCCATTTTTTTTTTTAAATTTTTTTTTTTGAATTTAAATCACTCTAAATTATTATTATTTTTTTTTTTTTAAAAGGATTTGTCAACGTCGTGTGCCAAGAAAATATTAAACAAAGCCAAAATGACGTCGTTGAAAAAAGAACAATTAACTGCTTTATTGGAATCGAATAAATTATCCGGGATAAAAGGGGAAAATTTAACAAATGGCGGGTACATGACTCCGTCGGCTAAATATCAATTATTGAGTTGTAGCAAAATGAAAAAAACACCTTTGGCAACATTGCCCAACAGCACGATAAAAAAACCTAAAACTGTAAGAATTGAATGATTGATTGATTGATTGATTGATTGATTGCACGAGTTTACTGAAAGTATGAATTTAATTTTTCAGTCGGGTTATAAGGATCGATTGAAAACGAAAGTCATGAGAAGAGACAGTTCGGTTGAAAATACTTTACCCCATAAGGCGGTTAAAGTCCCGGAAAGCGAAACGAAATTATTATCGAAAAAAAAGAAAGAAGATGAAGCTGCGAAGAAAAGGGAAAAGGTGATAAAGAAAAAACAGGAAGAATTAAGAAAGTGAGTATCGCCGTTGGTTTTTTAGGTTCGGTGCGAGGATTGTTCATAATAAATAAAAATAATTTTCTTTTAGGAAAAATGAATTGAAGCATCAGTTGGCGATGAAACAACGTGAAAAATTAGAGCAGGAAAAGTACAACAACATCATACAGTCGGAAAAGGAAAAAGAAGAAAGGCACAAATTGATATTGCAAGAAAGGCAAATGAAATTGAAAGAAGAAGTGTACAAGAAGAAAATGTTGGCACAACAAAAGGCGGCGGAAATAATTGAAAGGCGACGACACGAAGAAGAAGCACGAATAGCGAAATTGAAAGAAATCGTGAGTACGGAAATGATAATGAAATATTTTTAAGGACTTTGAAACGGGATAAAATAAAAAAAAAAAAAAAAAACGGGAAATTTTTTAGGAAGCGGAAGAACAGAGAATCGCACTAGAGAAACAAAAGGAACAAGAACGTTTGGAAAAAAGAGCTCAGGAACGTTTGGCATTGAAAAAAGCGAGAGAGGAATACGAATTGCAAATGAAACAAGAGCTCGAAACGGAAAAATTAAAATTCGAAAAATTAGGATCGGGTAGTAGTAGTAATAATAATAATAAATTTTTAATGAGCGGAAGCAAAATGGCGAGCGCGAGTAAAAAACAAAGGTTCGGATTATTGAACGAGAAAAAAGAATGGGATTACAAACCTAGAAATGAAAACGACTACGGATTGGAAGATGAAAATTCCGAATTCGAAAGCGACGATGAAAAACCTCGTCCGTGTAAACCCTGTCCGAGTTGGTGCGATGGTAACGTGTCCGAAATTTTTCCACCATGTTTCGAACCTAAGGGGGCAAAAGACAGAGAGTCGGTCGTTAATTTTAAATTAAATTAATTTTTTCAGATATAATGAAAGGATTGGCACCGATAAGGAAAATAATCACTCTCGACATGCTCAACGAATACATGCCCTGCTATCAAAAATCACCGGACATACAAAAAATGTTTAATTTGACTCCAACGAGAAGAATCAAAAGAACTTCGAGTGCAATATGGAACACTCCGACGTCGTGAAATCGCCCCGCCCTCGTCCCCGCCCCGCCTCCTGTTTCACTCTCTCTCTCTCTCACTCTATTAATCTCCTCCCAGAATTCGGCGAGTTTGAGTTTTCTCCTCCTTTTCCTCCCGCCCCGCCCCGCCCCCCAAATAATAATAATTTGACTTTAACATTTATTTATTGGAAAAAAAAATTCCCTTATTGATTTCTTATTTGCATCGACAAGTAATGTATGTAATGTTAATGAATTTATTATAACCCTTATTTAGCATTTACTAATTATTATTATTATCATTTTTAAATAATTTTTTTTTTTTTTAATTTAATAGCTGTAAGATATAATTAAAAGTAATACGGTAAATAAAACAATTTTTAAAAAAATTTCTTTTTTTTTTTTTAAAAAATATCCAATATAATTTGATTTTCAACGCGTAATAAATATTTATATATTATTTAATAAAAAAAAAAACCCCTCTTTTAATTTTAATACATACCTGTAGATGTCACTGTAGTCGACCGGAAACTAAATAATTCGATAAGTATGAAAATGATATGTATTGAAGAATTTCCGTTGCCGCGCGGTCGTGACGTAATGACGTTGTGTCGTGCGCGCAGGCGTGGAATGATATTTTCTTTTTTTCCGGGAATTCGTCATTATAAAAATGTCAAATCCTTGTTTTCTCCGATATTTTAACAACGAACGTTCTTATTTCCTGAGGTTTTAAACTTATGACGAAATCATCGCCCAATTCTCCTCCATCTTTGTTTTCTTCTCTCTCGTTAATTATAACCGTGCCGTAGGAATTCCATTTGAGTCTTTTCACGTCGGAAATCCACCTGTCGGCTCCCAATGCCGTTTCTCCAACGTCGATCACGTCGAAATTTTTAAATAATCCCTACGAAAAATGACAACAAAAATCAAAAAAAAAAAAAAAAAAAACATCATCGTTATTATTATTATTATTATTATATAACTACGTACTTTTAACGATATCATTTCCGCTTTGTCGATTTCCTCTTTCGAATAATCTTCCAACGTATTTTCCAATCTCAAAAGTATCGTTTGCTCTCTCCAAGGTTCCAACGTTAGTATTTGAACGTGCGACGGTAAATTGACATTCATCCCGGAAAACTAAATAAAAAGATTAATGGATCGTCAAAAGGTATTATCATTAATAAAAAATATTTTTAAAAAAAACAGCAGCATCCATTACTTCCGTCACGTGATTCGTACGCCATTCATCGTAGGATAACGAACTCGAATCGGAAAAAAACAACCAGGGTTGCAAATGTTTTTCTCGTGCGAACATTTTTATCCTTTTCTTCATTTTCGAATCCTTGTTCCCGAATAGTAGCCAATGACTACCTCTCGCGACCAAACCTTTCCCGTGTGCCATTTCGTTGAGAGGTTCTCCTACACCGTATCCATCATCTTTGATCGTCCTTCTGTGAATCTTATCGTTCGTAAAGGATTAACAAAAATGATTACGTATTTAATTATTATTATTATTATTATTATTTCATTAATGATTTATTCACCATGAGTTCGATTTGTCCGCTTTTAAGACTCGAACCTCCTTCCGGTCTATCGACTATCACAGCCATTTGATTGTCGTCATCTTGAATCGATATCGAACTCGTTACGGGATAATAATTCCCAGAAATCGTGTTCAACGGCTGAAATTTAAGTAAAAACAATCAATCCAACGACCTACGATGACAAAACACCCGGCGGCCATTTTGATTCATACCTTTTCCGTAAAATATCTATAATTTCTTATCCTTTTTTCCATTTTCATTCCGTTTACGTCTGTGTAATAAATATCATCGCTTCGTATCGTACTTTCGTACTTTGCAAAAACTTCTTTTCCTATCGAATCCCTTAAATAATTTTTACAAAAAAAAAAAAATTAAAAAATTCTTTTTTTCCGCCATGTTTGTTTACAATGAAAAAAGAAAAATTTACTTGATTGGTATCGGACCGATCAACCAATTATATTCCACGTAATTTTCATCCGAATAAATTCTCACAATTTGACTGACCCAATCGGAAAATATTTCTTCGTATTCTTTCACTATGGGACCATCGTTTAATAATTTTACAATTTTTTCTCCTTTTTTTAAATCCTTAAATGATTTTTTTTGCGACGGACTAAATAAATAAGCTCCCGAACGGTTTTTCGATTCGTAATATTCAATTTTTTGCAATACCGACGAATGGAAACCGTTTTTACCCGTAGCAAATCTCACATGGAATTGGCTACCGTTCAAGACCACTTTAACGTTCTAAAAAAAAAACGATTTTTGCCTTTATTCGTAGATAACGAGAGAGAGAGAGAGAGAGAGGAAAATTTTTTATTACTGGATTTTCTTTGACGTCTTTATCGTTGAATTTTCCTTTTGGCGCCTGCAGAACGTAAAACGATTTAAATCCCAATGGCGGCAAGTGGGATGCTTTGAAAACTAATTCGTTTTTGGCTTTGCTTTTTCTCCCGGGAATATTTCTAACGGTTTTCGAAATGGCGACGATTTGACTCGTTATTATCCCTCCTGTCGAAATTTTGTTTTGTTTTTACTCCTGCTCGACTAAAATATACCAATCTTTGTAAAATACTTACCGTCGTTTCCCATGACGAGGTAGTTTTGTCTATCGATTGGTATCCTCACGTAATAATCCGTTATTCGACTTAGAGGATTATAAACGGTTACGATGAACCTCGAATGAGTTTCCGTGAATTCGCACGAACTAATATTCAGTAACAAACAAGACACGTATTCCAAATTGGAAGAACTCGAATCGAACATTGATAAATACCTGAAATCCATACGAAAAAAAAAAGAAGTTGATTCATTCGAGAGGGAGGGGGGCGGGGGAAAAAGGATTATAAATAGATAATGACTTCAATGACGAATCAATCGGTTTGGCACAAGTGTGTATTCCTCGGTACAATAATTTGGCATAATGTTTGGTAACATGTTGTTGAGAAGTACCCGTGATGGCGTCGTGATGCTGCAACACAGCAACAGCTTCCCTTAATTTTCTAATCTCATTGAAATAAGTCATTCCTTTATTAGCTAGCACCAATAACTGTTTGCATATCTAAAAAAAATTGTTTATTATTATTATTGTCAATTTGATGGTACTCGTAAAAGGATTGTAAATAAATACCTGCAAAAAGTTGTTGCTCAACCTTTCAAAATATTTTAAAGTCGGTTTGGAGGTGAAGTAACCAGTCCAATAAACATTTATTTCTGAAGCATAAGGAAAAAAATCACCAAATTTTAATGGCCATGATATTCGAGAAGAGTGTAAGTCTTTAATGTAAAGAGAAGGAGTCGAATAAAAAATTTTTAATTTATAATTCGAATGTTTGTTAAAATAACTGAAAACAAAAAACATTATAAAAAAACACAAAAAGAAAAAGTATTTTTTTTTCCAATCAATCAATCAATCACCTTATAAGTCTATCGATAAATTTAAAATATCTTTCAGCATTAAGATATCGAAAATCATCACCCATTGGTACGAATATGTGATTTGTTTTAAATGCAGCCGCTTGTTTTCTAACATGTATTGAAAATGTTGAAAAATTAATATATATATCATCTTCGATTCTTTCAAAATCAAAACCAGGAGGAGAACTATAATGATTGAATAAAAGGCTTGTAAAAATATAAGGTTTCGATTTTTCTGTAAACGAGAGAGAGAGAGAGAGAGAGAGAGAGAGAAAGAAAAAAAAAATTAATCAAACATATAAAACGTTATTAAAAATCATCACAAATACAAAAATTAAATTGATATTTACTACTGATATTTCCAACCCATAAAAATTCCATTAATTTATTTTCTCTACGAAGTTTTAATTCTTCAATATCGATTCTATTTATGAATAAACTATCGAATCCCATTTGATGAAATAATAATGCAATGACTTTGGAATGACCGAATGTGTCAATTTGCCAGGCGACAGTTGGCGAAGCATTCGATCCGAATGTATCATTGATAAATCTTAGATAATGAAAAAATTTATTAAAAAATTATTTTTTTTTTCCCCCGATATAAATTTTTTTTTTACCTTAGACCCCAGGTTAATTGATCTATAAAACTTTGATAATGTGTAACACCTTCATCGCTCATACACACACCTCCATTTATTATTTCTAATTGTTTGTTTTTAATTAGTTTTTTGACAATTTTTTTCGTTATCGAATCTTGTTCTAGCCACCATTTTCGAAAAAAATACACTTCGGCATAAACAAATCTAAAAATTTTTCAATTATAAATTATTGACATATGATAAGAAACATTTTCATTTCTGTTAAAAATTCTTAAATGAAAATTTATTCCATTCACGAGAGAATAATAACCTTCTCTTTTTATTTTTCTGCAATTCGATAATGACATTTGTTAATATAAATCTCACATCTGAAACAAAAAAAAACGTTAATACATAACGCTCATTTATAAACATATGAGCGCAAAAATTGATTGAAATTTTATTTTAAACAATTTATTCATTACATAATAACTTACAGGCATTGTAGTAAATTTCTGGAGTATTCAACCATCCTACATCGTCATGACTATGAGGAATTAAATGAACGTTTAATATATCACTGCGAAAATTCCAGTTTAAATTCTGTAAATTGAAAAAAAAATTAATTAATACTTACGAATAAACAAAATATTACTATCTAAAAAACCCCAAACAAAATTTTTTATCTTACGTATTTTATAAGCAATAAATTAATTGAAAAAAGTAAAAATGCTGATATAATCACAGTTGAAAAAAATTGTATAAGAATTTTAATTTTATATGGCAGTTGATATCGGCTTAAACTGTGTGATAAGTTTTCCATTAAAAAAATATATAATTATTAATTAATTTATTTATTTATAACGATTAATTTTAAAAAAATAAATTATAAAAACTATAATAATAATAATCAATTAGAATAAATTAATATGGTCCCGGCACATAGATAAAAATATTTTAAATATGTATAATTCATTTTAAAAAAAATTAACAACCAAATGCAACTGCATTTTTCGTAAACAACATCCCGGGCTCATTAGAAAAAAAAAATTTTTTTACTCTATGGTTTCGAGTCTCGAAATATATCGATTTGCATTCGATATTCACAATCCTCGTTATTTCCATCATGTCTGTTATAGAATTTTAAACGGACAAAAATTTTAAATTTTTCATTTTAAAGCTATTAATTACTCTTTTAATAAATTTATTTTTAAAAAAAACTTTTTTTTTAAATGAATAACTTTTAAATTTTATATCGAACGTAAGCCATAAACATTAAATTAAATCTAATTTTTACAAAATTAACATTAGTGGACGGTGAACTTCCATACAATAAAATATTGTAAAAAAAAAAATGTCAATAAAATAAAATATCACCTTAAATTAAATGTATATAATGTATATTTCACAATATATATAGGAAACAACAACAATGATTTAAAAACAAATTTTTTTTAACTTTTTGGCAAGTATCAGTAAAATTAAACAAAAAATAAATCAATCATTATTATTATTATTATTATTATTATTAATGATAAAATTAAAATAAAAATTTATAATTAGAAAGCTTCAAAAGAAACAAACTACTAATTAATATTTATGAAATAAAATAATACATATTATGTATCAATATCATCAACTTCATTTAAACAAATCTCCTTTTATAATTAATAATAATAATAATAATAATAATAATTATAAATACAATTTCCACGGTTTAATTTAAACTGAATAATAATAAACTCGGATAATAATAATAATAATAATATGGCAAATCTTTTTGTATTCATTTCAAACAAACAAACAAACAAAAAAATAATAATAATTTTAAATAACACCATCATTTTTATAACAATGATTGATTTATTGATTGATTGATTACATTTTTACTACTAACTTCCATTTCCCCTCCCCCCCTTCCCCCTGTTAAATAATATCATTTCAAACGAAATAAATATTTTTTTTTTTTAAAAATAAAACAAAAATTTTAAATAACCGTTAAATAAAAAACAAATTTTACGGTTGGTAACTAACCGATTGATTTATATCTACATTGAAAAATAAAACAACATCTAGGATTATTATTATTATTATTATTATTATTATTATTAGCATTACTCCACTTCACTTTCGTAATTAGTACAAATCAGCAGAAATTAATTTTTTTTTTTGTTTAAAACTGTAAAATAATTTAATCTAATCTCGTGAGATGAAACAAAAAAGGCAGGCAGGTAGGCAGGCAAACATGTAGGCAAGTTTATCCAACCTCCTTTTTTTTTTATAAAATGTCTCCTTCGTTACCATTTCGACAAATTTTCCTGTTTTTATTTAATTTAATTACACGCATTACATGTAGAGATCATGCACTTGGGTAAATGTCCAATCATCATCATCATTATTATTAATTATTTCCGATTCTCACGTTTTAATACGTTTTCCCAATTTGACGAAACCGTTTCGCGGGGGTCGCTTCCCATTTTTCAAATCTTGTCCTCCGTTTTTATCCCTAGCATTGAACAAAACGTCAGAATCTGAATCCGTGTCGGATACCATGACGCTTTTGTTAAGAGCTATAAAAAACGCCATTTTTAAAAGGACGAGTATCGACTGTCTCGCAACAAACAACAAACAACAAACAACAAACAACTTACCACGCATTGTTGACTCTTCTTCGTCGTCTATCAGCGAATACCTTTGTCGTTTTCTCGGTTTTCGAAAAGGTTTTTGTATTAAACAAGTGATGCCCCAACTACAACCGGCCGTCACGAACGCACCCGCGAAAAAAACGATTATGACGTACAAAATGCTCCAATCTGAAAATAATAATAATAATAATAATAATAATAATAATAAATAATAAATAATAATAATAATTTTTCTTATTCTTTTAAATCTCCTTAAATTCGCACCGCAATTGGATTCTCCATCACCGAAATATTTCCTAACGAAACTTTGCATCCAAAAAGCTTCGCACAAGCATCGTCTGCTACTTTCGTCGCACGTTCCGTGACCCGAACAATTATTTTGGCAAACGACCGTTTGAATGTTGGCAACCGACAATTCTAAAAGACTAGAATCTTGTTTAAGTTTTTGTTTGAGTAGAGTCACGACTTGCGGACCCGACATGACGGTTTTATCTCCGGCTACGTCACCCGCGTAAAAGACTAGAATGGCACGACCTGTGTTGTGTTCCGTCGTTAATTGCCTACGGTTTAAGGTACGTCATCACTAATATTCCATTCGTTAAGACTATTAATAATAATAATAATAATAATAATAACAAATACCTAACGTGTATCACAGCATTTCTTAATAACAAACTCAATTTGGCTTCTAGCGATTGTTCCTGAGAAACGGTCAATGAACTCCCTTCGATATTTAATATTAATTCGACTAAATTTTTTAAATTTGGATCTGCAAATAAATAAATATGATGATGATGATGATTACCAATTATTTTATTTTAATTGTAAATAAAAAAAACCAACCCGGTTTGACTATGATTGAAACGGTATCTTCTCCAGACAAACCCTGATTATCGGTAACTTTTAATTTAAACACAAATCTCCCGGGTATTAAATCAGTCAACTGAAATCAAGAAAAAATTCAATCAATCGACGGTTAAAATTCGCCATTAAAAGAAAACTGAAAAAATTTAAAATACCCGTAAAATAGGAGACTTATCGGAATTTCCCAAAACTCTTCCCAAAGCCAAACTCGAACTATCTCGCGTCCATTCCCATTTTTTAATTGCCCAATCATCCGTTGATCCCGAACCGTTGAGAGTTATCAAACTCACGGGTAAAATAACCGTTCTGTCTCCACCGGCATTCGCTTTCGGAGGAGCATTTTCATCTGGAAAACAAAAAAAAAATTATTTAGTTCATCCGATAAATAATCAGAGATGAAAAAAAAAAAAGAAGAATTCGATTCGACCGACTTTGATTCACGATAACGAAAACGGAATCGGAAGCGCTATTTCCGTTCGAATCGACAACGGTCACTTGAAATTCGTATTTTCCTTTCGTGAGTTCCGTTGCATTTGATTTGGATGAGTTGGCAGGCGTGAGTACGGCTTTATTAGGTCCCGACAATTGTTCCCAATTGTACGATTCGATTTTTATATCACCCTTACTCATGGAAGCATCTAGTATCGTCCATGTGCGTGGTAGAGATACAATTATGTCTTCGCCAGCGTTCGCTGAATAAATAATAAATGATTACATTTATCGAATGGTTATAATTACAGGGGGGGGGGAAGATTTTTTGTACCTGTCGGAGGTTTATTCGTCGGAAGTTTGACGAAAACGTGAGTTTCCGCCAGAGAAGATTGACCGCTACTATCTATCACTTTTAAAACAAACGTATACATTCCCTCTTCCAAATTTGAAAGTTGTAGATAAGGCGTTCGAGTGTTCTAAAAATATAAATTTAATTAATACACAATAAAATGAATATAATAACAAATTTTTTAAATAAAAACCTGCATGTCGACAGCTTTATCCCGGCCGGTGTGCGTTCTCGTCCATTCCCACGAAACTATTCCCCTATCGTCGGTACTCATATTTCCGTTTAAAGTAACACTGTTTACCGGTAAATAAACTATGACGTCATTTCCCGCATTCGCTTCGGGGGGATAATCCGTTCCTTTGACGACGGTTATGTTGGCAGTTGTGAAATTAGAAGCACCATCGGAATCTTCAACCGTAAGCCTAAATTAACATCATTCGTTAATGCCATCCTCGAACCTTATTTCCATTTTATTTTTATTTACTCACTTAAAAGTGTAATTTCCAGGAATATTTAAATCTTTTAATTGTAATGTCAGAGAATCTCCTAACGTCGGTTGATAATTGAGAGGACCGCTTTGTAATTCCCAATGCCATCTGACAATTTTGTCATCGTCATAACTGGGAGACCCGTCGAGAACTGCTACCGTGTTTGGTAGTTTAATAGTCTGCGCAGCAGGAGTTATTATAACCACCGGTGGCTTATTAATTCTGTTTGCTAATAAAAAATAAAAGTATGAGAACAAGTTTAATTTAACGAGTAATTTTAAAAGAAATTCAAAAAAATAAAATATGAGTTTGAACTTACGAGGTAAAACTGTCACATTTGTAAATGTTTCTCCATATGCATCTGGAGCCGAGACGGTAACTTTGAATTTGTAAATCCCTTCAATCAAATGACTTAATTTTAAAGTTCCTCCACTTTGTTCTGTCATGACTCCAGTGTTACCACCTTCAGGTTGCACAAGTAATTTCCAATTGAAATTAAAATGCTCTCCTGGAATGAAACAAATTAATTATTATTTATATTTTTCATTTAAATTCATTTACCTTATGATTGATAAAAAAAAAAAAACCTGTTTGTTCTGATGGCACTGTATAAGCCGAAAGTGTGACTTCATTTTCTGGTAGTTTAACAACTTTGGGAACAACTCTAACAACTATCGGTTTCAGTGGCTTCGAAGATGTTTGTTCGCCATCGTTTAATTGTTTCGTAGTCTGAGACACTGATGGTTCGCTCAAATCGATTTTCAATGCAGATTCATCCCTGAAATTAATAAACGTTGAAAATGAGTCAAACATTAAAAAACAAAAGGATGGAGTGCATGTTAAAATTCATCGCAGACGATTCAGGGCAAAAATCATTCCAGACACTTACATCTTTGGGATGCAAGAGCCTGTTTGATCTCTTAAATAACCATCCATGCACTGACAAATACCATTTCTAGACCTACTAGATGCTATTGAAATATTTTCGCATATTTCATTTTTTCCGCAACTCATTAGCACCCCAATTTCACACGATCTGCCACCAGATGATGTGTAATAAGTGGGATCTAATATTGCAGACTCCTCATCTTTACCACTTTAAAATTAAAGGTAAAGTAAATAATTTCAACTTGATGACTCAAACTTAATAATAAAAGTCAATGTAAATTTGACTAACCTGTATTCGTCATCGGGTGAAGCTGAAAAATAAGAATCGTCCCAATCTTTCGAACCGACCGGTGATACCAATATCATTTTGGTATCTTGAAATTTTTCTTCCGATCTGAACTCTGGTAAACAGTCGTAATTACTAACACACTGAATCTAAAAAAATACATTCAGTCATAAACATATGCTGACTACTTATATTCTTTTTACATTTTTAATTTACACTTTTATTTAAATAAGTAATTACGTGAAAACATTTTGGACCGTGCATGAATACAACATTACAAGTTTTATCAGCACAACAAGCATTCAAACACTCCTGTATAGTATGAATTCCAATTTTATTTTGATAATTTCCAGCATATTCTTTTTTCTTTGGTACGCTTCTCCATTTGACAGAGTAAACTTTCGAACACATATCTGCAGTTATTGACTCTTCTTTAAAATCATTTGGATTTAAATCCAAATCGCCATATCCAAAAGAGGATTTGGTTAAAATATTAAAAATGAGCCCTTGAAAAATTAATATAAAACATCCTCCCATTTTCCTCATTTCTATAACCCCCCAAAAAGAAAAAATTAATCACTCAATTAAAAACAATCAATTATTAAACGGAATTAAAATATCAATCGGTATCAGAAATCGATAGATGTAAAAAATTCGGTTTAATATGTAATCATTACAACAACAAAAAAAAAAATCAAACACATTTTTAATTTGACGTAATTAAATAAACATCTGCATATATATAAATTAATAATAATAATAATAATAATAAATCGTCAATAATAAAAAATTTTTTAAAAACTTGCCTGTTAACAGATGGTTTATCGCTTAATTTTTCAATCAAGTAAAATTAAATGAAAAAAATTATCAAACAAGTCAGACAGAAATTAAAAAAAAATGAAAAAAAAAAACGATAAAAAAAAAAAAAATTTCACGGATTAATGATCATGTCGTCAATGTCATTATTATGTTTCACTGAAATCCATAAATTGAATATAAAATCAAATTCCCAATTAACGCACATTTTTGACACTTAATATACATATAAATATATCAGGGAATTTGTTTGGAGGATTTTTGTAAATAAACGTGTCACTAGATAAAATTTGTTAATTTTTATCTAGCAGGCGGTGGTTGCTCAGCAACGAAAATGTCCGATATAGAAGGTAATAAATTTTTAAAAATTTATATTTGTAATTTTTTTTTTTTTTTGTAATTTATAATTTCAATTTAACCGTCGTCGTTTATTTTTCAACGGTTTGTTTTTTTTAAACATATTTATTTTATTTTTTTTTATATATATTACAATTTAAATATTATTATTATTGAATTAATTTTACGTGTCGTGATTGATTGTTCGTTCGTTCGTTAAACATTTAAACAGTGGATGAGTTTTTTAATTTAAAGTCGTTAATGAATAATCAAATTTAATGTTACCAACAAATTGTTAATATACCCCCCCAATTATTTCGTACGTTTTATATATATATATATGTATGTAATTGTAAAAAAAAATTTTCGGATTTTTAAATATGTCATATTAAACAACTTCGTATAAAAATATTTAGTAGGTTGTGTAACCCACACGATTTTCTCCATTTGCAACTTTGATCCCTATATGGAAACGTGTAACCAAGATTCAATGTATTTTTAATTGTCATAGGTTTATTGATAATTATCCCTAATCTAACTATTAGAACAAAAAACAATAAAAACATGGCGTAAAAAAGAAAATTTTTAAAAAAAAAAATTTGTTTCTCCAGGTTTTGTGATAAGAAAACCAAAATGTTTTGTTCGAATGAAAAATTTAAAGTTTTCCCATAATTCCCTCTGTTTAAATTATCATTCGAAACATATCGAAACTTATTTTCACTCTCTCATGTTATCATACAATATTATCGCAAAAAAATAAATTTTCATATTACTACTACTCCTTATGTACATAACTTATTTGATTCAAATCGATTAAATAATTAATAGAATTTTTTTTCAAAGGGAAAATTAAAATAATTAAACAAAATTGAGTATTCGAATATTAATAAAAAAAATTAATAAAGTAAATTGTTGATGTGTGTATGACATTGTAAAAATTTAAAAATCTTTTACAAAATGGTAAAAAACATTTAAATAATATCTAATAATCAAATAAGAAAATTTTAATTAATATCGATAACTTTTTTTTTTTTTTTTGTTCATTGAAACGACTAAAAATGGACTTTGTTATAAATTTTCAAGGTTAGATTTTTCATCTCACCTTTTTTATACTTTTGTACAACGACGACAACAACAACAATTACTTTAATAATTTTTTTTTTTTTTGTTTAATAACCAATTTAGTTTTAAAAAAAATGTCTACTCATTAATTAACACACACACACACACAATTTTTTTTTAAACTAAACACTGTAAATAAAATTAATAATTAACGATTGTTACAAATTTTTATTTCATTATTTTTTTTACTACGATCGTTTTTGTTTTACGACAGAACAAAATAATTATTATTTGACTGCAAGTTGTGAATGATCAATTTGCTGTTGTCTGTTCTGTCTGTCGTGGGAGGGAGTTTTTGTACTTTTTATTTTTTTTTTTATTTTTTTTTTTTTTATCATTAAAGCCTAGTTTTTAGAATTTAAGAGAATTTACTATTTGCCTGTCCTAAATATCTTTTTAATAAAAAAAAAATTATTATTATTATTATTATTATTATTACATAATTTATTTTAATTTAAATTTAACATGTTTATTATTATTATTATTTATCCCAATCGTAAAAGAATAATTTTTTTTTTTTTTTTTTTGTCTTTCTGATTCATTTTAATAAAAAAAAAAATTTTAAGCATCATAATACATTTGAAAAAATAATAATAATAATAATGGGATTGTTATGAGAAGAAAAATAATAATAATAATAATAATAATAATAGTGTGTAGGCCTTTCGCGTAGTATAATAATAATAATACTTTTGAATACGCACAAGGTTCATTTTCAATGGTTTTTTTTTTTTTTTTTTTTTTTTTACGGTTTTTTTCCCATGTTTTGAGTGTGGGTGTGGGTGTGCGCGGGCTCGCGTAAAAACCCGTATTATAATTATCGACCCGATCGATTCATGTTTGTCTGTTAGTTAGAATTTTTTTTTTTTTTTAAATATTGAAATTTATTTGACGCCTTTTTCAGATGAACCTCCTTCAGTTTTATTACCATGTACAATATGCTCTCGTACGTTTAGGCCAGAGGTCCTCGACAGACACGTAAAAGTTTGCGAGAAAACATCTAGTAAAAAAAGACGAGTGTTCGATTCGTTTAAAAATCGCGTCAGCGGTACGGAATTAGAAGAATTCCTAGGTCCTGCTCCTCTACCGGGACAGGTGCAAAAACGAGTCGTGAAAAGTCCCGGGAAAAAAAAGGGATCGCCCAAATGGAAAGAAACACACGAGAATTTAATTGCCGTTTTGAGAGCGGCAAGAGGTGTTTCCCAACCCGCAGATAGCGTGGAACCTCCTAAACTCATAAGTAATGCAGGTAATTAAAAAAAAAAAAAAAAAAAAAAAAAAACTTTTTGACAACGATTATAATAATAATGATAATAAAACTGAGGTTAACGTTCTTTGAACTAAATAAAATAAACTACTACCATGAGATTTTTTACTACGGAAATATTATTATTATCGCATTTAAAAAAAAAAAATAATGAGAACGTTTTAAATTGATATTTTTAAATCTTTTTCAATTCGTTACTCCAAAGACAAAAAAATTGTTTGTTATCCTTGAACAACAACAACAAACAACACACTTCCAGTTAAAATCACACACACACTTAAATATTCAATTCGTCCCTGAAGTGAAGGGGGAGCAGGAGGGGGGACCTTTGGTTTAAAAATAAAATCTCACGTCTTTAAAATAAGTTCGGTCCCCCCAAAAAAAAAAAAAAAAGAATTTTATTTTATTATTAATTCAACACAGAAGTGAGTGATTCGGTTAAAAATTAATAAAATAATAATAATAATAATAATAATAATGATATCGTATTCAGGGAATGAACAATGTCCATCGTGTAATAGATTTTTCGGACCGAGAGCTTTCGATCGTCACGTGGAATTTTGCAAGGAAAAAACAGCGAGAATGAAAATGACTCCGTCGAAAGTGTCGGAAGCGCAAGAAAGATTAGAAGCGAGAACAAAGGTAAATAAAATTCCGTTAGATTTTAAGAGTGTAATCCACGTGTAATGGGTGTGGATGGTATGCACGTGTCGAATATTTCCAGTATCGGGCACCATTGTCGGTCAAGCAAAGATTAACGACGAAAGAAAAATATTCACCCATGCTTCCGAGGAAAGATTCCAACGAGATTTGCACGGCGTCGACCCTGGGCGTGTCATCGTCGGTTAAAACGTCACCCCCGGTTCCGGGGGTTTTAAATAGAAATTCTAAAAGCGTCAATCAATCGTCGTGTTCGACCAACAAGTCGACCCTATCCCGAAGCAATAGCGAAAGACAACGTTCGGTTTCACCGATGAAAAAAAATTCCCTCAGGTGATTTATTATTATCATTATTATTATTATTAAAAAGGCTGGAAAAACAATTATTATTATTATTATTATTTGAAATTTCAGTACTTCGAAATCTTTTCTAAAAAATGATCATTCGACGAATAGAACGATATCGAATCAATCGTCGAAATTGAAAGAAAATTTAAAGGAAAATGAAAATTCGAGACCGAGAACGGGTTCACAGATATCATCGCAAGAAAAAACCAGGTGATAGAAAATTTTTTCACTTTGACACGCACGCACTTGCACGCACGTGCACGCACATACTTTTTTTTTTCTCTCTTAATGTATAAAATGATGATGATGATAATATTTAATGATTACTCCTTTTTGTAATACGTCGAGGGAAAGGATCGCGATTTTTTTTTTTTTTTTTTTTTGTAGCAGAATGAAACGTCCATATCCGACATCCTTTTTCTAACCTTTTCAGAAATACTAATATTAAACTCCCTAAATTGGAAAATGAAACGTTGAATAAATTGATGATGATGAAAGGAAAGACGCCGAGAGGGAGGGAAAAAATGATGATGATGATGATGATTCCCCCCAAATCATCGCCAAATTGTACCTCGGATAACGAAAGCAACGTGACGATGGAAAGCGAAATGGGTGGGGGGGAATCGACTCGTGGAAAATTACCGAATAAAAATAAAAAATGTAAATGGAACAGTTCGGAAAGCATAAGTAAAACCGTTCAAAAGCCGAAAGGTTTTTTTCCGGCTGGAAAAAATTCAATCAACGGAAAATCGAACGCGAATCCGAATACGAATAAAGTGGAGGGAGAAACGTTAAAAGATAAATTGCCCAAAGTGAAAAATGAAAAATGGAAAATGAAAAAATCAAGGAAGCAGCAAAATAGGGAACAAGTCAACGATTTGAGCGTGAACGACGAAAGCGAAAGTTTTGGAATATTCGTTGCTCCTTGTTATCGCGTCACGGAACCCGGAAATTTACCCGTTTGTAAAATAACTCAAAATTCCCCGGGAAAATTTAAAAAACCCCCGGCGACAAATTGTGTCAAAAACGGGACCGACGTCGTTAATAATAATAATAATAATAATAATGACATCAAGTCATCGGAAGCCGTGAAAATGAAATCGCCGAAAAAAATAACAACGGATAAAATTACTTCTCCGAAAAAAAAAGAAAAAAAAATGCGGGCGGACGACGAAAGTTTGGAAGCGAACGTTTCGAAAGAAAATAAAAAAACGGGAAAAATTTTAAATTCGGCCATACCCAAACCGAAACGCGATGGATCGTTAAAATCCCATCAAGAAAAATTAATAATTACACAAAAAAAAACAAACGAAAATGATGATGGCGATGGGGATGATGGGGGGTATGAAAAAATGGTTGAAAAATCAAAAGAATCCGACGATGTCGTCGTCCAAGTCGTCGTCGACGTCGAAGTCGAAAAAGATGATGAAAAATTAAAAATTTCGCCACCGGAAGAAGAAGAAGAGGTGAAAATCATAGAGAAAAAAACGGAAGAAGAAGATGAATTTGAACAAGATTCGTTAAACGAGAAAAGGGAAACGATAAAAAAAAAAGCTAAAAAATGGCAAAATATATCCGAGATGTCAGTCGAGGACATAATGAAAATGTCGGAAGATTTTGACGTGTCCAACAGCAACAATGACAGCAACAACAACGACAGCAACAGCAACAACAACAACGACTGCTCACAAAATTTATCGGAATCGACCATTTGGGAAATTGCGGCTGAACAATTTTTAAAATCCGAAGAATCTGCCGTCGAAATTGATTCCCTCAACGAAATGAAAAAAAAAATAAAAATAAAAAAAAAAGATGTCGTTAAAAAAACGAAAGGGAAAAATCAAATCGTCGTTGATAAAAAAGAAGGTAATGTTATCAATAATTAATTAATTAATTAATTTGTACGACAACCACAACAGACAAACAAACAAACGACAACCAAACAAACAAACAAACAACCAAAGTAAATAATTAGATTGATATAGTATAATAAAATATTTTTGTAGGGAGAATCTAATATCATAAAAAAAAAATTTTCCAGATGATTTTATCGTTCTCCACGCGGCGGATCCCGCAAAACTATACGAAAATGATGCCGCAATGAAACTGAGCATATCCGAACCCTGTTTCCCGTATTCGGGTAAAACGGTTCAAAAATCGAAAGAGAAAACGTATTTGGATAAAATAAAATCATTCGATCTTTTCCTATTCAATTCGTTCCCGTGTAAACTACAGAAATTTTACAAGAAGAGAAAAAAATATAAGAAATCGAGGAGGTTGACGAGTCTGCCAAACACTATGCAAATCCGTGAGAAAACATTTCTCGCAAACGATTTACCCAAACCCAAACGGCAAAAATTGATAAGTTCGAAGGTTGACAAATTGGAAGAGTTGATGAATTTCAACGCGGAGAAAATTTTCGAAACCCCACCGGTTGAAGAATTCGAAGAGAAGAAGAAAATTTTCATTGAAAATTTAATGAAAAACGGTGGGAAATTTGAAAAATGGCACGTGGCAAATAATTTTCACGTGAAATTCACGCAAGATTTTCGCGAGAGCGTAGAAGACGATTTGAAAGAGCTGGAAAATTTGTTCAACGGTCGGAAAAAACGTAGGAGAAAATCATTTGCGAGAGAATTTAAAAAGGAAAAATTTAAAAATCTCGTCAAGCAGAAAAATAATAATGACGTCACTTTAAAAAAAAACAATTCGAAAAGTAATAATAATAATAATAATAGTTTCGATTATCGCGAAGAATTTTACGAAGTTTCCGGCAAAACGAATCGGAGTAAAAAATTTGAATATTTCGAAATTAATTTCGAAAATGATTTTTTCGATGAAAAAACGGAAACGACGACGAACCTTACGATTCCGGATTCCGAAGAAAAGGTAGAAGAAAAGGTGGAAATGAAATTACAATCTCCTCGTAATGAGAAAACGGAATCGAAAGTGAAAAAATTCGAATGTTTCGAAATAGTAAACGAACCTGTGAAAAAATCGAAAAAAAATAAAAAACCAATGGTAGAAGAACCTGAAAAGGAACCTGAAAAAGAACCTGAAAAAGAAGAGTACGATGATGCAATTGTCGGGTGCGGTAATCGTGAGGATTTAAATGACGAATCGGTCGAGGAAATGGAAAAAGAATCCGTACCTGTTTTTAACAGGACGTCAACTCCTAAAAAAAGTTTGCACGTGTTAAATAACGTCACGTCTTATAAAAGTTTAGATTTAGAAATTACGGATAATTTACATCGCGATGAATCGCGCCTAAAAAAAGCGACGACGACCGGGGAAAACGTGGAAGTAGACGTTTGGACAAACGATGACGACCCAAACGATTCGTCGAATTTGAATCCGTGCGAAAGCGAAGATTTAATAACGGTCGATTCATTGCAAGTTTTCAATCAAAACAGTTCTCTCGAAAACATAGAAGAGGTTGACGAAGAAGACGACGACAGAGCAGACGACAATGACGACGACGACGACGACATTCGAAAAAGTTTCGAAGTGGGCGACATAGAAATAGTCGATTTTATCGTATCGAAACCCAACACGGCAAAATTATTATCCGCAAACGAAAATTGTTTGGATCAATTGTTTCCGAAACCGCGAAAACTCATCGAAACGATAAAATTAGAAGAATCCGCGACGGTCGTTCACCTCGGGTACACGGCAAATTCTATATACGATCTCAAAGCGGACGTGAATAAAAATATAAAAGAAATTCATCAAATGTCGGGGAGTCGGGGACAAAAAACGAAAAGAGTCCTGGACAAACGTATGACAAAAAAAGAAACGATATTGCCGCAGATAAAAGTCAAAAAAGAAGACAAGAAATTAAATTCGATGATATCGTTGTTGGATTTGTGGAAAAGCAAAAAAAGGGAAAATGTTAATAATAATAATAATAATAGTAGTAATAATAATAATAATAATAATACGGATGTGGAAACGTATCGCAAAATAAAAACGACTTTGCCCGCGGGAAAATTGGCGCCACTACTGAACAAGAATTCATTTCAAATGTAATTCCGTTTCTTTTAAATATGGTAAACAGATTTCATTACGTAAAAGCGGAAGACATGTTATTTTATATCTCGATTCTAATCACCTAATCAACTCCTAATCACCTGATATCAACCTCACCTAATCATATCTGCTTATTAATTTTTTTTTTTTTTTTTTTTTTTTTCAATCATCATTCACGCAACAGCATTAATGAATTTTCTTTTAATTAATTTTAATTAGCCATAAGTTTTTTGTTTTTTTTTTTTAAATTTTACAGGCTCGAATTTCTTTTCTCATAAACGGATTGTAAAGAGCTTTGCAAGAAAATTTTTTTTTTTTTGTGTTTATGTGTAATTGGAATAATGATGAGAGAAAAACCAAAAAAAAAACGAAAAATTTTTACAGGAAATCTGCCGGTGACGTATACGATCCATTCAAACAAGCCGAAAGGCAAATGATGGCGTTATTATCGTGGCCTTCAATGACAGACATCAAATCACCTAATAATAATAATAATAATACCAACTCATCTCCCAAAACCAAAAAACAAAATTCCAATTTAGAAACATCTCCCACGTCCGCATTTAGTAAATATAAAAATGAAAAAACGACGTCACCGACGACGACGACGACGACGACGACAAAAACATTTGCCGCGTCAAAGGTAAAAAAAACACCCAAAACGAATAATAAAAGTTTGTTGGACAAAGAAAACGAGAATAAATCGAAAAAGAATAGTAATAATAATAATAATAATAACAGGTTGGAAAAACCCGTGTACGAATCCGCGGACGATTGGGAAAAAATATTTGAAAAACATTTCGATTTCAATCAAAACGAAATGAACGAACAAATGACGAAATCGATAAACACGGCTTTGGACGAATTGTTAAAAAATTCAAATTCAAACAAAACCGGGATAACGAGAAGGAAATCGGGTTCGTTTGAAAAATCCCCGGGGAAAAATAATCAAAACGATTTTTTAAACGATTCGATAATAACGGAAATCTTGTACACGAGCACTCCGAAACAAAATATAAAAAATCCCCGCGGTGGCGACGTTTACGACGACGACGACGACGATGACGGCGACACCGTCGATTTAAACGAAACTTTAAATTTTTTAAAAAAAATGGCGGATAAAACGTACGACAGAATGCCTACGTCGCCTCGCGATTTCCTCGTCGTCGACGCATTTGACAAAAATAAAAAAAAAAATCGAAATTCCGGTTTGAGTTTGAGCAATTTGAGTTTCGGGTCTCAAATATCGGACACGACACTCGCGGACGAAGAAGTCATGAGAAGCAATTTAGAAATCGTCGGTAAGGCGGCCGCGGCCGCCATATTGAAAACGCCGCGTAGAAAATACGCAAGATCTCAATCTGTTTTCGAGGAAAGAAATAAAATGTTATTCGCAAAGACTTACGATCCGAATTTATCGTCGTCGGATGACGATGACGACGACAACTACGACAGGGACGGGGATTCGTTGCCGAAAATAATAAATAATAATAATAATAATAATAAAAACAATATTAAAGAAAAGAAATATCCTACTATCCGTAACAGTAATAGTAATAATAATAATCCTAAATCCTTACCTTATAATCATCCTAAATCCGTACCTTGTTCCCATCTTTACAGGTCCCAGTCTGTTTTTGAAAGCAAAAACAAAGGCGATGGAGATCACACGGATGATGGTGGAGATCACGTTTCCTCACCTGAAAATAATAACAATAACAACATGAACAACAACAGGAATCGAAAAGGCGGGAAATTACTAAGCGGCGATTCGGCTTACAGCAGGTGAATTTTTAATACGAATCGGGATTTTTAAGTACCTGAAAAAAAAAAAAAAAAAAAAAAAAAAAATGAACGGATCCTTAAATTTTTTTTAGCTTAAACAGGAAATCACCGCAAAAGCATCATAATCATCATCATCATCATCATCACAATCAGGAGGATCGACTCAGTTCGACGAGCGGATCCGATCAATCGATACATTCTTACGGGAACAACAACAACAACAACAGCAGCAGCAACAATCAAAATGATGAGAAAACGTTGAAATCCTGTCACGACGAGGAAAATGTCGTTGGGAAAAAAAAAGAAAATCCGGTGTTTAAAATGTCGAAATTTTGTCACGAATGCGGTTCGAAATATCCGGTTCCTGTGGCCAAATTCTGTTGCGAATGCGGCGTGAAAAGGCTCATCATATGAATTCCTGGAAAATTTTCCTTTTTTTTTTCTTTTTTTTAATTTTTTTTTTTTAAATTTTTCTTTTTTTTTTTTTTCTAACTCATTAACTTTAAATTTAATTTTTTTTTCTTTTTTTTGGGGGGAGGGAAGGGGAGGGGGTTTCAGAGGTCAGTCACAACTAACATGATTAGCACACGCGCCCACACATACGCTCTCTCATTACATCTCTCTAACTTTTTTAAATATTAACAAATTCAAAAAAAAAAAAATAAATACGGGAGACGGTACTGAAGGAGGGATTGTAAATCGGGGGTGGGGGTGGGGGGAATAATTGTTACCTTTTTAACGCGAATAATAATGATAATGATAATGATAATAACGACAAGGTCTTCTGAACGATGTCAAAATTGTTTTGGCAAAATTTTTTTTTTTTTTTTTTGGGGGGGGGGTTTTTTTGTAAAAATTATAAAAAAAATTCAAGTCATTAATAATAATAATAATAATAATGATTGCGTTTGAAAATTACCTTATTCCATTATTATTATTATTATTATTATTATTATTATTATTATTATTATTATTATTATTATTATTATTATTATTTATATTATTATTACCCGCGTTATAAAAGGTCGTAGTTTTAATTTTTTTTTTTTTTTAAATTTTTTTTCTCTCTCTTTCTCTCTCTCTCTCACTCTCTCTCGCTTAACCCAAAAGTATTAAATTAATTGATTAACAATTTTAAACTAATTTATTATTATTATTATTATTATTATTATTATTATTATTATTATTATTATTATTATTATTATTATTATTATTATTGTAATTATTTTATTTTATTTTATTTTTTTTATTTTATTTGTTGAAATAATTTATTGTTTTGATTTTTTTAAATATTATTATTATTATTAATAATTTTTTATAAAGTAACTGCTTGAGAAAAATAACAACAAATAATAATAATAATTAACATAAAAATTATTTTTGTTTAAATAAATTTTTTTCGCGAAGTAAATAAATAAATAAATAAAAATTATTATTATTATTATTAATAAATATGAGACGGAAAACTATTACTTATTAGTTTTTAAATTGATTTCAAAATTATTAAAATTATAATTATTATTATTATTATTATTATTAATATTGTTATTTTTGAATGATTTGTCTTTGTTAGGGGAGGGGGCGGGGGGGGGCAAAATATATATATATAAATATATACATATTGAGTGTAACGATAATAATTAGTAATTAATTAATTAATTATTAATTAATTAATTACTCGGGTTAATTAATGCCGTCCATAAGCATACATATATGTATTTATTTATTTATATATATATATATATATTTAAATAATAATAATAATAATAATAATAACTAATTATTGTAAAAAAAAAAATTTTTTTGCTTTGTTTTGTTTTGTTTGGTTTTTTGGGACTAAACCTTTTTTTAAAAGCTTTTAAAACCTGTTAAATTTGATCGCTTCAAATAAATAAATAAATAAATACATAAATAAATAAATAAATAAATAAATACATAAATAAATAAATACATAAATAAATAAATAAATAAATAAACAAATAAATACATAAATAAACGACTATGATGATTATGATGATTATGGTTATGATGATATTAAATAAAATTAATGTAAAAAGGTTTATGGAACAAAATTATTATTATTTTTTGTAACTACTAATACTAACGATAATAATAATGATAATAATTAATAAATAAATAAATAAAAAGTGTCCTTACATTTTTTTTTGATAATATTTTTTACATTCCAAAATGGTTGTAAATCCAAAAAAATGAAAAAGACTGGTTTTAGTTTAAAAAAATTTTTTTTTTTTTTAATTTGACATAAAAGCGATCATTTATTTATTTATTTCTATTATTATTATTATTATTATTATTATTATTATTATTATTATTATTATTATTATTATTATTATTGATTTTTGTTATTTAAACAAATTTTGTTTGATTATTATTATTATTATTAATTTTGATTTTTTTTGATTGATTGTCCTAGTCAAGGTTGTCTTTTTGTGTTTTTTGTGTTTTTTTTTTTTTTTTAAATTAATGAATGGCAGTTACCATTTTTATTATTATTATTATTATTATTATTATTATTTATTGTTTTTTTTAAATTTAATTAATTTGATGAGTTTTAATTTAATTAAAAACCTTTTTTTTAAGAAAAAAAATATGTATTAAAACCAAGCATAAACTATCGCATGTGATATTGTAATTTAAAAAAATTTTTTTTTGTTCGAATAACTATTAAGTAATTTAATTTAATATTTAATAAAAAATTTAATGGGTTATTAATAATTTTTAATTTAAACAATTAAGTATTAATTAAATAAATAAATTTTTTTTTTTTCTGATTTATCGACTGAAAAATGAAAAATGTTTAAAAAAAGAAGTTTATTCTAACATAGTAAAATATTTTTATATGTATTTGTAAAAGTAGTCATTATGATTATTGAATGATTTGATTGATTGATTGATTGACTATGTATAACGTACGTAATATAACAAATTTAACATATATATAAAATTAATTAACAAAAATTAAGAGTTAAATATTTTATTTACTTACCTTTCCCCTTTCACATTTGATTGTGTGCATTTATCCAACTCATCACTCGTTTAACACTTAAAATATCATTTTAAATAACTTTTTCGTTTGTTTCACGTCATTCCCGCACTTTAAATTCATTTTAAAACATTAAAAATAAACAAATTTCGATTAATTATTTATTTAAAATATGTCCGAATCCGAATCTGAAAGAGTAAAACGCGGGTTGTGAAGTTTTTCGTTCTATGGAATAAATTCAAAAAAGAAATTTTCAACGGTTTTTTCATGACGAAACTAAGACGATTTGTGCAATTTTAACAAATTAGTGACGTTGCCTTGTGTCGTTTCTCAGCTGGCATCTGTCAACAAAAAAAAGAAAATGAAAACATTAAGCAATGACGATGTAATGATACATTGTGTGATTTAGGTCCTTTTTAAATTTATTTATTTTGAACCTGGAGGTCAATATTTACAAAATTAAATTTAACCCAAATCAACCTCTGGGCCTTTTTTTTTTTTCTCTCCATTTTATCGATTGTGTGTCGTTGGTTGAAATTAAAAATTATGTTATTATGGAATATAAAACGATTAAATCTTTTTATAATTGTTAAAACGGATTCTTCTCATGTTTAATATCTTATTCAAAATTATATTATAAGACTACGAAGAATTTATTATTTGCAATTATTGGTTTTCAAACCCCTTTCGTATTGGAAAAGTCCGATATTTAATATTACAAAAAAAAAAAAAAAAAAAAAAATGGGTGAAAAACAAATTGAATGTGGAGATTTTATTTTTCTTTGCAATTTCGATTCAGCTAATTTATCTAAAGTCGAACAGGTTTCCATTAAACCTGTAGGTAAGTTGTTTTGATAGTTATTTTTTTTTTTAAATTATTTATTATTAATGCTTTAAAATTGTGATTTTGATAAAATATTATTATTGACCTATATTCAGTTATATATATATAATAGAATACTTATTTGTTCACTTCATAATGTTTATTTATTTATTTATTTTTTTTAGTTTTTTTCATAATTAGATGGTTTAAAGTCAAAAAAAAAAAAAAAATTTACTTTATTATGAGAGTATATAAATGTCATTTTAATTATTTTACTTAATACAGTTGAAAACATTTCTATATTTATTATTAGGTTAACCTTTATAAATAAATTTATACACGAATAAAAAATTTTATAGCTCAAACCGAACCGACTAAAAAGGAAAAAAAAAAATCTGGTAATGCCAATCAGTTACCTAAAAAAAAACAAGTCGTGGAAAATCCAGATTATGAATTCAATATATGGACCAATCCAGATTGTGTAGGAACTGAATTTGAAAATTGCAATAGGACATGGTTTCATTTTGGAATTACTGGTGGAACTGCATTTAGTTTAGTCAAATTAAATATAATAGATCTCAATAAACAGTCGAAAATGTATAGTCAAGGAATGGCCCCCGTATGTAAAATTGTACCTGGAAAGTGTCAGTGGGAAAGAATTCGTGATAAACCTGTTTTTACCTCAGAAAATAATGTTTTTACAATAAGTTTTAAGTTTAGGACTACTGAAAACACTAAAGCAGTTACTTATTTTGCTTTTACATACCCCTTTTCTTATAATGAGCTTCAAACATATTTATCGAGTATTGATTTAAAAATGAGTAAACAAGAAAATCACATACCTAAATCTGAAATAAGATTTAATAAAGGATTGTGAGTGTTTTTCCATATAAAACAAAAAAAATTTTACAACAAGTTTACAAATTATTGTTACATAAATTGCTTCTTTTTTTTTTTTTAGAAGAATTATTAATGATATAAATGATGCTGTTTATTATCATAGAGAAACATTGTGTTACTCTTTAGAAAAAAGAATAGTGGACCTTATAACTATATCATCACATCACAATATAACAGCTGAGAGAGAGACTAGACTTCAAAAGTTATTTCCTGATGAAAATACTCCAAGGGCTTTCAAATTTTTAGATAAAAAGGTAATGTCTCTTTTTTTCTCTACATTCAAATATGTATGATAAAGTCGAAAAAGTTATAACTACAATCGGTTAATTTGATTTCGATGTAATTGAAATATTTTTAAGGTTATATTCATCAGTGCGAGAGTACATCCGGGGGAAACTCCATCATCTTTTGTTATGAATGGCATCATTAATCTCCTTGTCAATAAGGATGATCCTATAGCCATACTTCTTCGCAGGCAATTTGTATTTAAATTAATTCCCATGTTAAATCCTGATGGTGTAGCTAGAGGCCATTATAGAACAGATACAAGGGGATGTAATTTAAATCGGTATTACCTGAATCCATCATGGGAATATCATCCGTCAATTTTTGGGGCTCGTTCTGTCATTCAATATCATCATTACGGTGAAGAAATAATTGATAATTTCAAACTGGAAAAATTTGATGCATCTAGTCAAGTTGACCCGAATGAAATAATAAGCGAATCTGATCCATCATCTCCAGATATTGAATCTCCAAGGGTTGTAGAATTAGAAAGTATATATAAAGTTGAGATGCCAGGGAACGACTCGGAAAAATCCGAGTGTAATTATTCAACATGTCAAGATAATAATAATAGTACGTTTACGACTCAAAATATATCAAAGTCTTCCACGGATGCTTCCATAAAAAATATACCGATTAAACGTTCAAACGAATCAATGATCGAAAAGGAATTGGTTGTGACGACTCGAAGCTCTGACGTTGACGTGGCATCAGCATCGAAAGATGAGAGTAAAAAATTTAAAATTCATAGCGAATCAGTTGATAAATGTCGATCGTCGAAAAGTTCGTTGGAAAAGAAAAATAATCGGGAGTCTGGTTTATTTTTGTATTTAGACATGCACGGACATGCATCTAAAAAGGGGGTATTTATTTACGGGAACCATTTTGATAAAATTGAAGATAGTGTCGAATGTATGTTATTTCCAAAATTAATGTCTGTCAATTCTCAAAATTTTCATTTTTCTGCTTGTAATTTTACCGAAAAAAATATGTATCTCAGGTAAGATACTTGCCTTGAAACCTTTTGTCCTTTTGTTTGTTTATTTTAAATGATTTAATTATTATTGTTTAGGGACAAACGAGATGGAACGAGTAGGGAAGGATCGGGAAGAGTGGCCGTGTTAAGGTTGACAGGTTTAATTAGAAGCTACACGTTAGAATGTAATTATAATACAGGAAGGTTTGTCAATAAACTCCCGCAATGTTCCAGAGATCTTCCTGGGAAAAACAATTCTAATTTAATAGTTCCTCCAAAATATTCACCTGGAGTTTACGAAGAGGTAAAAACAAAGTCAAGCAAAAAACAAAGCAAAAAATAAAATATTTAACGTTACAACAATTATTTTGTTTTTTTTTTTTCTTTAAATTTCAGATCGGCCGATCACTTTGCATTTCTTTTTTAGATTTAACAAATTCAAATCCTTGGAGTAGAATACCAAATTCTGAATTTCACACATTGTTCGGAATCAGAGATTGGTTGAGATTGAAAATATTGTCAGAGAGTTTTCTCTATCACAAACCAATACCAAGATCTCTCATGCGATGTAAAACCAAATCGTCTCAAACTCAGGTAGAAGACTTTATTGATAACGATATAAAAAATCAAATAAATGAAAATAAAAACGAGTCCCCAAAAGAATCAATCGAAAACGATTATTGTAATAACGTTAATAATAACAACGAGAAGTTAATGACAAAAAAAAAAACGTCGGAAACGTTGAATGAAGAAGATAAAATGGCGGATGAGGAAAATGTCGAGTCGACGGAAACGGAAGCTTCGGAAGTTGAATCGTCCTCTCCCTCTGTCCTTTCCTCGTTAAGTACTACTCATTCAAGTAGACTTGTTTCCAATCGGCAAAGAGCCGCTAAATTATTAAATAACAAAAAAGATAGTCTATTAGAATATTTCGATAGCACGTCCGTTCCAAGAGAGTCTAAAGACGACGTTAATAAGGATGTTTTAATAATTGATGAAACAAACAATAAGAATAGCGAAACAAGACACGTATTAACATATTTGGAAAATACACTTGAGGAAAAATGTATAATGATGTGAAATCGATTCTTTTTTTTTTTTGTTTATAATCAAAAGGGGGGAGAGAGTGGGGAGGGAAATGGAGAGGGGGCTTTTAACAAAACCACAAAAGATTTTTTTTTTTTTTTAATATTGTATACTGTAATAAAGTTCAGACTGTAAGAAATGACTATACATTATCCACAACAATTGTCTTGATGATGTGTAATTCATCAAGAGTGGATACCAAAAGATTATTAATAATAATATATTAATAATAAAATATTCAAAATAAAATAATTTTAATTAATAATGGGTTTGGTACACGATAATCATGATAGATTTCATGTAGTTTTATACATTGATGTATATATACATATATATATATATATTTTTCTTTTTAAATAAAAACGTTTCGATCCACCAATGATTTTAAATAGTTTTCTCATAATAATAATAATAATAATAGATAGATAGATAGATTTTTTATTTGTTAAAGATAATTAGTAGATTGTAAATTGAATATTTTAATTTATCTTTTGTTTGTTTCTATATAATTATTAACATCCAGTAAATTTAATAAGTCGTTTATAAATTGTTTTTTTTTTTTTTCAAATTTTTAAATTTTTTAAATTTTAAATCAATGTAAATTATTATTATTATTATTTTATATAAATTAAAATAAGGTACTATGTGAATGTTATCAGGTGATGACGGGAGTCTTGAGATCTGATATACGTCACGGGAAAATGTTACCAAACGTATTGATAGCTCCACTTCACTCGAAACAATCAGTGGTCGCCGTTGAAAATGATTTAGAAGATGTGGAAAGAAAGGAAAATTTATCATTCAGGAGTGGTTCGTGTAATGCCATATTAATAAATAGAAAGGAACCACCATCGGGTCCATCGCATTCAAAAAGAGCCATGAGAGTGTCATCGGCACTTCAAGTGAGAGGTGGAAATACATCCAGGCAGAAAAAATCATGCATGAAAAAAGGGATTTACTGGACGGGTGATAAAATTCCAAAGTATAAACAATTCAATCAAAAATCCGATGGCGCGAACGCGGAGGAAACGGTCAACGAATCCGAGACGAGAGTTGTAAATCATTGCGAAAACGAAAGGAGAACGAAATTGTCATCGGTTTCGGATCAGTGTTTGTTCAGACAAAGTCCCAAACGTTTAAAAGTTAGCAAAGGGGGGGAAGATGGTTGTAAAATGAAATTGTCGGATTGGCCGAAAGAACAACCCGCAGTGCCGGGTCCAAGTTGTTCCGACATTGTTACTTATACGAAATTGAATCGACCCGCGAGTAATACGGATGGTAAAAAACGAATCAATAACAAAAACAAACAACAACAACAGCAACAACAATCGCAACAACAACAACAATTGTCGCCCGTAAAGTTTAAAAAATCGTTGGAAAAAAGGAGAGGGAGCGACGCGAGTCGGAAAAAAAGCAAAACACTTTTTAAAAAATCTGGGAAAATAATATTAACCAACGATGGTAATAAAAATTCTGTCGAAAGGAAAAGAAGGAAAAACTAGCGAAAGTTTTTTTTAAATTTTAATAATTATTATTATTATTATTACCGCATTCTAAAAATCGACATTTGTCGTTATTTAAAACGAGCTTTTAGAATTATATATATATATATAAAAACTTATCAAAACGTTAAAAAATCCGATTGGCCTTAATTATCATCATCATCATCATAATTATTTTATCCCGGTAATATTAATTTGTCGCGAAAATAAAAAAACTCGTTGGTATTATCGTTTACCGGTTGAGTGTGCGTTCATTCACGACCAGAAAAAAAAAATTTTTTATTTTTGTCGCCAAAAATCAAATTTTTTAAAATATGTACGTTACGTACGTAAGCTCAAGAATTAATTTAAATTTTTACTTTTTTTGGTGTTAATTTAAACGAATTTTTTTTTTTATGAACAAATCAATTCACAATCGATCCAATTATAATTAACCGAAATGAAATCAGGTAATTTTATTATTATTATTATTTTCAAACGAAAAACGAATTCGTTATATTATTAATAATGGGCGAAATGGGGGTTGGGGAAGGGGTGGGAAACAAATTTTCGATGGAGAAATAATTATAACAAGAATTTTAAATTTAAAATAATGTCACACTCGTAAATTAATATGTCAAAAAAAAAAAGGTAGAAAAATTTTGTTTTGTAATAAAATAAAAGAAAATAAATTAGGGCTTGTGCGATTGATTGATTGATTGTTTGTTTGATTGATTGATTAGCAAAATAAAAAAAAATTTTTTAAAGTTACCCTGATAAAAATTAAAAAAAAACTTTTATTAAAATTTTAACTAACTTAATGTTTTTAATTAAGTAATCGTTTTTAAAATAAAAATTATTTTCATGTTGGCTTAAATACTGTGAGAATAAATAATAATAATAATAATAATAATAATGAAATGAAAATTTTTTAATTACTGTGATGTGATATTGTGTTTAAAAAAAATTATTATTAATAATAATAATAATTAACATATTAAATAATAATTTAATAAATTTTTCTATTTGAATGTTTTTTGTTTTGTTTTAAAATACTTAATTACAATCGAGTTATTATTTTATTTTATTATTATTATTATTATTAATAATAGTAAGTCATTGAAAAAATGTTGACTAAATTTTTTTTTTTCGTTTGTTTATTGTTTAACCACATTTATTATAATAATAATTAAATAAATTATATTTTTATTATTGTTAAAAATTTGATTGTTTCCATTTAAATTACTTAAATTAGCGTTTGTTATTTTTAAATAATGTCATAATTTTATTTTGAAACTTTTTTTTTTTTTTTTATTTCGATGATGATAATAATAATAATGAAAAATAACTTCACTATGCATTCAATAGAATTCAAGTTAAATAACCCAATATGGTAGCATACTTTTAAATCTATTTATTAATTGAGCATATAATGGTAATTTATTATTATACCAAACTCCGACTCCTTTCAATTCTGCTTTTCTTTCTGCAGACAATAAATTTTTATAATATTTAACATAATATTGATCTTTTTCTAAATTCGTATCGATGGGTGAAACTGTGGCAAAACCGATTTTTACCAATTGTTGTCCGACATTTTGTTTCTGTTTAAAAAATTGAAAAAATATTTTTAATTTATTTAATTATTCGGGGGGGGGGGAAATTTGTTTAAATGATATTATTTAACATACGCACATCTCTATGTACAATGCTATACACTTTGTCCGAACTTGTTCTCAATGGTACAAATGTTATTTCTTCGTTTGTCAATAAACTTTGCAACCAAAGAAAACCATTGCTTGTTATATTTATGCTTGAAACCTTTTAATAAAAAATAATTTATGTATTTTCATGAATATTTTAACATTAAAAATTTTAAATGGGTGATGAATACCTCCAAAGGTAATCCACTTTGATTGTACTTTTTCGGCAACACAACTAAAGGTTTATGATCGACTAATAATAATGGGTTCGAACCTGTTGTTAGACTAGGCTCGACTCTAATTACTTTACCAACGAATGGCATTTTTTTAACAATGAAATGTTTTGGTATGTCAGATGGTAAAGTAAATTTTGCAAACTAAAACAAAAATATTGCTTATGAGTCAAAAAAAAAAGAAAAAAAAAAAAAAATAGTTTATAATTTAACCCAAGTTAAATTAACTTACTGGACGAACACTACGAAGTGCTATCAATAATCCGAGTCCAGCAACAGAATATATTCCATACTAAAAATTATTATCAATATTTAATTTTTTATTTAAAAAAAAATTTTAATCCAAAATAAGGAAATTTACTACCTGAACACCTCGAATATTTTGATTCATGAAATCGGAAAATTTCCTAAACAAATTTTTTTTTTCATCCATTTTCTTATAAATGCAAAATATAATTAATAATTATTGATAATGATAATTATTTTTCACATACTTTTCACGGTACGGTTTAAAAAAAATCTTAACAAAAAAAATAATTCGTTGTTGCGAAGTTTATAAACGTGTTGAAAGCCTCCTGGATTTTCCAATTGCAATTATTTAAATTATTTAAAAAACTTATTAAATAACGATATGAGTTTTATATTTTATTTAAATTATAAGAATTCACGACCGAGTTTAAATATATTTAAAAATCAAACAATTTTTATTCGTTTTTTTTTTTTAAATTTAATTTTAGAAAAAAAATTAGGTCAAAATTAAATAAATGAATAAAGGAGGCTTCGTCGTTCAAAACATCGAACTAAGTTCGGCCATTTTATTGACTTCGTATTTATTGTAAATTTTATGATTTTAATTATTTAAAATGATTAAAATATTTTATCTGCATGTAAAAATTTTATCCTTTTATAATTAATTTAATATTTTAAACGATGTTTTTTAATAAAAAAAAACCTTTCGTATTTTATAACGAATAAAAATCGGTAAATATATATATAAATAATTTTCACAAAAAAAAAAAAAAAAAAAATTTTGTGTACCTAAAATTTTTCTAACTAAAAATAATAATTTTGATATTTTTTAGTTGATGTTAAAATTACGATGGTTTTATAAAATAATACCATCCAAGACGTTAAAATGGAGAATACTAACACTATTTGTCCAATTTGTACCCTTTATTTGAGGGAAGGAATTAGTTTGCAAGCTCATCTTGACACTCATCCAAAAGAAAAAGTTATTGAAGCTTTGCTTAAAATATCAAATGGAGGAAATGTTACAACGTCTAACTCTGCCACTACTCTGCCTTATGATGGCTCAAATGCTTCACTTCAAACATTTACAAATTCACATTCATCCTTCTTATCAAATCCTTATGTTAATCCTCCACAGAGTCAAATGACAACTGCAGTGACTTATCAACATTTTATAAGTAGCAATGGATCAACTATTTTACCACAGTATATTCAAGTTCCGTCAGTTATTAATTCCAACAACAATTTACCAGTTATGCCTAATCAGGCGATGAATTTTATTCCTAATCAAACCGTTAATTATTCTCAAAATATATATAATCCAATGTATAATCCTTACATACCTCACCCTTATCCTTTCCAACCATTTTATTCAAACAACCTACCAACATCTGCTTTGCCTCCAGATGATTCATTCATTCAAACAAATAATGTAAATGAAAATTCGTCTGCGCTAAAACAAAGCGGTCAGGTAATGCCTATTACTCAGTCGAGCACTGCCAAGAAAAAAACAACTTCAGTTGGTGCAACCAAGTCAATAAGAAGAAGGAAAATCTTGAAAAAATCAGTTTTGAGATTTTCCGGTCAGCATAGAAAAAGAAGAATTTTCAGAGCCAAAACAAATGATTCTTCAAGCTCTCTTTCAGTTATCAAATCTCCATTAAAAGGAAAATCAGGGGTTTCGAATAAATCTTCGTCTGCTACATCGAAAAGATCAGTGATTAACCTACCCATACCAAAGATTACATTAGGGAATTCCAGTAAAAATTCAAATATAAAAATAATGCCCAAACCTCCCATAACTTTCATTCCAGAAGATACTATAAATACCCAAACAGATTGTAAAACATCGCCTTTGCATCCTCCTTCTTTTTCAAATATTCCTTCCTCGAATAATTTTATAAAAAAAGAAAATGTCCAGTGTGATTTTAGGTCTCGGTCAATGTCATCTGAAATTATTAACGATACCTGCGACAATAATGAAGAATTCGATGAGGGAGTTCATTTAAACTCTGTGATTGTTGAATCAAGTTCATTGCAAAATACCAATACTGAATTAAAAGACTGTCAAGACCTTGTGAAAAATGTCGAGAGTGAGGCATCTTGCATTCAGCAAATTATGAAAAGTGTAATTATTAATTTGGAAAGTGAAAATGATTTACCAGTTGAAAATACTAAAGACCCCCTGAGCTTTGAAGATGCAGAAGAAGAAGTCGATGATTCTGCCAACGATAAACTTGTCGACAATTATAATGATTTCGAATCGCAAGAAGTCATGGAGGAAGTGAATGATGATAAAAGGGTGGAAAAAGAAGAAGAAGAAAATATATTTCAAATAATTGAAATCGGTGAGGAAAGTAAAATTAAAATATCTGATGCAAATTTAAACGATTGTTTTTCTGATGGGATTTTCGACAAGAATTTCGAATGCAATCATCAGAGTAGTTCTGAGTTTACGACAAATCAAAAAATAAATATCGTTTCGAATAAGAGTGTGAGTGAAAATAATAGAGATCAATCATCTTATTCTGAATTTGTTTTAAGTTGCTCATCGAATTTACAAAATAAACATTGTGAAAATGTGACTGAAAATCGAGGAACCATTGAAAATAATTTTTACTCGAACAACTATTGTGAAAGTGTGAGCATGAGTAACACTTCGAATATAATTGAAAAACCTTCTGTCAAGTCGAATGCTTTTCATTCAGTTTCGTTTGGTGATGCATTGCCGGTTACTTACAATGATTTACAACCCGTTAACACGAGTAAAGTTTTTCAAAATATCGGTCTCAACGGTCCAAATGTTAATCTCGGCAGTTACATGGAAGTTGATGGAATTAAAATTTTTCTAAATAATAATAACAATAATAATAATAATAATAATAGTAGTAGTAATAATAATAATAATAATAATTCATCGGGAGCGTCGTTCGATCCACTGATGAAAATAAGTAAAATAGAAAATGCCAACGGTAACAATTTGAGTGAACTGTTGAAAACGGAAAATTCGAACGTTTTAGAATCGGTTATTCATTTAGTCTCGGGTAATAATGAAACGAAAAATGTCATAGATATGAACGAGAAATACGTTGCTTCCACGAGTCAAGCCAACGAAAATCATTTGGATATTTCGAACATGTCGCCCATAGGTTTGAACATTCAAGCGGATGAATCCATGCCCGCGCGGGGAGAATTATCCGAGCAAGAAAGTTTGGGCGCGGAGAATTCGACGTGGAACTTGTTTCACAACGCGTACGCTAACGACACGAAAATATTACAGATGTGGAGAAATGCGGACAATCCGCAAGTCATATCCGTGATAGAATGCAAGAAAAATAATAATAAAAAATTCAAATGTTCCGTTTGCGGCGAGATTTTCTCTTGCGCCAAAGAGCGGAGAGTGCATAAAAACGCGGTTCACACGAACAAGGAGCAGACGACGCCGAAAAAAGTTAAAAATTACGCTTGTAATTATTGCGAACAAGTATTTCTTTCGATTCGCGATCGGAAAACTCACGTCGTCGAAAATCATTTTACCGAATTGAAACAAAAGAAAAACACTAGCCAAAGCATAAAGCAAGAAAAACCGGAACCGGAAACGAACGATGGACCGTTGGAAAAACTCGATGCATCCGTTAAAAACGAAATCGTTGGGGAAGGGGGAGAGAACGGCGTGAAACTTGAAAATCCGTTACCCGCTCCCGAATCCGAATCTCCACGAGTCAAATATTGTTCTCAGTGTCGTTTACCGTGTCAAGGTATAAAAAAACTTCGGGAGCACCAGAGGTTGGAACACGGTAAGGTACACTTCAAATGCGAAACGTGTTCGCAGTGCTTCGACGAAGAGACGGATTACAATGACCACCTATTGATTCACCCTCTCGTGTGCGATAAATGCGGGAAAACGTTTCACAAGAAAGCCAATTTGAATTTGCACATGAAGAGACACTTGGAAACGAGGCCGTACGAGTGTCCATTTTGTCCCAAATCATTCATAACCCGTCAAAAACTCGAAGAGCATAAAAACGGTCACTCGGGCAAGAAACCGTTGAAATGCGGGCTCTGTGATAAAACGTTTAGCAGGCATTCGAATTTGATACAGCATAAAAATTTGCATCATTTAAACGTTAAAAAAAAAATCAAAGACTTCGTGTGCAGGTGCGGTGAAGTTTTTCACAGTCTGAGAAAACTCGAGTGGCACAAGGAAGTACACGAACCCAATCCGAAACCGTGTCCGTTTTGCTCGCGGAAATTCATACACAGCGCGAGCGTGACGAGACACATAAGGCGAGCACACATGCCGGATTATTTGCCGGGAGACAACAGAGAATACGACAACGTCAACTGTCCCGTTTGCGACAAGGTCTACCTCAGGTCATCGTTGGCCGTTCACCTGAGAGTTCACAACGGCGAAAAACCCTTCCCGTGTAAAATATGCAACAAGAAATTTTCGACCAAGTGGAACCTCGAACTTCACAATTGGACTCATCAATCTCGGAACGACATGCCGTTCAAGTGCGACACGTGCAAAAGCGCGTTCTTTCGCGAATCCGATTTCGTGTCTCATTTGAACTCGCACAAGAATCACAAACCGTACACGTGCAACGTGTGCGGTCAGAAATTCATAAGGAAGTACAGTTGTCTGAGACACCAGGAAGAGCACAAGAAGAGCAAGCAGTTTGTTTGCGCCGTGAGCGGGTGCGCAAAGAGTTTTCACAGGGGTTACTATTTGAGAGACCACATGAAAATCCATTCGGGCGTTCGACCGCACACGTGTCACATATGCGGAAAAGCGTCGAGCACGAAATCGAATCACAACAAACACGTTCGAATACACGACACGAGAGAACCCATAAACACGGAAAATTAGGTTTTCAGGTTTTTTTTGTTTTTTTTTTTTTTTTTTTTTTACAGGTATTATCATTCCGCGTCCGTCGTAACAAAACAAAACATTTTTCTTTGAATTATTATTATCATTATTATCATTAGGAGTAGTGGTAGTAGTTTTAACATTATTATTATTTTGGAACCTTATCATTATTATTATTATTTTTAATTTTTTTTTTTTTTTTTTTTTTTTTTGAATTTTATCAGAATCGACTGACTGGCAGCTTTAAAATGTGAACGCGTGTGCATGCGTGCGTGTGTGAGAGAGAGAAAGAGAGAGAAAAGAAAAGGAAAATTTTCCAAATTGTAAATAAGTAGAAATGGAAAAAAAGGAAAAAAAGGAAAATGGATTTTTAATGGGGTTTAGAATTTTAAGAAATTTCTAGAAAGAAAAAGAAAGAAAGAGACGGAAAATGAAAATGAAGAAGAGAGTTAAGAATTTCCTTCTCTCTCTCTCTCTCTCTCTCACTTCAATTTTTATTGTATTTCGTCATCGATGTGTATATATATATATATATAAATTTTCTCGATTGTTTGTTTGTTCGTTCGTTCGTTCGTTTGTTTGTTTGTTTGTTTCCCAAGCAAAAAGAGAAAAAAAAAAAAAAATTGTACAAAAGTAAACTAGAAAGGGAAAAAAAAACAATTTTTGTAATTATCCTCTCGTTCCCCCCACTTTTTCCCCTCCCCTCCGCCTCCCCCGCTCTCCCTCCTCCTCCCCCTATTGTACAAAACGAATAATAAATGAAATATATATGTAATCATTTAATAATAAAATGTAAATCGTATATTTTCCGCCATTTTTTTTTTTTTTTTTTTTTTAAATTAAAATTTCGAATTATTATTATTATTATTATAACGATGTAATTTTATTATTATTATTATTATTAATAAAAAAAAAAAATACGTTACTTAAAATAAATAAAATTTTTATATAAGCTCAATAATAATAATGATGATTTGATTTGTATATATATATATAAACGAAATTTTAAATATTATATAATAATAATAAATTTATGTTATTAAATTCGATTAATTATTATTAATTAATTATTTATTTATTTTTATTTTATCGTCGTACGTAATAATAATGATGATGATCGCTGTATTTATTACTAATAATAATAATAATAATAATAAATATTGAAAAATTGATTATTATTATGGGTTGATAATATTTTTTATATTTGTAATATGTACGAAATATTGTTAAATTAAATTAAATAAAAAGAAAAGAAAAATTTTACGTTCGACTTATTAGTAGTGACGTGTCCGTCTGTCATTTCATTGTGACGTCATTCGATAATGTTAAACGATATATCGTTAAATGTTTTCGTTGTCGGGGGGGGGGAGAGGGGAGACCGTTGGAAAATTATTACCGTAAATAAAAAAAAGAAAATGTCGTGGCTTTTTTTTTTTAAATATAATTACGTAAATAATTATCGTTTTTATACGTTATTTTGAAAATCAATTTGTGATTGTGTCGATGACGATGCGACCGTCATAGAGTAACAATAATAAAAAATTTTTTTTAAAAAAAGTCATAGAGTAATTTAAAAATGAAGGTCAACAAATCAACTCCGACCACGATGAATAATAATAATAATAGATTATTAATGTGTTAACATTGCGCGATTTTTCATAAAGTTTCTTTTTCCTTTTTTTTTTTTTTTAAAGTTTTTTCCGCGTTGATCACACACACACACACACACGCATACATAATTTATTAGAAAAAAAAAAAAAAAAGTTTTTTAATTAATTAAATAAAAATGTGTAAGTTATTATTAACTACTACTGTAATTTTATTAATTTATATTTCTAACGAATCTGGTAGTGTGATATCTGAGAAAAATATTAATTCAAGCTTTGTAGCAACTCATCAATGGCAAAAAGTTAAAAATGGACAAGCATTACCACCGGGTTTACACATTCGAGTCAATTTACACACTGGTGAAAAAGAAGCCAAATTACCAGAGTCCCAACAACCAAATAATAACGATAAAAAATCATTGATTGAAATCAAGGAGAAAACAACAACAACAACCAAAACAACAACAACCGATGATGATAAACAACAACAACTCAATGACAATTCTTATAAATTTAATGAATTGAAAAAATTATTGAAAAATATTAAATCGGAGGAGGAACCTGAAAATGTTAATGAAATAAAAAAAAATTTCAAATCATATGATAAATTAAAACAAGAATTTGAAAGTTTAAAAATAAACGTCAAAACGGATGTTGAACTCCTTGTCGGTCTCATCGACAATTTCAGACATTTTAATTTGAATTTAAAATATGCCAACAATGCGAGTTCGAATTGGACAAAAGATGAAGATGTACTTATGACGCTTAAAGATTTAGAATATTTGGTTCATCAATATGACAACGCTCAAGAATTTGCTAAATTGAATGGATTTTCAGATGTCGTCTACAAAAGTTTAAATTCGACAAATAGCGATATAAGATCCGAAGCATTGAAATTATTGGGTAGTGCGACACAAAACAATCCAAAAGTTCAAATCGCTGCATTGGAATCGGGAAGCATTAATTTGTTACTTAAGATATTAACATTCGACGATGATCACATTGTCAAATCGAGAAGTTTGTTCGCTTTGTTTTCGCTGGTTAGAAGATTTCCAGCGGCACAGGAAAAACTCATAGCCGATGGAGGGCTCACAGCTTTTGCAAAAATTTTCGACGATGACAAACGCAATCAGTTGAAGTTACAAATCAAAATTGTTATTTTACTTCATAGTTTGTTGTATGAAAAAAAAGATGTCATGATGACAATCCAGGATAGGGAAAACAATCAACACACAGATTCCGAAATGAATGTTTTCATCGAAAAGTTAAAACAATATGGAAAAATCAATCTGGAACAAAAATTAGTCGAGCAAGATTGGTGTGGAAGAATATCCAAATGGTTTACAAAACAAAATTTTCTCAAGGATTTGCCATTGAATCCAGACATGAATTTGAGCATAGATAATTTAAATTTCGATATTCAAGATGTTTTAGACGAAGTTATAAATACTCTATTCATGTTATCGGATGTGTGTAAATCGCAATACGAGAGAGATCAAGATTTACTCCAATCTCTTAAAATCTATAAAAATGTTTATGATGATTTAGCCTTGGAAGAGAAAAAAACAAATTCAAAATCTGAATCAAATTATTCAAATTTATCCAATGTATTAAATATGTTATATGTTAAATTAAATGAAAAAAAAATCGATAAAGATGAATTATAGCCATAATTGAATTATAATTATCATCATCATCATCATCATCAATATTTACCTCCAATGTAAAATTTGTGATATTTAAAAGTTTATTTATTATATATTATTATTATTATTGAATTTTTATCAAGCCTTCTCATTGGTTAATCATCATAAATGTGTAAAACATGTTCGAACAAATTTTCCCTACGAAACTAAATTATTATTATTATTTATGATTGTAATTATACTCCCCCCCCCCCAGAGGTTGTTTTGTATGTTGTATTATTATTATTATTATTAAGTTTTAAAAATATTAATTAATTATTTATTTATTGTTTTGTATTATTAAATTGAGCTATTACCAAAGATCAATCTAATCACAATCATTCCAACCAAACCTTGACCTGACAGAAAATAGAAATTGTCTATTGTTTTTTTCTCTCTCTCGATAAAATCATGCTGTCATAATTTAATTTTAAACCCTCCTTCCCCTCCCCTCCCCTCTGCCTTCCCCCCCCAAAAACAGTTAAATAATTGAATAATTTGAATTTGTTAAAAAAAATGATTTCTTTTGCAAATTAAAAAGGCTAAATCAAAATTAACATTTTACAACAACAAAAAAAAAAAAAAAAAAATGAAAAATTAAATGTCATCGAAAAAGTGTCGCAAACTATTGGAAAACTTTATGACAAATCATCATCATCATCATCATCATCATATCGAAACGTTTAAATTGTTTGAATTGGATCTCTATCCGTTTTCGATACCAATACTTTTAAATCATATTTATTAAAATTACCTTCTAATATTTTAGAAAATTCTTTTAAAAATCCTCTTTCGGAATTACTGTGATTGCATAAAATAACGCTTGTATTATTGTGTATGGCTTCTAATAAACTGTGATGAGACATTTCTCCAGTGAGAAATAAGTCTGCTTGTATATTTTGTAAGACTGAACTACCAGAACCAGCGCATATGCCTATTTTTTTTATTTTAGTCTCTGAAATTATATTTAAATAAATTATATTTATGTTAATACTTAATGTTAAAACTTTTCTTATAAAATAATAATAATAAATTGTGAATTGATCGATCGATTGTGAAAACTTATTAAACGAATAAATTATTTATAAGTACAAAACTAACATGACTTTTTATTTATTTACCTAATGAAGCACTCCTTGCCAAAGCTAAGTTTATAAATTGCAATGATGTTAATTTTTTAACAATGTCTACTGCTTCCAATATTGTGATTTCTTTTTTTAAAATGCAAAACCTTCCGATTCCCGCATTTGGATTATCTGATAAGTTAGTCGGGGTGATTGGATTTATCGTTTCGACATCTAAAAATGATTTATGGTTTTACATTTAAAAAACAAAATTGAGAAATTAACATGGTTGACAAATTTCATAAAATTATTACCGAATCCTTTTGCCAACCAATCATTGACTCCACCTGATATCGAATCCCAACTCGTATGCGGGGAATAAATGGCAATTTTATTTTCCAAACATGTTCCGATTATTCTCTCCTGATCAAAGACATTAATTTTTTACCCTTTGCTTTAAACTCACATATTCAAATAAGGAAAATTGTTTTATGCTTACTTTCCACGAAGAGGTTGTAATTTTTGTAAGAGGTTTGAAAATCGGTGGATGATACGATATTATTAACCCAGTTTTAAATTCTAATGCTTCTTTTAAAACATCTTCAGTTAAATCGTTAGTTAATAAAACACATTTAACAGGTGTGACTGTCGATGGTTCGACTAATAACCCAGTATTATCCCATGATTCTGATAAATTTATTGGAGCAAATGATTTTAAAAAATTTATTATCGATTTCAAATCGACTCCAACAGAAATTTGAGTACTCATATTTTTTATGTTTACTCTATTGTAACCTTTGTTGAATAAACTAAAAAAAATTTTTTAATTTAATTTAATTTTGATAAATTTAATTTTAAAAAAATTTCTTTTTTTTTGGTTAAATCTTACCCACTGATCATATCACTTTCTATTAAAATATTTTAATTAAATTAAATTAAATTAATTTTTTGACTATTGTTAAATAATAATAATAATATTATAAAATTATTAAATAATTAATTACGCACCGTGAAATATACTTAACTGGTAATAAAAAAAAAAAAAAAAAAAAATCTTAAAAATTAGTTAATAATATTTAAAAAACTTACTGTTACATGTATAACGATATCCAAAAGCCCAAAACAGCTGTTTTAGTGTTGCCAACGTTAAAAATCCGAGTAAAAAAAATTTTTTTTTTAAACAAATTTATTTTTTACACAAAAAGAATTTATTTTATAATAAATTAATTAAATTATTTAATAAAAAAAAAAAATTTAAACATGCACTCACTCAAAGAAACGAATAAAAAAAAAAAATGTAAAATTTGATTTCGCGTCTCGCGCAACAACCCGCTTTTTAAACTATAAACGACAATTTCGGTTATGCCAACTTTAAAAAAAAAAAAAATTTGGCGCGTTGAATATTTTTCTAACGCATTTTAGTATAAAACTTATTAGCAGCCATTGGAATGAGTTAATGAAATTTAATTGGAAGTCATGATTGGAGTTCCGGCATTTTGTTGTTTTCCCATTGACATTTCCGTTCGTCTAATTGGAACCGTAAGCTTGGTAAATAATATATATATTATTGTTTAATTTATAAAATTATATATAAAAACGAAATGGATTATGTAAAAATTTTTTTTGTTTCCAGTTAACAAATGCTTTGGTTTTTATTGCATTAGTTTCGAATTCAAATCAAGTTCTTAAAGACGACAAAATCAGAATTATTTTTGGATTTGACACATTGTTTTTTAATTTCGACACTCTAACAGATAATTTTAAAGGTATAATTATTAATATTAATTATATTTAACGGTTATATTATTACTACTACAATTTTCATGCTCATACTTGTCATAACATATTTGCATGTTTACCAAATCATCAATTTTTATTGTTTTTTTTTTTTTTTCAGAATATCAGGTATTATCATATCCTTTTAATTGTTCAGTAAATAGTATTTTTATAAAAGGAAATAAAATATCTGGTAATGCAAGCGCACAATTTATTTATTTAATAAAAAAATTTTCATATTTTTTTTCTCAATGGTTTTCAACATATTGTTTTTTATTCACACTTGCATCTGCCATTTCAAGTGCACTTCTCATAGGAGGTTCAATCACGGTAAAAAATGAATATAATTAATTATCCTCCTCCCTCCCTCCCCCTCCCCCCAAAAAATAATTTAATTTAATTAACATGCTTTCATATATTGCAGGCACAAAGATGGCTCACGGTTCCATGGTTATTTTGTTCAATTTTTAACGTTTTCTGTCATTTTACATCACTACTCATGCTATCATTTTTAAGATCCCCATACATAAGCGAATGGGTGACAGCATTTTCAGTTTTATATTCTAGTAATAATAATAATTATTATTTTTCCCTTTTAATTTAATCCCACGTTATATCAACACCACATCAACCATTTTTTTTTTTTTACAATTTCAGTTACATTAATTTATTTTATATTGATCGTTACAATTGCTCATTATTTATGGTGGATTCAATCAAAAGAAACAAAATACAATTCGAGGATTCAATCATGGGAAAACATCTATAAATCCCCACCACTTTTTCAAAGTTCATACAAAGATAGAATTGGAAATATTTAATTAAAAGACTTGCCTCATCATGTTATTGATTATTTGTTTTAACAAGTTACTAACTAATATTGTTTAAAAGTAATTATTTACCTATTAATATATATATATATATTTTTTTTTAAATAAAATATTTAATATTTCCAATATGGTGACTTTGTTGAAATTTTCAAAATGGTTTCCATAGAAATATAAACATGTAACTTGACATTGAAATTAAATTACATGGAATTCAAAAGAAAAATATATATATATATATGTGTTCGTGTTACAAATTATTTATAAAATAAAAAAATAAAAAAATGTCGTTAGGTTCGGTCGATAGTTCGATAATACATTTAAAAACAGAACCAAATTTAAATATAGAAGCTGAAGTAAATAGAATTATTTATGTTTTAAACAAAGTTATTAATCGTGCCAAACTTATTGTGAGTAATTTATATTTAAAAATAATTTTATTATTATTTGTATAATTATTATTATTATTATTGTACGTTAGGGTCTTTTAGAATATTTAATACATAATGATGGACTTGTATTAAGATCATATTTAGATGATAATACGTGTAGTTACGTTGTCGAAACATGTCAAAGGTAACACATTTTATGTTATTATTATTATTATTATTATGTATGAATAGTTTGTTTAATCGTTTAATTTAATATTAAAAAAAATTATCAGAGTTTTAAATGCATCGACGGAAAAGAAAAAACAATCGGCTATAAAAATAACATCGAAAGAAAATTCGAGTCAAAAATCAAAAGAATCCGATTTGGAAATGACGTTCGATACGAGAAAACAATTTTCATTAAGTTCGCCATCTTGGAATTCAAATATTTCTACAAGTAAATCCAGCGAAAGACAAAATGATGCCTTAAATAAAGTCATCTATCTACTCGAAGATCACGAGGGTATTGTCACATTAATACAAAATTTGGACAGCGAGGTGATACAATGCCTACTATCCTTTTCCCAAAATGTTTCACTACCTTTTTTTCATGATAATAATAATAATAATAATAATAATAACAATTTGTCTTACAGGTAACTCCACCCATGAAATACTTTTTAAAAGTATTAAAAAATTTTGTTAGATTAGTGACTAACCAATTGCAAGTGAATTCCATAGAGGTGATAAACACAACACAACACAACACAACACAACACAATAGAAAGCCAAATTGAAGGATTAATTGATTAAAAAAAAATAAATTTTGAATTTCAGGATAAGAATAAGGAAAATTATTTGAGAAGAGTTTTTGAAAAAAATGAATTGGTTAAAAAAGAAATAGAAAAATTAGAAGAGGAAATGGTCGTGACAAAAACGGATGCTAATTTTTGTTTGATCGGACGTAACGTACTAATAGCGAGACATAAAAATAAAATAGAAAACGTTAAAAAAAAATCATTCGAAGCAATTGAAAAAAGAATAAATCAATCGGAAAAAGGAATGGTTAGCGATTATAAAGAAAGTTTAATACAACAAGAAAGATTAAAACAAGATTACGAACAAACCTCTGAGTAAATATATATATATATATATCAAATATTTTATTGTAACGATAAAACGTTCTTTTTGTAACGGTTTTTTTATATGACGTATCATTTCAGAAAATATGGTATCATGTTAAAAGATCATTTACATTTGGAAAAAGCTCTACGTGCAAAAAGGTATGGTGGTTTTTTATCTCAATTGTTACAAAAAAAAGAGTAAAATAAAGTCGTTATTATTATTATTAATAAAGATCAAAAGTTGAAAATCAAGTATTGGGTTGGATACAGAAGTTTGATCTAGACATTGGTGAAAGGCAAGCCGAAGAAGAAGAAATCCAAGCGTTATTAGATAAAGAAATCAAATTGGGTAACGAAATTCAAAATAAATTAGACGAACAAGAAGAAGAATATGATGAATTGATGCAAGAAAAAGCAGAATACGAAAACGAAATGCTTGAAAAAAGATTATTTCAATTTATTGTCAATAGGTCGGCGAGACGAATTCAAAGAACGTTTAGACTTTATAAAGCTCGTAAACTTGCTAAAAAATTATCTAAAAAAACAAAAAAGAAAAAGAAAAAATAATAACGAATACTTACACGACGCACATTATATCTATTTAAACATTTTCCAATATTTTTTTTTGTCAAAAACGATACATAATTTCACCTTATTAAAAAAAAAAAAATTTCTTTTCAAATTTCACTTTTGTACTTTCATTAACACCTTGTCACAATGTAATACATTTCTCCTTCCACGTCTTTTTTTTGTTAAGCTTACGTTTTCGCGCGCTTAGCAGACAGTCACGTGACAATGCTAAAAGTAAACAAAAACAAATTGTAAATCATTTTTCGTTTTTTTTTTTTTTTTTTTAAATAAAATAAAAATTATATTCGTAATAATTTAATAAAACAAAAAATAAACTAAAAAAAAAAATTAAATTAAATTATGCTTTTTTTTTTCTTCGACGTCACGAACAAAAAATATAAAATATGGTAAATATTAAAAATAAAATAAATTATAAAAATTTTCCGTAGCAATTAAAAAAAATTAAAAATTTTCCAGTCTTTGATAATTATTAATAATAATAATAATGATTATTTTAAAAATAAATTAGTAATAATTTTCTGATTGCGTCGTTGATTGATTGATGATTGATATAATATGCAAAATATTAATTGATTAATTTTTTATGGCACTTGTCCTTTTTTTGTATTAAATTTTAGGTTAAATAAAAGACAATTTAATTATTACGGGGGGGGGGGCAGCAACATTAATAATAATATTTGTTAATGAAAAATTAATTATTATTTTGATTGGTATTTGTTTTTTTCAATGGTAATAATTGCGATTCGAAAAATTGTTGATTTTTCACCGTGTCTACAAAAGACATTGCTCTTCTAAATCTATCAGTGTCTCTTATATGCGAACCTATGACCTACAAAACAAAAGAAACAATTTTAATGACGTCACAATAAATTTTTATAAGGTATGATGATTATTATTTCGATTACCCTGATTTGAGCTTCTAATATTTCTTTCGATCTTTCAGACGAGAGAATTTTTTCTCTAGCCGCATTTAATTCTTGATCTAAAGCTTGTCTCTCTTCTTCTAATGCTTGAAGTCGAATTTGTGCATCTGAAAATTTAAAAATTTAACTTTTAACAATTTCATATTGAACAAAGAGTGAAAGACAAAGAGAGAGAGAGAGAGAGAGAGAGAGAGAGAGAGTGAAACCTTTCAATTGTTCTTCTTTTTCACGTTGCAACCTTTCAAATTCCACTCTTTTTTCCCTTTCCTCTTCGAGCATTTTTTTCTGTTCGTCTTGCAGTCTTTCCAATTCTTCACGTTTTTCCCATTCTTCTCTCAGTACTCGAGCTTGTAAATTTCTTACGATTTCTTCGTCTCTTTTCGACTGTGTTTCTTCTTCCAATAATTTTTCAAGTTTATTACGTATGGCAATTAATTCTTTTGCTCTCTTTTGTTGTTCTTCAAGCGAATCTTGTAATTCTTTGGCTTTTTGATCGGCTGCTACTCTAGCCTGAAAAAAAGTAAACCCAATGAAAATTTCCTTTTCTTTTTCTCCAACATTCTCAATTCGAGTAAAATCAATATAACCTCTATTTCTTCTTTGAGTTTTTGTTTTGTTGATTCCATTTCTTTTATTTGACTGTTTTGCCTTGAAACTTCTTCTTCGATTTTCAAAGTTCCTGCAATCCTTTGTGCTCGTCTTCTCATCGCTTGTATTCTTTGGTAACTTTCATTTCCACCCGAATTATTAATTGCCAACTGTATAGCTGAAATCCACTGCAATCTAGTTCTGCAAACACATTTTTAATAATTAACTTAATAACTTTTAATTCTTTTTAAATTATTTTTGTAAAAAAACAACAAAAAATTAATACTTGTGATCTATTGTGGCTAATTCAAAAGTTCTCTCCATGCTATGAATTAATATTCTGTGTAATTTATCTTTACCAGAATAAGGAGAAGGATCCACTCTTGATTCCGAACATAATGCTATGCAACCGCAGGGATCTTTTTCATCTCTCGTTTTATAATAGCTCAGTTCGGTTGTTTGAAGAACAAACCAATATTCTCTAAATGTGGGCAATAGATAACCTTTCTTAAATAAATTTCCTTTTTTTATAATGTCACCGATTAATGTGTGATACAATTCGCTAATTCCTTCTTTGAGAGGCTCACATTCGACCACGGATCCAAATTTCCCTAAAAAAGTTTTATATTTTACAACTCAAATGTGATGGTAAATGCTCTTTTTTAATAAAAAAAAAACTCATTTTATTTTGTGATACCTTCGAAAAAGGCGAGAAAAAGAGAAAATTGAAAAGAATCATCCATAGAATTTAAAGCTTCAATGTCATCAAGACCCCATTCCAATCCCAATAAACATGCTAAATCCGATGCCAATCTAGCTATTTCACTCGAATGCATCAATACCTGCAAACCATATCATAATACCTACAATACCATTCATTAAACGAAAAGAAACAAAAAAAAATTTCCAAGCAAACATCTATCTACACGAAAGCATGAATTTGAAAAAAACCCAAACTACGAGCAAATCGGAAAACGATTAATCAAGCGGTATTAAATCTACATTTAAATTTACTAAACCTGAAAACGATTATTTTCTACAGGTATTAAATCGGATAAGAAGCAAAATATTCTAAATAAATGATACATGGACGATTCTGAAAGTCTATGATTTTCTTTATTCAAATAATGCTTTCTGCAGACTAACCAACAGACTTCTTCAATTTTTCCTTCCAATTCTTGCATTTCTTTAAGAGTGAGATTATTAGGCACATTGCAAAAAACCTTAAAAAAAAATTAATTTCCCAATAAATTAACTCATACACAAAACAAATAAAATTATGCGAACAAAAAAATAAAAAACTTGTCACCTCATTTTGTAAGTAATATTTAAAATGTTCAAAATTTAAAGTATTCGTACTCCTATAATGATCCAAACCTTTTTCGACACCGTATAAATCTAATAAAATCCCTATATTGGCAGTCAAAACCTTAAAATTAAAAAAAATTTTATGAATAAAATAAACAACAAAGACACAAATCATACAAACAGGATTAACAGGTGTGACGAAATATATAAACAAAACAACCTGTTGATAGAATCGATTTATATAAATAACGATAAATCCTTTCGATTAATTAATTAATTTAATTTTACGAGATAAAAAAAATTATTATTTGAATAAAATTTAATCACCTTTAATTTCGATTTATAAACAATTTCGTCGTTATTCGATGCTAAAAAATTAAATGCGTGCCATATGCTATTCGTTACATTTTTCAATATAGAATCCATTTTCATATTCAATCTGTTAAAAAGGTTAAACCTTACGCTGTTGCCAAATTTATACAATTACATTTAACGACATCGATTATTAAACAAACGACATTTAACTTATCTTATTTCCCCGACAAAAATGACGACGACGACGACGACGACAACCATCTATGACACCTTAACACCATATATGCAAAATAATTAAAAAAAAAAAACGTTTCGTCGAGGATGTCATTGGACGTAAATAAGGTAAATTCTATATATGGTCAACCGTTAAAAACTTCGTGTGTGTGCGTGCGTGTGTGCAAATACCCATATATAAATACATTTAACCCACAATAAAATTTTCATTTACTGACAAACAAACAAACAAACAACTCAAATATTATGTGATAAGGAAACAAATAAAACAAACAAACAAACAAAAATAATATTTAAAAATCTTTTTTTTTTTATTTATTTATTTAATTATCATTATTATTATTATTTTTCGATTTACTCTATAAAAACAAAAAGACAAATATCATGATTATTATTATTATTATTATTTTTTTTTTTATTTTTATTAATCGTTATTATTATTATTAATAATTTTTTTTTTTTTTTTTTTTTTTTTTTTAAGGAAGGCCCCCCGAAAAAAAAAAAAAAAAAAAAAAAAACTTGATTCTTGTTTTTAAAAACTTTGTACAAGAAAAATAATTAAAAAAAGTAAAACAAAAACAAAAAAAATTATCATTATCATTATTATTATTATTAACATTTACTTTTCTAATTAAATAAAAAAAAAAAAATTAATTTATCTTATTAAAATTTATTTATTTCTCTCTCTCTCTCTCTCTCCCATCTTTATTTATCTATTTATCTATTTATTTATTTATTTATTTATCTTACATAATTAATAAGAAAAATCCTTTTTTTTTTCCTTTTCCTTTTCCCTTCCATAAATAATTTATATTTACCCTTATGATTTTATCATTATTATTATTATTATTATTATTATTATTCATTCAGTTCTTATTTATCATCATTATTATTATTACTATTACATTTAATTATAGAAAATTTTTTTTTTAAAATGTAAAATAATAATCTCTTCAATACAATTCTTCTCCCCTTTCTTATTATTAATATTATTATTATTATTATTGTTTAAAATTTCACGTAAGCAAAACATTAAACAATACCCGAAAAAAAAAAAAAAAAAAAATTTCTCAAATTTTTATTCTTTTTCCTCTTCATCCGTACGTGGATTTATATAATCATCATCATTATCATCATCATTATTATTATTATTAACGTCACTCCATTTTTAAATTTGATTTCCTTGTTTCTATTACATTTACACAATAATAATAATAATAATAATAATAATAATAATAATAATAATAATAATAATAATAATTTTAAAAAAAAACTGCGGATTTTGTGTTTAAACTTTTTTTTTTTTTTAATATTAAAAATCCGAAGCACACGATTTATTATTATTATTATTATTAATATTATTATGATTATTATTATTATTAAAATCCCTAAAATAAATAAAATTCATGGCAAAAGCGAGCATAAGATAATAATAATAAAAAAATACATAAAAAAAAATTAATGATTGATTTGCTGTATAAAAAAATAAAATAAAATCCTGTCGAGCGTTTCCGGTTTTTATTTCAAACCCCGTCCCCTACCCTCCCCCCGCCTTCCCACTTCCTTCACAATATTTTCCCCTATAATTCGATTCCCCGCAAATACTGTTTTCATAATTATATATTTATATAAAAATATCTAATCTTAATATCAATCAATCAATCAATCATTTATTGATGGGTATGTGACAATTAATTAATTCTCCCTCAAAAATTAAAAAATTTTTTTTTTATCACATTATCATCATCATCATTACATTTTGACAACAACAACAACAGCAACAGCAACAGCAATAACCAGATTAAAAACCTTTCTTGTAAAAAAAAAAAAAAAAAAAACCCAAACGATTCATTGCTTATCATTTGTCCATAAACATCAAACGTATAACTAAAATACTAATAATCGTACCTGATATTTTAACCACCCCCCAGGTACCGCCCCGCTTCCCCACGCCCACTACCCCTCCCCCATAATCCCCTCCCTTACGGTGAAAAAAACTCGACAGACATTTTTACCTTGTTTATTGATTTTTCATATCAGATTACAATATATATATATAATAATATCAATCGATTGATTAATAATAATAATAATAATAATAATAATAATAATGATAATAAATTGATTTTATCAACAATAAAATAATTTTTCGTTAACTTTTTACCTTTCGTCACGAAAGCATCATTTACAATAAATAAATAAATAAAAAAAATATTTAAAATCGATTAAATCGATTTAATCGATCCATCGATCGATCGATATTTTTCGATTATACATTATTACCATTTCGAAAATTTGATTAGTTTCAAATAATAATAATAATAATAATAATAATAATAATAACAAAACGTACAAATGATAAATTAGAGAAATTTTTCTTTTTTTCTTTCGTTTTTTTTTTTCTCTCCCCATAGAATTAATTACACGCGCGTCGTAAGAATTTCACATGTCACCCCCCCCTTTCCCCCACTTGTCGACCAACCCCCACCCCGCTCCCACTCCCACCCCACCCCCCATTCCAGGTTAAAAACGAAAATTCACACCTTTTTTTTGTTGATAAATTTCGATTTTAAATAATAATTAAATTACACTTTTCTTACAAAAAAAAAAAAAAAAAAAAAAAAAAAGGAAAAACAATATAAATATAAAATATAATAATAATAATAATAATAATAATAATAAAAGCTTCCATTAAAAAAAAAAAAAAAAAACTTCAAACGTGAGAGAGAAAACTAAAAATTAGAAAAAGAAAAAACGATGATTTTACAACAGACAGTGAATTATACACACACACACACACACACAATTAAAAGTGTCAAGTGTGAAAATATACCTAACAAGCTAACATTTTTTTTTCCTTTTTTTTTTTTTTTTTTATTTTTTTCAATTAAAAAGAAACCTATCTATTGTACTCCTAATAAAAAAAAAAAACAAATCCCCCATTTTTTTTTCTTCTTATAAACAATTTTTACACAGGGTTGTTACCCCAAAAAAAAAAAAAAAAAAAAAAAAAAAAAGTCAGAACTCACGTGACACATTTTCGTGAGCCTGAACAATTCGACTACCTCCTCATTGAACCGTTCAACGGTTGCATTAAACTACTGTTGATGTACCCGTACGTCGTGTACATGGGACTCTGTTGTGCTCTTTGCAAAGCTTGATCCTGGTATTGACTTTGCATGTTCATGACTCCCATTTGGACGGGCATTTGAGGAGGTTGATTCATGAATCCGGCCGAATTTGCTATGTACCCGGTGACCGGAGACCCTTGCTGAGCAGCTACCCTGTACCCGTTGAGTCCGCCGTATTGAGCCACGAGATTGGGATTGAGAGCGGGCACGTTCGGACTCACTCTCGCGCTTGCCGCTTGCATTTGATGAACGGAAGGAGTTCCCCTCGAGGACCGCGGAACCGAAGAGGGTGATATACCCTAAAAAAAATATAAAATTTTTATAACAAATGTCTTAAAGGTGAGTGGAAAATGTTTTTCTTTTTTTTTTTTCCCCCACAATTACTTGATAGTATTTGTGATAATTTGCCAACGTGACTTGACTCGATGCGGGAGGTGTGGCGAGAGATCGAGCACTCTGTTGCTGTATTTCCAATTGCCTCGTCGGTGGAGGAGGAGTCATTGTACCGTGCACGTGATGAGGTTGAAGTGGCGGAGGAGTCACCGTGCTGCAAGCGGGTGGAGGCGTAACGTTGCTGCAAGACGGAGGTATCATTTCCAAACCGTTGGTGAGTTGTTGCAATTTGGCCAAGCTGCACGACGGAGTCTGAGTGGAAGATGAAGCCGGTGTGGGGTTGTGCGTTTGAATGTAAAAGTTAGTGGGAGTGGAAACGGTACAACGTTGATGACCTAGTGCTGCCGATTGTTGAGCCATGTGATGTTGAATGACCGTAGTCATGGGAACGCTGACGTAACTACTAGCCTGATCATGATGAAAATTTTTTTTGGGTCACTATGTCACATCTTTAAAAAAAAATTTTTTAAATTATAAATATATTACTTACCTGGGACATTCCCATGTAGTTAGCTTGAGAAATAATGTTGTGAGGCGTATGATGATGCTGTATGGGTGCGTGATGATGGGAATATCCCGCTTGTTGCATCATTTGATTATGCAGCTGAAGTTGCTGCTCATTGGTCATTTGCTGTTGTTGATGGCCTGATGCAGGAGAAGAAGTTCTATTTTGCTGTTGGGGCGGCTGAAAAACGTGCATTAGAGGCGTAAATCAAAAAAGAACTAAAACATCCAAATCACAAAATCTTTTTTTCAAGAAATTTACCTGTAGCAAAGGCGAGGGCGGCCTCCTTTGATGAGGAGAATTTCCTCTGTGTTGCGCAGACGGTTGTTGTTTGGGTTGCTGTTGAGAGGATCGTCCCCTGTGTTTCGTGGGCTTCGTTTGATGATGTAAATGAGCTTGCATGTATTGTGCCATTTGTATGGCATGTTGATGTTGCGGAGAAGATGCCGGAACCGATAAATGTTGGTGTCCAACCACTTGTTGAGAGCATTCAAACGTTTGATGGTGAGGAGCGGGATGGGAAACAACGGAAGGAGGTCTCACGGATTCCGGGTTCAAATCGTTCGAAGAAATCGACGTCGGACTTTCCAGACCCAACTGACTGACATCTAAATCGCATTGACCGTACCCGTGCAGCGAATGAACGGAATTCGTGGTCGAATCGGGAGTGTAGACGCCCATGCTAGGTATGTCGGGTTGTGATGGCGTAGGCGGTGTTCTTTTTATACAAGGGGGAGTCGTCGAAACTTCCACTACCTCGCAGCTTTTAGGTTTTTCGTCCTCCACTCTTGTTTGCGTTGAACATTGACTCCACTGTGAACTGTCGTTACTATTTTCAGCCTTTCCTAAATTTTTGTCACGCTCTTGATCGTCCACGATGACAACATTAGGAGAATTTTTGTTGTTAGCCTTTTTATCATTCTCAAATTTTTCATCTTTTGTTTCGACACTCGTTTTTGCATTTTCGTTCTCCTCGATCTTGTCGACATTTCTGTCGTCCTTACACAGTTGGCTACTGTCTTTCAAGCATTGGTCACCCAATTCGAAGTCAGAAATGGACTTTGGCTCGTTACGATGGATTTTCTTCTGCTCTTCTCGATTGGATTCGACCTCACTTTCATCTTTATTATGGCGTTTACTATCGAACCTTTCCGACTTTTGACATTCTTCCGCTTGATGATTCGCGTCTTCGGTTTTTTTCACATCTGTTTCTTTCGATTCCGTACCCTCATCGTTTACACTAACCGTTTTCCCTTGGTCAACTTCACAATTTTTCACGGTATTAACGTTATTCAACTGTTTGTCTTGAGATTCATTTTCAGCCTTAAAAAATTTTAAATCAGAATTTTCAACGCACCGGTTCACCGTTACTACTAGCACTTCTTTCGTCTCGGAATAACCACTTTTATTTTGCTGCTCCAAATTTTCTTCGCATTCTATCAATTCGTTCCGCGTATGCGGCGTGTCTTTTTCTTTCGAGTCCGCAAACAGGGTTTTTTCTGAACTAAGCACAGCCACTTGATCACTGACACGACTATCGGATTGTTCTTTATTATGCAATTTGGAATTTTCTTCGTCCTCAACTGAAACTTCTTTACATTCATTGGTTCCTCTCGATGTTTCTTCCGCTTCTTTATCACTCGATCCCTTTTCGAGTAAAGGTTCTAAAATTTTTTCTACTTCTTTATCCGCTATTTCTTCCATTTTCAATTCGTCTTTTATAAGATCTTTGTTACAAATATTGTTGTTGTTATTATTATTACTATTATTATTATTGTTGTTGTTATTATTACTATTGCAATCACTATTGTTACTACCGTCAGTACTATTACCATAATTGTTGTTATTAATACTATTATTATTATTACTACTATTGTTACTTTCATTTTTACTCGTGTTAGTACTATTTTTATTATTCGCAGTATTCTTGTTTCCTATTCCTTTTTTATCACAGCTTACATTTTCTTCAACATTTTGACTTGAATCGCTTCCCTTCTGGTCGGGAAGGTCATTGTGCTTATCTGTAGTTTGCAACATAGAAACGGCTAATGGTAAATTACTTTCGTCTGAATCTTCACTCATGCTAGTTTTCTGTGTTGCAGGCACTGCGTAGTTGATTTGTTTTTTACGACACCGGACGGATTTTTTGCTATTCGGCAATATACTCTTTCGTAGTCTGCTACTACTCCGAACATCGTCTTTCTTTTCTTTAACGACATCTTCGGCGGCGGCAGCAGCAGCAGCATCATTTTTCTCCGGAGCGGGAGATAAAGATGGCGCCAAATGAATGCTGTCCCTTCTTTTTAACGTAGATTGAATTTCAGGTTTGAGTTCGGGCATTTTAATTTCTTTTTTATGCTTTTGCCAATTTTTCTTAGATTTCTTCGATTTCCCTCTAAATTTTTTCTTCGACCTTGATGATAATACTTTTGGCGTCGAGTCGACGGATTCCCCTGTTTTTGTTCCCGAATTCTTACCAACGACAGCCTTTTCCTCTTGATTTTTCGATTCTTTGGAGTGAGAACGAGAAACTCTTTTAAGGTTAACCTCTTCGTCTTCCTTGTTGTTGCTCTTTAATTTATTCTGAAAGGAAGATGATTCGCTTGAATAATTTATCCTCCTATTTTTCGACGCCTTTTTGACACTTTTAAGAATTTGCTCCTGATCCTCGATAACTCTATTTTGAAGATTATCAGGATTTAATAATTCCGTCTTTTTACTCTCCTCCTCCAACCCTTTTATTTTCGAAGACACGCTTAAAATTCTTCTTTTCGATGAATTAATTGATTTTTCTTGTTTTGCCGGTGTGACATCACCGGGTGCTTCTGATATTTTCCTTTTTCTTTTCTCCCTTTTGAATAACGGTTCGTCCGTGGAGAGAGGGGTTTCGAATGACGAATCGTATGTTTGTTTCTTTCCCTTTTTGCTTGTTTTGACGGATGGTGATTCAAACGAAGAAGAAGACGGTTCATTCTTTTCGCTCTCTCCATTTTTTTCGCCAATCACATCTTCCGCGGATTCGTTAGATTGTAAATTTTCTTCCGCGTCCTGGTAAGGATTAGGAATTTGAGTCATTAAAGGTTTCCACCTTAGACAGTCTGGATCTATTCGTATTCGCGTTTTACTTTTGGCTGCCTTTTCCGCATGCTCTTTCACCAAGTTCCAATCGACGCAAAGAGCAAGTTTACTTTTTTCCGATGCCGAAGCCCAAGGATTACAATTGGCTGCAGGCTCCTAAGAAAAAAGGAAAACAAAATTAGTTTCAAATATTTTTTTTTTTTTTTTTTAAATAATTATAAATAATCCTCAATACCGAAACTTTTATCAGACATATCATATCCATCATTTGCAAAGTTGCTGCTATATCATGTCCATACATTCCAGTCTCTTTACTTATAGCATCTATTGTTACTTGCATGTTATCTTTTCCGACATCTCTGTGTGCTGCCAAATATTCTAATATGACCGATTTCCAATAAGCGTGATACGATACACGCCCTAAATCGGACAACGGTTTTTCAGGCGTTCCAGGTTGACCCTCTTCTTTCGATAGCAAATAACCTGAAATTAAATCGCAACATAAAATAAACAATTTCGCCAACTTCTAAAAAAAAAAAAAATTTTTTTAAACTTACTAAAATGAATTAAAAATCGTCCGTAACCCTGTCTTTGATACTGCGGCATTGTCATAATACACGACACGTTGTATTTTTGGGCACAATGTTTTTCTTTAGAAAAATATCCCACTAAATGACAACCCTTAAAAACAAACCAAAAAACATTTAAATGACAATTTTCCTTTTCAACAACAACAGTGTCACACACGCACACACACAGTGTCCTTCCTCACCTTTTCATCATTTTTCGTGAGTACATAAAATAAAAAAGGCTCAACGTCGTAATATAAAGTCTTATGATCTAAAAACAATTTCGCAAGAAGGCAAAGGTTTTGGCAATAAATTTTATTGACGTTTCCATCCACTTCGAAAACGGATAAATCGTTACACCGATAAATCTCGGTGGCCGGAGGATGCCTCCACGTGCACTTGTCCTGATGTCGTTCCAAAACGCCTTTACTCTTTGTATATTTCAAACAAAATTCGCATAGAAATAATTTCGGCAATCTGCATAATAATAATAATAATAATAATAATAATTATTATTAAAAATTTCCGTCTCTTCGCAATTAAAAAAAAAAAAAAAAATTTACGTTAGTGACCTGGCATATTCTTGTGGAAAGGGAGACGAATACCAAGTTTCGATGACGTATTTTCCAAATTCTATCGCGGCCGGACATCTATCACTGTCAAGAGAAAAACTATTATTACTCCCTGTCGTCGTTCCAGGTACGAGAATCGTTTCCGCTTGAGGAATAACAGCAGGAGTCGACTGGAAAAAAAAAAAAAAATTAGATAATAAAGATAATAAACCGAAAAAAGGGATTTCGTTTAAAATAAAAAATTTTTTTTTAAAATAAAACTCACAGAATTCGATCTTTCTCTCGTTTCTTTAAACAATTCAACGTCTTTAGGTGTGACACCTGGAGGTAAACTTGCCTTTTGCAAAACAGCATCCGTTATGTCATTGGACCCTGGAAGAATAAAAAAAAAAAAAAAAAAAAAAAAAAAACAAATCATTACATTTCATCTTCCTCAATCAATCACCCTTTTTTTTTTTTCATTATAAATTTTTATACCTAAAAAAAAAATCAATAATATTAAACGCTTTTCTCTCTCTTTTTTTTTTTTTATACCAACTAAATTTTCCAATATTATTATGATTGTTATTATTATTATTATTAATAAAAAATGAATAATGAAAATTAATATGAACAATTAAAATGACCTTCCTTTCATTCTTTTTTTTTCCATGCAAAAAAAAAAAAAAAAAAAAAAAAAAAAGCTTAAACTTTAAATTCAAAACTTTTTTTTTTTTTTTCCCTTCTTTCTCTCTTCCTCCATCTCTCCCTCACACACACACTCTCTCTCTCTCTCTCTTTTTTTATATATAAAGTCAAAACAAGCTTTTAAATATTACATGCAATTATTTCTTAATTAAAAATGACCCTGGTAGGCTTGAGTAAAAGTTTTCTTTTTTTTTTTATGTTACACTATTTTTAAGGCATGTTCATTTTCAAGCGAGCTTTTTAGCAAACCTAATAAATTTTAAATTAAGCACAATATTTTTAAAATAAAAACCTTTGAAAAAATTTGCCATTTTCGATTACGTTTAAAATGACAGTTCTCAGCAGCACTTCTACACATTTTACTTTTAGTAGTAGTTTACAAAGCCAAAAAAAAACTTTTTTTAAATACTCCTTCACTATTAAAAATACTTTACACCACGTGGTACATAATATTAATACCTTTTCAATAAATAATTTAATAAAAACAATGTAAAATTAATATTTCTTTTTTTTTTTTTACCTCCTTTTCCAAATAAATACAACACGAATGATTTTTTTTTTCCCTTAGGTTCACAGGTTCAGGTATTTACTTTAGTTTTTTTTTAGTTAAAAAATGCACCTTCATTTTTAACACGAACATCAAAATACAAAATTATTTTTGTTATTTAATGCCATTATTTGATTATGTGAAATGAAAATGCATTTTTACATTTTTTTTTTTTTTTTTTATACAGTAATTATTAAGAGACACATACATAATGATGATAATAGATATATATTTAGTTAAATTAATTAATTACCAGGTTTATAACCAACTCCTTACCCTTAATTTTAATTTAATTTTCCTTTTTTTTTTTTTTTTTTTTTTTAGTAAAACTTTAATACCAAAAATTTTAATAAAATTGTTAAAAAAAAAATGCAGAAAAGCTTTTTATGATGAACATGAAACCAAAAAAAAAAAAAAAAAAAAAAAAATTTTGAAAATTGAAAAGCATGTACAATAACACAATGCATATAACCGTTATCATCATCATCATCATCATCATAATAATATAAATACAGAACACAAAAGCCTTATGGTTAGAAAACCGATTCAATGTCAGTATAATTAACACCTTTTTATTATTATTAATATTAATATTAATTATTTTTTTTAAATAATGATAATAAAAAAAAAAATTTAGTGCCAATGTTGTGATGTAATAACACAAAAATCCATTATCCGAATTTTTATTCGTTTGATTATTAGAATTTTTTTTTTTTTTTTTTTTTTTTTTTTTTGGGTTAGTCAAGAGTCAACACCATTAAATAATAATTAAATCAAAGATATGAGATAAAAAAAAAAAAAAAATTACATAAAAGCAAAATGTGAACAGTGAGAGGCTGAGCTTTCGTGAGACTAAAAAAAGTGCTTTGGCCAGCCAGCCAGCCACCCAGACACACAACCGCACCCTGGGCCAAGCAATATTTGTCTTACCCGAGTTTGTTCCGCGGTGATGCTGCTGGGTGGCCGTAGCTTCTGCGATAATATGTCTCTTTTTCATCTTTATCTCTTCCATCCGTGTCCCGGCATTGAACAAGTCCCCCGATATAATTCGCCTTCTCTCTTGTTCGTGTTGCTTACTGCTCACGGCAGTTTTAAATAAACGTGAGGGCGTCATCGAGGGTGAAAGATTTTTATCTATCGTTATCATTTCTTTATCGGTTTCTAATGTTTTCCCATCGGGATTTTTGGGTTTTCTCTTAGAGAGACCGTAATTTGAAAACGTGCCCGGACGCATTCTGGCATGGCTCGGAGCGGCAAATAAATGACTTAGACCGTCGAATAAACCCTTGAGCCGGCCAAACCCAGATTTATATTTTTCGTAACTATCGTTAGTTGAAGTGCACGGCTGAGCGGTATCGTTACTGCTTCCACTGTCGCGGACGGACAAGCTAAAAGGTCCGGTTGCTATGCCGCCAGCAGCAGCAGCCGCAAACCCCCAAGCCTGCTCTTTCGCTTTCGATTTGTTCTCATCTGTTAAATCTGTCGTTAATTTATTCTTAGAACCTTTGTTGAAAGCACTGTGCCTGAAAAACTTTTGCTTTTCTTTTGATATTTTATCACTTTTTTCCTCTAATTGCCTACCAGGGTCAAACCAAAGAGAATCTTCATCTTTACCATATCCACAGCTCGAACTGTCAAAGTCTGAACTTTTCGTTCTTCTCCTTTTTAACCTCGCTTGTTTCGTCAATCGCTGTCGTATCGACTTTTCAAGGCTCGACATTTTTAAAACTTGATAAGACTTGGAATTTTCTGAAAACCTAAATATATAAATTTTTTTTACATTTAATAAATAATTATAGTTAATAAATAAATAATCATGATAAAAGTAATTTTTTTTTTTTTTTTTTTTTTATTGAAAATTCCTCTTACCTTTGGTTTCTACTTTCTCCTCTCACTTTTGAATACTTATTTTTCACGCTTTCAGCTGCCCTCAATTTTTTCGATTTGGTATCTGCTTTTAGCTGATTTTGGATGCACTGTCGACATCGCCAAGGTCGTTTGGGACGACGATCTGCTAAGGGATCCAAACAGGACCAATGATACGCGGCATTGCATTCGTTACAACATAAAAGGCAAGTTTGATCGTTTGAACGACCGCATCCCTTACAAGTGCTACATTCTTCGCAAACCCACTGTCCTCCCTTTTTCAACTGCAATGCGAACTCATTGCCAAAACCTCCAGGAGAACAAGATAAATGTATTGATGTACCACATTTCGAACATGAACTCAATGGCTCTTCTTTTCCTAGACGATTTTTTGCAGACGTACCTAAGCATTCTCCACAAATGGGTAATGCAGAACTCGACTGAAAAATATTACATAATTATTAGAGACTCGATTATAACATTTATTAAAAAAAAACTCGAAGCACAACTCAATGATAGGTGAAAGTATTTTGAAAACTTTAAGTCACTATTATTATTATTATTATTATTATTATTAAATTTAGAGTATTGATTAACATTAAAAATTACAATTTATTATGGATATTAATTTAATCGATCACTTTCACCGATAAGACATTAAATTTTTAAATGAGAGACACAAACGAGTATTTATTAAACTTTTACTTACCTTGGTAAAAGAAGTGTTCGCATTGGATGGTTTCTGATCTACTTTACATACTTCCATTTTTTTCCTACTGGTTCCTGATCCAACTTCTTCGACAGGTTTGAAATTATTACCCCTTTTAACCAGTTGACCTCGAGCAATTGCACGCTTGGTTGAAAGTCTAAGTACCGAGCTTAAATCCATGTTTGGTGGTACATCAACTTCATACGTAAGCTGAATGTGCCTTTCGATAGATTTAAGAGACGATCCATCTCTTTCTCCCAGTTCCCTAGCAGCTTTGACGACAATTCTTGATAAATCAGAGCACTTTGCAAGGTTAAGCTGCCTGACTGGAACTCCTTCGGGATCTTTGTATGTGCTTTGACCTTTGTTGAAAACTTTTAAAACGATTCCCTGTTTGACAGACTGGTCTAAAGCTTCTGCTATAACATCTTCGTGGAAATTGTGATGCTGTCTTATGGCATGAATTATACGTTCCGCCGACGGTCTTTGTTTTTGAGAACGTATTTTTTTTATGGCTTCAAGCATCCATTTTCCCCAAGTCTGCAAGTCCACTCCTTCCAGTTCTACATCTCCCATTTTGAATTTCTAAGAGTATTTGCTATTTGTCCAAATACAATTAATACACCGCCTTTATATTTAACCAGTTTTTATGCACGACGTCAAATAAATTCAAAGAATTTATTGAGAGCACCATTATTTCATAAATTTAGATTATACTACTTAAGTTTTATTAACTAAAAAAACAAAACAAGACGATAGCATCCAGTTGAGTTACTAAAACAAGAAAGTAACGAAAACCCGGGTCTGCAAGCTACAACACCGCTTCGCAGAACCGGGAAAAACATTTAAACAAAATAATATAAACTTAACTTTGAAACATACTTTAGACAAAACAGTTTTTATTAATATGTTTTTGAGACTGTAACAAAAACTAACCCTTTTCGTTCATTTATTTTAAAATGAATCTATCGAAAGGAATAAATATGAAAGTAGCTCATCTAAAAATTTCGGTTCCCGTCGGAAGGCAGCCATATTGGGCGGATGTAAAATGTGTTTTTTGAAAGCATTCAGTATTCAATAAATTAAGTTTTGTAAGCCTTTAAATATATGCATATAATTTCATTTATTTCTTTTCCAAGTAATAAATAATCCACAAATACGCTCCAACTTGAAAAAACAAAGCAGTTCATTTTCTAATGAATTACACACAATAGCCCGTCGCGTCACAAACAAAAATAAAAAATTTGTAAACTGAAACTAAACCCTTGTACCAAAACAAACGAATCTCAAAAAAAAAATAAATACTTTTATTTACATAAACAATAACCGCAGTCTTATTTAAATTAAATGACTCACTTTAATTATAAAGAATAATATAAATATATTTTCAATACAAAATTCCAATGAGAAACGAGTTTAGACAAGATGGCTTCTGTCAGGACATCTCTATTCGGTAAAAGCGCAAGCGCCAATCGATAATTACAAACCTGTTTTCTTTTTTGTAATAATTTTGTAATATATAATAATAAATATACTCGAATAAATATATTTTAAGAAATACTTATTACAAATGTAATGTCACAAATCACAAACATGAAATATTAAATTCATTTAAACAAAATTAAAAATACATTGAAATATCGTGGAACTAGATATTAGTTACTAACCGGAGCGCACCATGCTCACTTTTTGGCGCAAATTCTACTCTTCAGTTTGCCGTCAGCCATTTTTTCCTTTTTTAACTAACTTTTGACATTTGAATATAAAGAAGTCTTTTTTTTTAATTTAATGTTTTCTAAAACGTTTTTATTGTGATTTAAACATTTTTTTTAGTTTTACTTTTGTTTTAGTCGATTAGTGTGAATAAAAGTGTATGTGAAACTCGAAAATAACCGAAAAAACGCCGAAAAGGTAAGTTTGATTTTTTTTCTATGGAAAACCATAGAACATTCTATGTTCTTACTAATCAAAGAAACGTAATAGCATGCAACAATAGCAATGTATTTCTATTTCTATTAAATATAAGCACAATATCAAACATTACTAATTGATTAAATTTATTGCATTGAAAGTTAATTAAAGGATTAATTTTATATTAAAAATTATTAACCTAATTTTAACAAACCCTTCTTTAACATGGTACTTTAAGAACGGGGTATTTATTGGGGTGAAATTGCTATGACCCTTCCATAACACACTATTCTCACAATTCAGTTTTCAAATTAAAAATCAAAGAGGTTTTATGTATGTAAATTACTATTTTTCCCCCCAAAATTTATTTTAACAAAATGTTCATGTGGCTATTGTTCATGTTGCTAATGTTCATGTGGCTATTGTTCATGTTGCTAATGTTCATGTTGCTAATAATGTTATTGCATTCTATAATAGTATTGGTAATTCTCAACTTTTCCATTGATATATTTCTGTGTTCTTATTGAAACATTTGATGTATATACTAGTAGTAATTAAGAATGACACTTATGATGGAGGAGGGCCATCATGAAAGAAATTAATCCTCCTATCTTAACTAAATTAGTTTAGGTAAATAAAAAAAAATTAAATTTAACTTTCATACAAACTAATTCTTCCAATCAAAGTTTGAAAGATAGTCAAGAAATTAGTTAGTTCCCTAGGGAGAGAGAGAAAAAGAGAGAGAAAGATTTTAATAGACTTATAATAGAAAAGGTACTATTTAAAACCAGGTAAATAAAATATTTTGTGAAGATTAAAAGAAAACAAGTTAGGCCCTTCATTCAAATTCAATTTGGCAAAAATGAATAATAATAAGAACAAAATATTCTCTTTTTGCTAGTACACCTTCTTCTTTTTGATTATTTATATCATCTTCTGCTTTTTTTGGTTTTCAAAAAGGTATAGGAGAGTTGGTATCTGTTACCACCATTTATAATGTAAAAAATTTTATGCATTATGTATACATAATTATTTGCACCAACCCCTTTCATATGTTAAATCATTAATAATAATTTATCTATCAGTTTTTTTATTTATTTAAAAAGGAATAATTATGTGATATTTAAACAAATAATAATAATAATAATAATAATAATAATAATAATAATAATAATAATAATAATAATAATAACTTATAACTTGATAAAGGAAATTTACATGAAATTGTTAAAACCTATTAGATCAAATAAGAAAAAATGAATTTCTTTCTTTTTATTTGTTAAACATTAAAATAAGATATTTGAATTTTAGAAAAAAGTTTTAATAGTGATAATAATAATAATAATTTGATTATTAATTATACAAATGCATAACTTTATGAAGAAAAAATTTTTAAATGAAATGAAACAATTAAAACAGGGAAAAAAAGAAGGGATTCATTGTTTATGTATTCAAAATGCAATAAATTTTTAAATTAGTTTTTTGTTGTTAACAACAACAAACAACAACAACAACAACAAAGTAGGAAAAAGGAATTAAATTGAATTTTATGAAAATATGATTCAACAAGTGTTTTTTTTTTTTTGACTTTTAAAAAAAAAACAAAAATTTTATTTTATTTTAACCTTTTTTTTGTCAAAATTTGTTGTCGTTGTTGTTATTGTTCAACCTTTTACTACACATGAAAGGTGATATTTTGTGGTATATATCACTCACATTTAATAATAATAATAATAATAATAATAATAATAATTTTTATTTTATTTAAATTGTTCCCAATTGAAAAAAATTTAGAATTTAAATAAAACTCGAAAAGGCTTTTAAAAAAAAGTATAAAAATATTTTTTTGGGGGGGGGGGAAGGGGGGGGGTTTTCTCGTCGGTTGTCAGAAAAATCGAAAGTATAAAAAGGGAAAAATCCGATTTTGTTGAAATTTTTGACGAAAAATAAATAAATTATATATCAATTGTCAATAACAAATCGTGAAATTTATATAAAAATAAATTCTTCTTTTTCTTTCTTCCACGTTTCAAATAGTAAATAGATAGAAAAGTAAAAAAAAAAAAATTAGTAAATACGTCATTTATTTATTTTTTATTTATGACCATAAATATTTTTAACGTATTTTTAAAACAAATTTTTGTATTTTGTTGTTGTTGGGGGGATTTCACATGACGTACGTATACGAAAAAATATTTTTCGAATAAGATTTTTATTCTCGAAAGAACGAGAAAACGCGAGAAAACGCGATAATATTTCACACTTCGTCATCGTTCGTTGTTTCAATATTATTATTATCAATTTTCGATAAATTTTTATTAATTTTATTTTCATATTTCGAATTTTTTAAATTATCTTCTTCCGAAGATTCGGAAGACAAAATCATTTTCGTTTCGTTTTCCCCCTCCTCCATTTTTAAATTTTCAAATACGTTCGAATCGCCGTTAAATCCTCCACCGCCTTCTTCATCGTGATTAGGCTTAACGTCATACGGTTGAGGCGACGACGAAGATGTCAATACGTATTCCGTTTTTATTTTACTTTTAGGCGAGTCGGATTTTATGCATTTAAAAACATTCCAAATCCTATTTATTTTTTCGTTGGGATAATTATCTTTCCAGAATATTCTCTTGCTTTTTTTATTATTATTATTATTACGCGTTCCATCGTTTAATTTATCTATTTGTACGACGACGGTAAATTGTTTTTGACTGTTACCCCGACTCGGTGATTCCGGTTTATGTGATATTTGTGTCATTTCAGTCCTTATTGAATCATCGGTTACTTCTGATACCGACACGTTTTTTCTTCTGTATTTGTACCTGTATTGAAAAAAACAAAACAAAACAAAGCAAAAATTTATTATTTTTCCTACGAATACAAATAGAACGATTATCAATTATCCTAATATGGGAATTTTTATTTTCCTCTCTTTAATTAAACTATCAATAATTTCAATTTTATCATTATTATCATCATTATTATTAATTATATATAAAATCGTTTTTCAAGGTTTTCAAGCTTTCCGATACGATACATTTTTTTTGTTTTTTCCTGATTTTTAAAAGTTGATGTTTTTTTTTAAGAAAATTAATAATATTGTTTTTGATTCTGACATTGAAATTGATTGATTGATTGATTGATTGATTGATTGATTGATTGATTGATTGATTGATTGATGAAATCGTTATTAAATAGTTTTAAAAAGAAAACTTACTTCGATAAAGTTACATCATAACTCAATCCGTTGGATCGTATTGAATCATCTCTAACGAAATTACTAGAATTATCGGCATCGTACGAATGTGCTCTTCTCCTTGAAAAAGTACCCACCGAATACCCGTTGAGTATCAAATACGATTTTCCTCTTTTATTCGAATTCGTCGATGTACAGGTACAACGAGCAAGGGTGTCCTAAAATTTTTGTTAAATAAAATTCTCGTTTAATTATTTCAGAGATTTTAGTATTTTAACATTAAGTAAATGTAATAATCGTATCATCACCTTAAAAGCTTCCCTGAATTTTAACGACATTATATGATATAAAATCGGATTTATGGTCGTAGATAAATAATAGAGTATTCCTGATACGTATGTTATTATTTCGTAAATAAGTTTCATTATGGCTCCTTTCGGTTTATTATCTTTATTCGACCCGTATGTGTAAACCAGTCTTTGTGCGTGAAACGGTGCCCAACATATGAAAAATGCAACAACCACAGCAACTGAAAACAAAAAAATTTACTATTATTATTTTTATTATTATTATTATTATTGTCCACTATTAAACACGACAAGGCTCTTATTTGTCGGGGTTTTTAAGCATTTATCCCAGGTTTCTACCCGATTCCTTAGGGACAAATACTCGAATTTCGGTGGTGCTACTTATAATATTTTCCGAAGAATGTGGGCCGTCCCACATAGTGCGATTTCCTGGATTATTATTATTATTATTATTATTATTATTTAAAGTAAAAATGAAATTGAATGAATTTAAAAAAAAAAAAAAAAATTATACGTTAATTAAAAACGACCTTTAAACTTTCATTTTATTTAAAATATGTAATCAAGCCTTAGTAAGAAAAATATTATTATTATTATTATTATTATATGTACCGGATTTATTTATAATAATTTATTTTAGTAGAAAGTTAATATTTTTAATTTTTTTTTTTTTTGTTCAGACTACGTATACGTATTTTCCTCGTAGGCGATGTTAAAATTCTGTTTTTTTTTCAGGTATTAATTTACTCGTTAAATTTTTAAAGGTTTTTTATATATATATAAAAAAAAAAAATTTAACTTGGTTAAAGGTAAAACCGACAGGGGTAATTTTTTTTTAATAATTTTTATTACAACCCTTTTTCTAGAAAAGTGAAAACATTAAAATATCATTAATTAAACCCTCTGTTGTATACTCCGGGGGTATAAAATATTATTATTATTTTATGAAATATTTAAAATTAATGTTACATTTAAATGTTGGTAACGTTTGATGTTAAATATTTTTTAAGAAAAAAAATTATTATTATTATTATTATTATTATTTTAAGATAAATGCGTGTAGGAAAAAAGAAGAAGAAGAAGAAAAAGACTGGGAAATATCATTTGAATAAGAATCCATTTTGTTTTTTCAATTTTAAGTTTTGTTTTTGTCGATAAATGTTTACTGTTTGTTTATATTTATATCTCGGATTGTAAAAACAAACAAACAAACAATAAATAAATAAATGGATTGATTGTGCGGTTGTTGTTTTATATCACGACAACCTTTCAAATAAATTAAAATTTTTTTTTAAAATAAAAAAAAAAAAAAAGGATACGCACCCAACATTTTAAGAACTCTTTTCGACGATTGATGGTGTGGCGGATAATATTTTCCCCTTTGATTGTTTTTATTATCGACGTTGTTGTAAAATGAACTTCCGTTTCTTTTCATCATGCTCGATTTTCTTAATTTAATGCCGATCAATACGTATAGAACGGTTATCAGAGTCATGGGAGTGACGAAAAACAAAAAGCTAGAGAGAACGAACGAGTGATCGATAATTGTTCTTTTCAACGTGCACATGGCTTGATCGGGATCGTTGTCGATGATGACGACGCCGAATTGTATGGCTTGAGGTATGGCAAAAGACAACGCTACCAACCATATCACGATAATTAATTTCACGGCGCGGGATAGTTTCGACATGGTGTGCGATAAAAATGGATGACATATGGCGACGTAACGTTCGACCGTGAAAGCCGTTATCGTGAGAACGGAAGCGTTCGTCGATGTTTCCGCGGAAAGACCTCTCAAAACGCAGAAAATCTCACCGAACATGTACGGATATCGACACCATATGGAAACCATTTCTTGCGGCAAACCGGAAACTAATAATAATAAATCGGATATGGCCAAACTGAATAAATAATAATTTGTCGCCGTGTGCATGTATTTATTTTTGACTATGACGATGAACGTGATGACGTTTCCAACGACTCCGGTTATGAAAATAAACGAATAGATAATTGTCATTGGTATGACTATGTACAATGGATCTCGTCTGGGAAACATCAGCATTGTGAAATTGTTGCTGCTGTTGTTAGTGCTGCCGTCGAATGGAAAAACAACTTCTCCCAACATGATCGCATCCACTGTGCTCAAATCGTTATCCATTTTTTTTCTATCGTTTTTTTGCTTTATTTCACATGTTTGTTAGCCGCAAAAAAAAAAAAAAAATCATCACCCTAGCAAATTTTTCACCTGCCAAAAAAAAAAAAAAAAAAACGAGTTAGTTATTATTATTACTCCGTTCCAAAATTTTATAATTAAATAAAAAATTTTTTTTTTTTTTTTTTTTTTTAGGGGTAAGTTTTTTCATATGAATAGAAAGAGAGAGAGAGAAAGAAAGAAAGAGAGGGAGGATGGCAATGACTCTGAAAACAACAACCAAAAGGTAAAAAAAAAAAAAATTTATATTTTGACAGGTTTTTTATTACTTTTTTTTCAAAGTAATTAAAATTTTAATAAATATTTTCGATTAATTAATTAATTTTTTTTTTTGGGTGCCTTTTGTATTACTATTATTATTATTATTATTATTTTGTAAATTCAAAAAATTAAATTTCAAACATTTTTTTCTTTTTTAATTTTTTCGGGTCTTATTAAAAATAAAATTTTTCTCCCCTCACTCTCTCTCTCTCTCTCTCTCTCACTCTCTCTCTCACTCTCACTCTCTCTCTCTCTCTCTTACTCTCTCACTCTTTTGCTTTAGTTAATACTTTTGTGCGTGCGTGCGTGCGTGCGTGTGTGTGTGTGTGTGTGTGTGTGCGTGTGTTTTGACATTATTTTTAAAATTTCAAAACATTCGTTACAACCCCATTTAGTCGTTTTGAAAAAAAAACAAAACAAACAAACAAACAAAGGAGATTATAACTTTTATAATTAAATTCTACCATTTTTCGTTTGTTAGACTTTTTTTTTTTTTTTTTTTTTAATATGTGGAGACCGAAAAAAAAAAATTTTCTCGATATTTGAAACGGAAATTTTCCCGCCAATATTTATAACAAAAAAAAAAAATTTATTTATTTATTTATTTTTAAATCAACACGTTTAATTTTTAAAAAAATTTTCTTTGAAATTCCTTTCGTGATTGATTTTTAATTGATAAATAAATAAATAAATAATAATAATAATAATAATAATAATAATAATAATAATAATAATAAATCTTTTTTTTTTTTTTTTAATAATTTTATCAATTACTTTTTCATTAGGAGAAAAAGAAACAAACAAACAAACGTAAATACGCTAAATCCTTTATGTTTTATAAATGCTTTATATAAAAAAAATTAAAATTTAATTATTTTCTCTTCGTCATTAATAATAATAATAATAATAATAATTAAGTTTAATTTAAAAAAAAAAATTTTCGAGTGCGAATACTCGACTGATCTAATTTATAAATCGATAATTTAATTATCGATTGATTAAATTTTAATTACCATCGTATAAATTATTATTATTATTATTATTATTTAAATTTATTGACTTTGTTTTTAAAAAAAAAAAAAAAAACAAAAAAATATCGTATTGTATTTATTTACTCTGAAATAATAATAATAATTTATTAATGATATAATCAAGTAGAATAATGAGGTGGTAAAAATTTAAATTTATATTTTACGTAAGTGTATATTATGCTATTAATAATAATAATAATAATAACAAAATTCCGAGTCGAGATTTAACTAATTGAAACTCATTATTATTATTATTATTATTATTATTATTATTATTATTATTATTATTATTATTGTTCGTACTTCAAAAATTATATACGTATATATATAATGTAATTGATTTAAAACGATTTCCGGTTTTTTTTTTTATATATATAAATTAAAGAGGTTTTTCGTTAACTTTCGTTACGGTTATATTTTTAACTGACGACTCGGGCTTTTGGTTTTTTGCTGTTGTTGTTGTTGTTTTTGCGGTCATTTTCCGTTGAATTGTACGACCTATGGGAATACATATATTATATGTCCGATTTTTAATAATAATCAAAAAAAAATTGTATTTTATTAAAAATGGAATTTAAAATCGTGATAATTATTTTGTATTAGTTTCCTTAGGTCTATCGAATCATTATCATCATCATCATCATCATCATCATTTCGTTATTACAAAACGAAAAAAAAAAAAAAATTGAAATTTGTTAATTGCAAACTTTTTTTTTTTTTTTTTCTTCAAATTAATTAAAATTTTCTAAGTATATAAAAATAATAATAATAATAATAATAATAATAATAATAATAATAATAATAATAATAAGGATAATAAAAAGTTTCTTTTTTGTCATTTAATAATCTTATTAGAAAAAAGAAAATAATATATATATATATATATATATTCTTACAAAAATATTTTTTTTTACGAATTTAATTAAAATAGAGGGAATAAAAAATTATTATTATTATTATTATTATTATTATTATTATTATTATTATTATTTTCTTTTATTTATTATTATTATTTTTATTACCCTAATTTTTTTTTTGTTCAACCTCATTTAAAAAAATTTTTTTTTTCTTCTTTTTAACTCTTTCATTTTCGTCTGTTTTCGTTAATTTTTTCTTCCTCCGACGGAAAATAAAATTTCTATAAGAAAAATTTTTTAAAATTATTTTTCCTAAATGTAAAATTGAGAGAATGATGATAATAATTATTAATAATTTTAAAAAATCGGACCCTGGATCTTATACCTTGGAACAAGAAGAACAAGGAAAGAAGTGACAATATAAAATGTTATTGTCGGGATGAGAAAATACATGAAATCCCATCAACAACATCCCACCTTGGCACAAGTAGGGGTTATGGAGGAAAATATCACGAAAAGAGGAGTTTTCAAAAAAGCAAGTAGTAGAGGAAACAAAGAAAACGAATTGAAGGAAAAGCAGGTTACAACTTACGACAGCTAAGCCCAACCCCAAAAAAAAAATTTAAAAGGAGATGGGGACAGAAAAAGTTACACTGACAGCACCTGAAAAGATTAAATACTTCAGGTATTAACAAGAAAAGTACGCTCAATTCGTTAGGGCGTGAAAAATTGAAGGTTGAAACACAAAAGAACTTACAACTACGAAAAGGTAATTCTTAAGGTTCGCCAAGACGACAAGTGCCGAATCATGCCGATCACAGTCGGAAACAACTGATCAATTAGTTTCCGGCTGTTCGATATTGGCAAAACGTGAATATCTAGAGAGGCAGAACAGAATATGTAAATATCTTCATAGGAGTATGGAATAGATGGATTACCCTAGGAGTGGTACAACCACATTCCAAGCCCAGTTACGACAGTAGGCTCATGCGCAGTTCTGTACGATCAACAAATCCATACTGACAGAACTGTGCCACCCAACAAACCGGATATCATCCTGAGTGGAAAAGTGGTGTAAATTAATTGAAGCATCTGTACCGGCGAGAAAAAACACCAAAAAGTCAAAGAAGCGAACAAAAGGCTGAAGCATGGAAATTTGAAAATGAAATTTTATAGGATGTGGGGAGTAATAAAGGCAAGAAACGATTCATTCAATAAAAGGAAACTTGTAAAAGATTTTGAAGAGTTTGAACTGAAGAAACCGTACAGGACATGGCTTTGTGTGGGTCGTCCCACATTCTCCGGAGAATACTCTATAAATAGCACCAACGAATCGGTTAGAGACGTGAAATAGACGTTTAAAAATTCCTACATGGAATCTTGACGTGTTCGAAAGTGAAAATAATAATAATAATAATAATAATAATACGAGCTGGACGACAAAAAAAAAAATTGGTAATCTGCATAAAAAATCTATTGAAAATAGAATACAATGTAATTGACTTCATCTTTCTTTTGTGTTTATATTTTTCACAAAAACAAAAAAAAAAAAAAAAAAAAAAGATGTAAAGGATAGGATTCAGATTAAAAAGGTTTAGTTTTATCTGTGAATTAACGACAAATAAGAAAAATAATAATAATAATAATAATAACTAAGTAAAAAAAGGAAAAAAAACTCGAGATGAAAGGGAAAAAAATGCTCTCTGTCTCTCTTTAGTTCTCAGATGCTGCGAAAAAGATTTGTGATAAAAATTCCCAACTTGAGATGTTTTACTCAAATTAAAAGATGATGATAAAATTAATTCGTGCGCCTAACTAAAAAAAAAAAAAATCTTAAAAGATCATAAAGACGTTCGGAGAGTATATAATTCTCTCGGTTACGGTTGCAGCATCATCCGTGTGTACCAAAGTATGAGGAATCACCTTTAAACAAATAAATCTCCGGTTAAAAAAAAAAAAAAAAAAAAAAAAATGGGGGGAAAAAAAAAAAGGAAAAATTCTATTAAAATGTTTCTCGTGGAGAATAATAATTATAATAATGATAATAATGATAATAATGATAATTGAAACAACGGTGGCGCATAATGAAAATTAAATATAATCCCAGCCGACATTTTTTTTTTTTTTTTTTTTTTTTTTTACTTATTCATGCACAGGAAAATATTTTTTTATTTACATAATGAATTACGCATTTTTGTCTATTATCATCATCATCATCATCATCATTATCATCATTTCCATCGCGTAAATAACAAGAAAAAAAATAATAATAATAATGATAATAATAATGATAAATGAAAGTTTAGGGGTTTTTTTTTGTTTTCTTTTCTGCCGTGGCGTAAAAAATCTTGAAGGTCTTCTGCTACGACTTAAGGTCGAAATCTTATAAATAATAATAATAATAATAATAATAATAATAATAATAATAATATTAATAATAATAATAATAATATTTATAATAATAATAATAATAATAATAATAATATTAATAATAATAATAATAATAATAATAATAATAATAATAATAATAATAATTCGATTATTTTTCGATTTCCAAAATAATTTTCCAGTTTTTAATTTTTTTTATTTCCTAATCGGTTTTCAAACGCAAACAAAAAAAAAATCAATTTTTTATTATACGTTTTCTTTTGTTTCAATTGTTTCTTTTGTTTGTTTGTTTGTTTGTTCGGTTAGTTTGTTTGTTTGTCGTCGAATCGAATTCATTCACGTGTTTTCACTCCTACTTTTTTTTAGTTTGCTTTTCCTCATTTTTTTTTCCTCATCATAAACTTGGATT